GTTTATGCATACACCCCGTTCATGCATACGCGGCGTTTATGCATACCAACGTTTATGCATAAACGGTTCATATGCATAAATGTGTCGTATACAGGTGGGGCAAGACGATACTCATGCACCTTCAACTTCAGGGCCGAGTTAAGCCGAGATAACGAGCCGGCGTAAGCAAGGGACCGGGGACATCGAGTAGAAGAGAGGCGAAGCAAGATACGACGCGTCGCGGGGAGAGCGAACGCGAAGAGAGTTGGATCGCGGGAACGCGCGGTGCGTGAGGAGGACGGATTAGACGAGACCGAGGAGGATGACGAGCGTAGAAAAGGCAAGATCGAGGGCGAACGGGAACGCGCGGCGCGTCCAGATGCGTTTCGTCTCCACGCGGAGGCTGCCGTATCGATCCTGGGGTGAACGCGGGCGGATCGCGATGGGCGTGCGAGGCGCGATGGGCGTGCGAGGCGCGATGGCGCGCGAGGCGCGATGGACAACGTGCCCGGAGGACGCGCGCGAGGACACGATGCATAGGAGTCGGCGGAGGCGCGCTAGCGTGTCGAGGGACGACGAGTGGATGTGAGTCGTAGACAATGGAGCAACGTTGCAAGGACGCAGGGGTCGAGGGAGAGCCCTGGCGTCGGTGCCTGGTGGACCGTCGACGGTCATGGTGTGAGGATGAGGCCGGACTGGTGAGTACGTACCTCACGCTCGCCGCGCAGGCCGGATAGCCGAGTGAGCGGAAGGCCGGGGACTGCGCGGAGGTATTCCTCGGGCACAGCCACCCCCACAGTGCCTGGATGACGTGCGGGTCGATCACATCCCGCTTTTCTCGGAGACGCGTCTCCCGGCCCGCCCGCGCGTACTTGCAAGAGCACGAATAGTATGAAGCATTCTACGAAACAAAACATTACTACGCCCTCTACGGCCCTCTACAAAGGGCGCACCCAGTTGCGAGCGCAGATTCGGTTCCACTTCTGGAGGTTGAACCCGCCTTGGACGTTGTCCAGGCCAAGCGCCTCGATGAGTTTGCGACCCAACCTATGGGGTACGGTAAGTAACAGGCGTGTAGATACAAGAGGAGAAGCACTCACGCGGCCACTACGTCTGATCGGAAATCCTTCCCCTTCGCGGACCTTTTCTTGCCCTTTCCCTTGCCACCGCCGCCATGATCCTGCAACGCTCCGTCAGCTTGCCCTCACGCGCGTAATAGAATGCGACTTACCGGGTGCCAGCCCCAACTCACGGTCGTCCTATGTAAGAACCTACAGCGGCCATGGGGGAACGTAAGGCTCCCGCCGTTGTTCTTCTTCACCTTGATGCGACCTCCAAGGCCGTTCTGGATGGCCTGAAGCGCACATGTTAGCGCATCGTCGTGGCAATGAAGCCGGAATACGTACCTCACATACTAGTGCGACCTCCATATCCATATACGGACCCCGCATAATCTGGTGCAAGGTCTGCGCCAGATGATCCACCTTATTGGACACGTAGTTGAGTACGAATATGAACACGCTCACCTGGCGGTGTTCCATTGCCATAGGCGGCATAATGAGCGTGTCGGCGAGAGAGAAGAACGAGTGAGCGGGGCTGGGAGAGTCGACGTCGACGGTGCGGGGTGCGAGCGCGTGTGGAGGGTGAGACATGGGTCGAGGCCGTCACGAGCGCGGGTGATGCAGCGATGGTCGTGGTGGTCGCCGAGAGTGAGAAGAGGGGGGAAGGTCTATTCAGGACCTAGCGCAAAGACGAGCGACGACAAACTTACCTGGGTTGCCACGCGGGTGGGACGCGCGCGCGGCAGGACGTGATAGCGGGGTGCACGTTCGCGAAACAGGACCGGGGCGCGATGTGTGGCGGTTGCGGCGGCCGCGAAGGGGGAGAGGGAAGGCCTGTTGAAGACCCAGCGCGAAGATGAGGCAGGAAAGGCTCACCTGAGCTGCCACGCGGATGGGACGCGCGCGAGAACGGGGCACGAGGGCGGACGGTCACGAGCCTGGGTGGTGCACCGACGTTGGTGGGGGAGGGCGGCGTTGAAAGCAGGGGGGAAGGTCGGTTGAAGACCCAGCGCGAAGAGGAGGCACAAGAAGCTCACCTGAGCTGGCACACGCGTGAGACGCGCGCGGGCGGTAGGGCGTCACGACCGGGGGCACGACCGGGGGTAGTGTAGCGATAGTCGCGCGAGGCGTGGAGGATGAATGGGAGGGGGATGGTCTGTTGAGGACCCAGCGCGAAGAGGAGGCAGGAAAGGCTCACCTGAGCAGCCACGCGGGTGGGGCGCGGGCGGGGGGCAGGGCATCACGACCTGGGAAACCGGTGTGGTGGAGTTCTGGGGTAATGGAGCAGCGTTGGTGTTGAAGGAGGAGGAAGGAAGGGCTGAGGGGAGCAGAAGGGGCGAAGAGAGGAGAGACGAAGGGGAAGGAGAGACGAAGGGGCAGGAGAGGCGAAGTCGTGAGACCCTCGTACAGTGACGCACAACGCAGCGAGACACTTACCCAGGGGACCCGGCAACGGTGCACGACGTATTTGTCTTTGATCACCGAGTTTTCTGGATGTGTTCGACGGAGTGAGGGACGTCGAGAGACGACAGTCGGTGGAGGATGACGATGTGGCAAGCGCGGGAGTGTGGTGCTGGGCGCTGGACGTTCGACAACTGAGCTTTCTCGCGTTTATGATAGCGTGCGTTGCACGCGTGCTCTCAGGTGCGTCGAGTCTCGCGGTGCGTCGCGTCCAGTGCGTCGCGTCTGTTTCCGTTCGTTCCTCACCGAGATCGCGGCCCGCTTAAGTGGTCCTTGCCGGCGTTTTGGTTATTCAAGGTCTTTCATTACCCCTGCGAACATGAGTTGACGACCTCCAGCAAGGACAACACTACTCACTACTTGGACAGGCCTCGGTGTCTTCGGCGATGACCGAACAGCACTGCGTTTCTCTTGATTCCGTGATCCGTCGCGGCGTTCAGGTACGGCCCGAGATCTCGGCGTTTAATCCGGCAACTTACCGGCCTTTCAAGGCGCACGCATTTTCTGATGTCAGTCGAGCGTCCCGCAGTCGAGCGTGCCAGGGTCAGAGGTGCATACGGCGTGTACGTGTAGGTAGCACTAGCACTGAATATACATGGGTACGGATAGGCTAGCGACGCACGGGTGGCTACTTCGCGGCCTTGTTCTTTGCTCGAGTTCGCGGCATACCTAGGCCCTGGGTCTACGTCAGCTCGGGCGTTCGCTACAACCTTATACCACGAACCTGGTTGATAGTTTTCGGGAACCTGTCGTCCGCATCGTTCCAGAGTTTGTCGAATTCCAGCCTTCGCCTGCGTACCAAGGTGTCAGTCAATCAAATGCGACTCGAACGTATGAACTTGCCATCTAGCGTACGTCGCAGCGCCCAGGCTGCCTGATAGCTCCTCTTCTTCTCCTTTTTTGGACCACCATGTCCTCCGGTAGGCCCACATCTCACGTGTCCTGAACATCTCCTCTAGGCGGATGTTCGCTTCTTCATCCCACCGAGCCCAACCGGTGCTCGCCCGGAACCAGAGAACTTTCAACTCTGCCGTGAGATCAGTGTCATTCTTTACGTGCGATGAGAAGAACCACTCACTTGCCATCGCGAAAGCTTTCTGGTCCTTCTGGTCGAAACTCTTCGCCCACGAGACAGTCCTCCACAGCCAGCCTCCTGGTGGGTGGTGCGAGTCGCCTGCGTTGCGTTGGCAGTGGAGAACGGTGAAATGCCGTAGATCGCGACTTTGTAAAACCCGAAACGTATCATCGTCTTGCTTCATCCCAAGGCGACAGAGGATGTTGCGGAGGCGATGGTATTCTGCCCTAGCTGTCTTGACCGCTAGATGCATCTCTTGTGGCGCTGGGTGCTCCCGAGGTTTGGCGTGCCGGTTCCGGAAGGTGCGCTCGCGCGGCTTTGATGCCTCTGGGTCGGTGAGGTCGTTGAGAGACGCGGTAAGCACGATGCTCTTGCGAACGTTGTCGAGTGCTTGCTCCGCTTGAGCCTCCCGAAGCTGCCGTTCGATGAGCGCCATGGGCTGGAGATGTGGGTGTTGTTGCAGACTGGGGTGCAGGAGCGACGGCAACGGAACTTGAATCACTGCGACTTGTTCCGCCCATTGACGAACGGTAACGTCGGAGATGTCTTCGACCGCCTGAGCCTCAACGACATCGCAGTGGTGCACTCTTGACTCCAGGTCCTCGATGGGCTCCGCGTACGGCCAGCCCTCCGGAGCGCCGAAGTCAACCGACGTTGCGCGGTCGTGGATGGCCGCGTGCAGCAGGCTTCCCACCACACGTTCGTAGTCGGAAAGTACGGTTTGCGCGCTGTCGAGAACCGTTTGCGCCTTCTGCATGGCTCGTTTTCGAAGGGTCCTCTTGGCTGGGTCAAGACCCGCGAGCTCCGCGATGGTAAGTCCTCTGCCATACTTGGGTCAGACGGTCGTCATCTAGAGGTGAAGTACTCTCACCTGGCGTCATGAAGGTCGATAGCTGCCACGATCGCCGCGACGATCTTTGTCACTTTCGTGTTTTTGGGCGGTGTGGGCGCTGGCGTCCTCAAATCGGACGCCGCTTCTGGGAAGGATAGATCTGGTTGGAATAGCATGAGCATATAGCGTAGCTGTGGGTGATTCTCGCTCACCCGGGTCGACGTTCATCACAAACGGATTCTCGAGGTCGTCGTGATTCTTCACATCAACCACCTTGTCGTACCATTCGTTCAGCTCCTTTCGCCACGCTGTCAGATGCCTCTTGTCTATCTTTGCTTCTAGGGAGTCTATGAACGCTTTCATCTCGGCCCGGGTTTCCTCGGCCTTCTCCAACATCGTTCCCAAATATTTATCTGGGTTCAGGGTCAGCCAAGCCTCGTCTGAAGGCAGGTGTACTTACTCAATATCATCGACTTGTTTATGTTCAGGTTGTCCGCAGCACGCGACAGGGTGTCCTCCCGTGAGGCAGGATTCATCTCCTTCGTGCGGGTCGACAACGGCGCCAGGAGAGCCCAGTCTTGTTCGCCTTCCTCGCCGCCTGTGTGGCCTGCACCTTCCCTCATCGCGGGGTTGAAGACGGTGTGGCAGGCGTCTTTGTGTGCGTTGATGTGGAATTGGCCGAGGGTGGGATCAATTCGCGGGCGAACCATCTTGGGAGGCGCTTCGGTGGGGATCCCGAGGGGAGTGATAGAAGGTATCTCGTTCGCGTACTCCTCCATATCATCGAGGCGTCGGTCAAGGTTGATAGCTAAGGAGCATGCGACATCATAGTAAAGCCGGACGCGCTTCAGCGCGCGAAACGGACGCAAAGCCGAGGCAAGGCTGAAGTGTACGATTGAGAAGCTGGACGTTATCGCATCGTTGAGACGACACTGGTACTCGAGGATATCCATGCTTGAGCGCTCACCTCTCCCCTTTATTCAAATTCATCACGCTGCCTCCGATGATGGCTCCGTGTCTACAGAAGACAGCGACGATCCCAGTCACGTTCCCGACATGTCCCGTATACCCGGTCGCCTTGAAGTTGTTGCAATTGGAAGGCTTTGGACCAACGCCTTGCTCAGAAACATCATATCTTGGTGTACACGAGCGCACGTACCTCTTTTTCCGTCTTGCCCACCTTCGCCAGGTGCGTCTGCAGGTCGTTGCCATTCCCGAGGTATGATATCTCCTTCGTGAAAGGCTGCTCCTTGTCGTCTCTAGGCTTTGGTCTGGAGAAGTGCTTGGGGTGTCCGTCGGTCTCCAGAACCAAGTCGTCGAGGTACCTGTGCCGACGTCAACCCTAACCCTATTCTCACAGGGGGCGGCTTACTCGTATAGTTTGTCCCTCAGCTCCCAGTCCAGACGCATGTTCTTGCCTGGGTGCGGGCACGCTGCGCACAGAGTTACTAACGCGTTGAAGACGCTCCCACTCCCGGGCCGGTAACCATGATATATACAGGCCTCCAGAAAGCCGTACTCGCGCAGCGCACGGAACAGCTCACGCTCCCGGTCCTAATGCCCCGCCCTCTGTCAGTCCAATGTACAGCATGAGCAAGAGATATCACTCACTGAAACCTCAAAAGGTAGAACGCGATTGCTCAGACGCCTCAGGATGAGAAAAATCTCGTGAACGCTCGATTGCGCCTGAAACAGGTGGGTGTCGAACATCTCCACGGCCCTGACGGTGTACAAGGTTCTGGGTGAACCATCAGCGGACCAGGAGCCAGGGAATAGGCCGACGCGGAGGAACTTTAGCGACTTCGTCTGTCTTGAGCAGGCGCAGTGCTGAAAGTCGACCTTTTCGATGATCCCTCGCTTGTGCACCACCGTCAGGGGGGTCTTCTTCGCCTGAGGCTTTTCGCAGAGCTCCCAAGGCTTGTGACCGATGCGGATGACCACCCCGATGTCGGTTGAGGTTGTAGGTATCCATGTCTGGTCATTGTCGCTCCATTTCCAGAGGTGATGCCAAGGTACCATGGTATGTACGATCTTCGCGCACCCGGCACAGAAGTCTGGGTGATCAATGCAGTCTTCGCACCGATAACGGCGAAGCTTCTCGGGAAGCGTACGTTTCCGCCCGAACATCGTGTAGTATCCGAAACACAGATCGTCGGTGGACGGAGGCGCGTATCGCTCGAGCATACAATCATACGCCTCGGGAGAATTTTTCATGAATTCTTCCCCCAGCTTGCTTGGGGCCTGGTTCACCGAATGAGAAAGGGAAGATGTAAACCGTGGACGGGCACTCACGATGGTGTTGTTTGTTCCCGGGGCTGCCCGTCTCCGCGGTTTCTTCACCCCATCAGTAGCGTCTGCACCTCCGTCCAGGGGATCTTCTCGGTCGTGCATGTCATCCTGTTGTCCGTCTTCCGCTTCGTCTTCGTCTTCTATCTGAGGTGGAGGTCTTGAAGGGGAGGGGTTGTGTGCACTGGAAGGCACGGCGGAAGCCGCCGGTTCACGGGCGCGCTGATGGGTGGTGGCACTTTCCTGATTTCGGGGTGGAGCGACGCGGACGCTATCAAGTAGGACTGCTTCAGGATTTGAACGGCGTTTTGGGGAGGTTGATCCCTCAGGAAGATCGACTGTGCGCTTCGCAGGTGAGAACGCGGCAGGGATGGGTTTGGTCGTATTGAAGATGTCGTAGATGTTCGAGCTGGTGCCCTTACGCTTGTGAGATCTTTTGGACATGGAGCGCGAACGGATTTTTCAGGCGAGACGTGAGATTTCAAAGGCGGTCGGGCGGGCGTGGTCGGTTTGCGAGGCGCTACAGTCGGGCTTTCCGTCAGGCAAAGAGATAAGCGCCGAACGGCGATATCGCGCGCGTGCAGCATGGCTCCTAAAAAGGTAAAGCCCCGCCTAGGATATCTCTTATACTCACTTCCTGGCTACGTGTAACATCTAGAGTGGGTTATCATTCATAGTTAACTAGCCGACACGTGTGCTAGTCCGACAGTAACGCAGACGCCTCTCAAGGCCCGCCGTCTTTCAGGCATCCTAGTCCCCCTATCCGTACTTGCGTTAAAAAGGGGTTCGCTCCTTCGCACAAGGCACGCTCACCGTGGATCGTGCTGATCGCGCCGTGATGCGCACTGTGCATCTCCATCGGGGATGATTCCGAGCGGCCGCTGCATATCACAGCTGCACTACAGGACAGATCAAGATAAACCGGCCTCGCTCGGGATTGAACCCGGCGCCGGACGCGGTTGTGGCGGGCCGATCGCCTCGGTCTCGTCGATGGTCGCCGAGGAGGGATTTGGTTCCGCGAAGAGGTGTATTGACGCCGGCGCGGCGCGTCATCACCGCGGTGCCACGTGGGCCCACGCGTGACGCGTTCCCCACGAACATTGCCCGGGCGTCTGCGTCGTTCGTCCACTTAGTCTTTCTACACTACTCTTTCCACACCCTCGCTGTGCTCGCTCTCAAGCTCGCTACACTCAGGTGTGTATACGCTACCTTTCATTTCGCGCACATGCCTGCGAGCGTCCGCGAGCATCAAGCTCACCGGGCTCGCTGGTGGCGGTGGCTGCTGTCAGACCCTCGTCTGAATGTGCGCCACCGCGCGGAGGTGCAGATGTACGTTCGAGGAGGATGTCACACGGCATTCCCCCCGGGCGACCCTGCTACTCCTTGTGATTGTATTTGTGTTCACTCGACGGAACTCATGTCGTCGTGCACTAGCGCCCTAACTCGGTAGATACTTCAACACCCCCTCGAGGACGCCCGATCACAATGCCAACCAGCCAGACTCATTCGAGCGAAGTGCGTCCCCCGCCCGGGTCTCCCCCGCCCCTTCCTTCCGGCCCGCCCCCTGGCTCATCTGTTGAGGTGTGTATACGCTACCTTCCCTTTCGCGCACGTGCCTGCGAGCGTCTGCGAGCATCAAGCTCACCGGGCTCGCTGGCGGCGGTGGCTGCTGTTAGACCCTCGTCTGAATGTGCGTCACCGCGCGGAGGTGCAGATTTACTTTCGAGGAGAATGTAACACAGCATTCTCCCCGGGTGAACCTGCTCCTCCTTGCGATTGTCTTCGTGTTTACTCGATGGAACTCATGTCGTCATACCTTTGGGCGCTTGCTCGGTAGATACTTCACCCTTCGTCTCCCTCTCGAGGACGCCCGATCGCAATGCTAAACAGCCGGACTAGTCCGAGCGACATGCCTCCCCCGCGTGGTCCTCCCCCGCCCCTTCCTTCCGGCCCGTGCCCCAGACCATCTGTGTCGGATTTGCGGAGAAACCAGCCCGGGCCGTGTAAGCCATCCGTTACTGGTAAAAGCTGGTTTCTAACTCGACTCAATAGGCCCGAGAAGACTTTCGGCTTTCGACGCGATGGCGGCCGCTCCGGCGACATTGTCCTCCATGGCCACCCTTCCCTCTTTGGTTATGACGTCACCGAACCAGGACTGGATCCCCGCTCATCCGGTTGAACGCGCTATCATCCGAACCTACACGGATGGCCTTTGGGGAGAACTAGAGTACTCTAGGTGGCCCCAGCCCATGATTCGAAACATGTGGCACATCGCGTGCATCCCCAGCCCTCTTCGTCCGCCACCAGACAGCCCCCCCGTCTTGTGGACTACGCTCGCACCTTCCCAGCATTGGCGAGAGGATCCCAGCGTGGGCGTCCCGGGCCTAGGTCTTCTGGAGCACGGACTTCGACAACAACTTCGCGAGGCCGCCTGTTTTGCGTTCACCAGGTACCAGTCCATCGTCGGCGTTCCGCCTCACCGGCTAGCGTACGGTGACCAGCTCTGCGTCGTTATTCGCCAGTGCGTCGAACGGATGAACCGACTCCCTTCCTATGCACCCGTCGCTGTTGCCGTGGGCGCGCATATCCAGCGCGTCGCTCTCGAGCTCATGGGTCTCCACATGTACCTTACGACGGTTCTGTTGCGCATGGACTCTCCGAACGACTTCAGCCTTCAAGTGCTCCCGGTTCTGGGCGTGATAGCCCGTGATGCCGCCACCGCCCAGCTCGCGCATCGCGTCGGCCTTCCCACATGGTTCCTTCAGCCGCTCACGACGAGGATCAAGGTCTGGGCCGTTGTCGAGGCCACGACCCCGTTCGCTCTGTCTCGGAAGGAGAGTTCACCCCCAATGCGACATCACCCTGAGGAGCTAGGCGCGGTCGCGAACCTGACGTCCAATCTCGTGTTCGCAGTCACGGGACAACTGTGCGCCGGTTCCCTTGCCCCTTTGGACGATGGCACCACGCCCCTCCTTAAGGCTGTTTGCGGCTTGATCCACGGATGATCCGGATCCGAACCCACGGATCATGTGACATCCGGGAGCTTGATCCAGATCCGCATGGATCAGAGCCGCTGGAAGAGCCGGAGCTGCGAGATCCGGAGCCGTAATCCGCGGATCGAGCCGCCAACTGAGCCGCACTCTGTGGCTCAGTGCGGCTCGGCTGCTTCTTGCGGATCATTCTCACTCAAGTATATTATATCGGACCATTCGTGTTTATGAAGAGCAAGCAAAGGGGTATTTCATTGACAGATTACTACTCTACATAGTACAAACATGTCACTACAGCACCAAAGAAGCGGGTGAGGCAGGCCTATTACATAGGCAGCACTGAGGCGAGATAGAGGCGAGGTAGGGGAGGCGGACGAGAAGCGAGGCAGACGCCGGCAAGCGTGACATGGGCAGTGGGGACGCGAGGCACGCGCGCAAGGACAATGGGTGAGGCGGGCAAGGGCGACGGGGATGCGGGCGAGGGTGGGCGACGCGGGCGAGACGTATGGGTGATGTGCGCGAGACGGGTGCGAGGGGACGCGGGCGGCGCGGGCAAGACGTGGGCGACGCGGATGAGGTGGCGACGCAGGTGAGGTGGGGTGGACAACGTAGAGGAAGGACATGGGAGGGCGAGGGCGGTACACGGACGATGTGGGCGAGACGGGACAACGCGCGGGGTGACGCGGGGGATGCGGGGGACGCGGAGGTCGGCGGGCGAGTTAGGTGCAGGGGACGCAGGCGGGGGAGCGAGGGCGAGACGCGGACCATGCACGGACGAGGTGGGTGATGCGGGCGACGCGGTGCAGGCGGGCGACGCGGGCGACGCGGTTGAGTGCGAGATGGGTGAGGGAGAGACCAGGACGACATGGGTGATGCAGATGAGGGCGAGACCGGGACGACGCGTGCGAGGTGGGTGACGCGGGGGCAGCACAGGCGAATGCGAGCGAAACGCGGAGGAGAAGGCGGGCAAGAGCGAGGTGGGCAAGGTGGGCGAGGACGAGGAGGACGAGGAAGATGAGGGCGACGCGAGGCGGAGCCGAGGGACGCGGAGGTGGGAGACGCGGGCCCGGATGAGGCGGAGGAGGTGGAGGGCGAGGGCGACGTGGAGGACGAGGGTGACGCGGACGAGGCTGAGGACAAAGGTAAGGTGGGTAGGGACGTGTGCAGAGAGCAAAGGGGATAACTCACCAAGGGAGATCGGGGCCGCGGGAGCTCACCGCGACCCCATGGTGGGGATCCTGGGCTTGAGAACAGCCGCGCGTGCGCGTAAGGGCAACGCGAACGGGGGCGACGTAGGGCGAGACAGGTGATGGCGAGGTAGCGAGGCGGAGAGGTCGAGAGGGTCAGGTTGACGTGGGCGACGTGGGCGACACGGGGACGAGACGAGCGAGTGCGATGCGAGCAAGAGCTTTGCCGGCGCGGCTGGAACATGAGGGGAGGAGGCGACGTGGGGAGCAGAGAGGGCGGGGAGCACTCACCACTGTAAGAAACTGGGGCCGCGGGAGCTCACCGCGACCCCACGTGGCACAACATAGCTCTCGGGTTTGAGAACGGCACGGTGCCACTGCCAGGGCGGAGGACGTGGAGGGCAGACGGCGGAGGAGGGTGAGACAGGCGAGAGCGCGGCAGGTGATGTGGGGGCAAGATGGGCGAGGGCGAGGCGGAGAAGGCGAGGTGGACAAGGGCAACGCGGGCAACGCAGACGAGCCCGACGCGGAGGAGCGCGAGCGCGAGACGGGCAAGGGCGTTGTGGGCGCGGCCGTAACCTGGGGGGGAAGGGGACGCGGGAGCAGAGGGGCGGGAAGAATTTGAGTACTCACCAGAGGAGGCCGCGGGAGCTCACCGCAACGGCGACGCGGGCGAGCGCGATGGCGCCGGATGGACGGAGGATCGGACGACGCGGGGCAGGAGGGCGACGTGGGCGACGCGGGCGGACGAGGGCGAGGGTGAGGGCGACGCGGGCGTGCCGGAAGATGCGGGAGACGCGTGGCGGACGGGAGGCAGATCCAGGAAATGAAGCAGAGGGCAGGGACGAGAGGCAGAGGGCAGCGTGGGTGGAGGGCGATGAGGCGGAGGCAGATGTCGAGGGGATGCCGATGTGGTGAGACGGATAGGCCCGAGCGTGAGGTGGTGGACGACTCGCGCGGGCGAGCGTGAGCGCGAGTAAGGACGCGCAGGGAGCAGAGGGGGTGGGAAGAACTCATCAGAGGAGATCGGGGGCGCGTGAGCTCACCGCGACCCCGCGAAACAGGTCCTGGGCTTGAGGACGGCCGCGCGCGCGACGACGCAGCATGGACAGAGTGTGGGAGGCAAGTGCAGGACAAGCAAGGAGAGACTGGAGAGGAGGAGGAATGAGGACGGGCAAGCGGCGCGTGAGACGCCGCGTTCGACTCCGAACATTGCCCAATCGGGACAGATTCCCGCGGACAGACGCCGTATGCAGGCGCCAAAAGCGCTGCAAATGAAAGAAAGTGGTATTGTGTCGATATCTAGGTCACTTTTTCACCAAATCACCCACATATTATATCGTTGGAAAGCTGCTTCAAATGGCTTCTGAATGGTACAGCTTTCTTAGTATATGTATACATATTCTTCGAGAATCTGCGGATAATCCGTGGATCGAGCCACAGATCCGCCAATTTTCAGCCCCCTTGATCCGGAGCCGCTGGGAGCCGGAGCCGGAAAGAGCCGGAGCCGTTCGGCTCATGATCCCCGGCTCACGGCTCCGGATCATCGCGGGTTTACCCGCGAAGTGAGCCGGAGCTGCAAACAGCCTTAATCAGCATCGACCACCGCGACCACCGCGCGGGCGTCAGCGGTGCGTGCGAACGGTGATGCCGCCTCAGCGCGTGGCGCGCCATCAAGTGTGGCGTTCGACGATCGGGTTGTCTCACCGTCAACCAGCGCGGAGGTGGACGCGCGTTCGAATAACCCGGCCCCTCCAGAACATCGCCATCCCGCCAGGGTGCACAACCGGTCCGTCTTCGTCGACATACCGGAAGCCTGGTCCGTGGCGCTCCTCTCCCAAGGGCCTCTGCCCCAGCCGCGCACATCAGTGGTCTATTTCTACCCGCCGCCCTTCTTGCTGGACACCGTATGCGACCAGACTCCCATCCCAGTGAACTGCAACGCCTCCAGTCTGCGAAGGGACGAGAAGGTTCATCGGTACCTTCACAACGCAGTGCGCATCCGCACGTTCTGCCGACTGCGTCTCCTGGACCTGTCCTTATCCGGCGGACCGCTGACAATCGCCGAATGGCGTGCTGCGCTCTGGGGCGATTACGCGTTTCACCCTGATCCGTCGGTCCCGGCGGCCGCGCAGAAGCGTGTCAAACGCAAGGTCGACGAGAAGAACAGCGTATCTCGGTTGTTCGGAAACGGGGCCGCCCTACCGTCCTATTCTGCCGCGCAAGTCGTACGATTGGAAGGCCTGTCCGTTTCGGCCGAGGACGCGGCCATAAACCCGACCGTCCGCGCGCGGCTTCTGTGGGAGGCCCACGAGATCAACTTTCGGTGCGAGCTGATGGCACTCGACGCTGTACTCGTGCCGAGGAGCGGTTGGAGCGTCATGCAGCGTTGGGGGCGAGAGATGCTGGTCTCTGGGGTGTGGGGAAAGGAGTCGAGCATCGCTACTGTCATCCCCTTGCCGTCCGATGACGTGTTCGCCTGGCCCTCTGTGCCGCAAGAGGACTGGCGCTCTGCGGAGCCCTACCTTCGTCGGTTCATGGCAGTCGCGTCAGCATGGCCGGGATGTCCAGATCACCTCAAGTCTGGACGCCTTCAGGAGGACTGGACGGTGGACATGTTTGAGACATTCCAGGTGGACGCTGTCGCGTTCTATGTTTCCCAATTTACGCGTCGTTTTGGAAGGCTCCCGATCCCTCCTGTACGTAGGCCACTCCACGCGCTGTAGACTTTCAATGAGTTCGGTTTATGTAAGATAGTAGGCTCGTAGGTATGTTGAATACATCAAATGGTACGGGACGGTCGAGCGGTGATAGACGCCCGCGGCGACTCTCAGGCAAGTCTACGAGTCCTCTGACGACTCCGTCTCTCTTTCACTCCTCGCGCACATTCGCTTTCCACCCTCTGCTTTCCCGCCCACTTCACCAGCTCACCCATGGCACCGCCATCCGATATCATTCTCCAACCCGGGGAAGACAAATGGCGCCGGTCCTTGCTGAAGGACGAAACCCTTTGCAGCATATACCTCCGTCCCAGCAAGGACAAGGTTCGACTGTCGGAAGTCACCTCGAAGGTTCTGGAAGACTTTGAGAACAAGACCCCCTCGCAGCGGGCCTCGAGTACGTATGGGAGAGAGTCCAAGCCACCCGGTTTTACAAGGAGGGGAAGCCCAAGCCCCCCAAGGACGCTACCGATGCGGAGGCCCTCGTCCTCGAACAAAAATGGATCGAAAGGTTACGATTGGTGATTGTGGCCTTGGTTTCAAGTACGTCTGTTCTGACAGTGTCGGGCCAGAACTACTACCGGTGGCTCTCGAATGCGCGGAACCAGAACGGGAACAAATACCTGAAAGTCCCGCTTGTGAAGCCTCCCCGACCTCGCTCCGTATCCGGGTTCGACCTGTGGCGCAAGAGCAAGGAGCGATACGCTGTGTGCCCCAAGGTCGAGAAAGGCAAGGAGTCGAACGAAGAGTGCAACATCAATCTCTACAACGAGGACCGAAGGGTCGCGAACGAGTATTGGAACAAGGAGCTCCCGTTCGAGCAACGAGAGTTGTGGTGCAAGAAGGCTGAGGAGGAGACCCAGATGCGTAAAGACGCTGCAGAGGGAGTCGCCCTCGACGCTCGTTTACGGTGCGTAGACCCACCCTTATCGTTTCTTTTTCTGACTGTACACACGGCAGCGACCCGGACGCGATCCGAAAATGGGCGAAGGAGTGCATCAACGAGGTCGGCAACACCACCGGATGGTCGGTGTACATCATGCTTGCAGGCAACAATGAGGCGGGTGTCTTAAGCCATGTCGAGTGAGTCACTGCGCCCTTCTGTCGACGTGCCATCTGAGCGCTTCTTTAGGGAGTACCACGGTGTCGACCACAAGAACCGTCATTTCCTCACCTACATGCTCGAAAAGGCTGATTACGACTTCAGTCAGCTGCATCTGGATGAATACAACTTCTTCCGCAAGGTCGTGAAAGGTGAGGTCGGTCCTGTTGATGCAGGTGCGGTCTCAGTGACGTTCAGCGCCCTCAGAGATGGAGAAGGATGCCGTGGATGCCCCCCAGGAGAGTGACGAAGAGAAGAGCCTTGCCGACCTGGTCGAAAAGGGTGCGTCCCCGACTCGAACGGGTTTCAAGCCACTGACCCCTCCGCAGATTTCGACTTGGGCGACGAGGAATTGAACAAGTCCGCCAAGAACATCCAGCGTAGTGTGCGCAAGAGGTTAAGGGTTGCCCCAGGTGAGTCGTCTATTGAACACGACCCAATGTGTCGTCTCATTCTCCCAATTCGTCGGCGAAGTCGCCGGTCCATCCAACCAAGCTGCAGGTGGCATCGTCGTCGACGTCGACGACGACGACGACTACACGGATGCCAACGCCGACGCTGCCGGCAACTCCGAAGTCGACGGCGGCAACTCCGAAGACGACGGCGGCAACTCCGAAGACGACGGCGGCAACTCCGAAGACGACGGCGGCAACTCCGAAGACGACGGGCTCCCCAGCCCCAAGGCCGACGCCTCAGACGACCGCTCCGACGACAGTGCACAGCCCGCGACCGATGACTCGAGCGACGATGACGACTTCCAGCGGGCCACGACGAAGACATCGGGCAAGGGGAAAGGCAAGGCCGCGCCGGTCAGGAACACCCGCACGAACAAGAGGACCAATGACGCGGTCCGCAACGAGAACGACGGGGCGCCGAATAAGACGGCGTCCAAGAAGGGCAAAGTCGCGGCGCGCCTGAAGCCCGGCGACAACGATGAGGGTGCGCCCAAGAAGATCACTGGCAAGGGCAAGGGTAGGGCGGTCGCGGAGCGCACCTCAGGTGCGCGTGCGTCCGGGGACGACGACAAGGAGAAGACGCAGACGGCCAAGGTCTCTGGTAAAAAAAAGGGCGGTAAGGGCAAGAGGGTGTCCTCCACGACCGACAACGTACGCATCTCGTCGCCCGATGTCCCGGAGACAGTTGCGCCTCCCGCGTGGGTTGGGCGCGTCGCTCAACAGCCTGCTGAAGACATCCCAGCCGCGGATCACGAGCAGGGAGGCCGTCGTTCGAAACGCGCTACAAAGGTTACGCGGAAGGTGCTAGGAGACGCGTAAGTGCTTCGACTGTCCTTTGGTACCAAATCTCTGATTCGCATAGTACAGCGGCACCATCCCTCTCACGGAGTTGGCCAAGGGGCTCGCTCAGGAAGCAGACAAGAGCAAGGACAAGAAGCGTCCGCGCGGGTAAGAATACCATGAGCTCTACATTGGACATCGCTGACAATGCGCTGAAAGGGCCTCTGCGAGCGGTGCGTCCGCGGCGAAGAAATCACGTGCGAAGTGAGAACTGGGTCTGGGCCGAGAGCGCGTAGTTACCAGTCGCTTTAGAGGACTTTGCTGGTATAGAATGCAGTGTACGTAGACACTCGAATGTACACAGAGATTGGGACGACGAAGGTCCAGGTGCATGGACGGAGCAACACGGAGCGGATAAACTCGGTCGAGAGAGGGATTCGGAAGGCCGCCTCTATATCGAGTCCGTCCGATCGCCCTGGACGGCATCATACCAAGGACATCTCCCGAAAGCAACACACGGCGAGCAGACGATGGAGGGAGACGTGACGCGTACGACGCACGCTCACGGGTCCTTAGGTGAGCGATGGATGCTGTCTGAGGTCGTCGGCCAAAGTATCTGACCATATTCAGTAAATGTCGCGGCTACGCTATCTCCTCGAGAGTTCCAGAGCTTCCTTCAGTGGACGATAGACCGGGCGAGTGGGAAGACGGCGACCGTACGTTGGCACCCGGGCTACGAGTCACCCCGTCGTTCTTCTAGGGTGCCGAAGGAAAGCGCGAGAGGCATCCACCTGGACATGTATGTGTTCTTTCGCAGACTGCAACACATTACCGAATCACGCCCACTAGCTGCTGCGACCGACCCGGCACAACCAAGTAGACGCGGGGCAGTCGGAGCTGCGACGATGGAGGGCCGGAAAATATAGAGACCGCGCGTGCCGCAGGACAGCAGCCGACCCCTGCCGCTGGCCCCTCGCACGTAGCGGTACCTCAGTGGCTGGATGTCCATCGTTCCAATATCAGTATCTGATATCCTGTACAACCAGATGATCGTGCAGACCAGGACACCGTCGCGCACGGGCAAACGCGCGCGCTCGCGCTAGTAGGTCGCACTGCGGTCGGGGTCGGTCTCACGCTTCTTTCCCCCCACCAACCACACCCGAGGATGGCCTTTCCCTTTGGGCTCCCCGCTGCTCATGGCGGAGGCGGCCCTCCCATCCAGCCTCTCCTTCAACGCAACTACGACACCCCGGGTGAAGTCCGCCGACACCGAACGCCTGCACGCGCCGTCGACGACTTTCCCGGCGGACGTTACCCACCCCGTTGGAAGAGCATGGTCATGGAGGGTGCCGAGAGTTGGGTCTTCGTTTTGGCTCCCGGAACGCCGTGCGACCTCTGCGGTGTCGCCATATTCCACCACCTGAAGCTCCACCTATCGTACAAGGTCTTCTACGCGGCGACGTACTACGTGATTGTAAGTTACGCATCTAAGGAAGACACGTCAGGTGCTGAATCTGCCCCCAGTGCCCCCACTGCCGTCGCCCTTGGTACCCTGCTCAGTGGGGGCCCCCAGAGGGGCGTCTGCGTCGGATCGAGGTGGCGCGCATGGTGATCCTCAGGGAGCTCGGCCTTATCTACGACGCCTCCCCCCAGGAGATCGCGATGCTGGAGGGCATCTTACCCAGCATCCCCATGGCGCTGATCGCGGCCTCCGTCCAGTATGTCATGAAAAAAACCCACCGGATCGTCGACACAGCCCGCGAAAAGAAGAAGCGGCGTGGCGCTTTTATACCCACCCAGGGTCGGAAGAAGGTAAGTGAATGCGCACGCATCCGATGATGTCACTGACAATGGGACAGGACGGCGACGTGAACGGTCTCGCGGTGCAAACCGCTACGGACAGGGCTCATCCCGCAAAGCTCTGGGAATCCTTGGAGTGCGTCATCTGGTTGCAGGTGAGATACACGACCAATGCACACTGCCACATGCTCACTCTAGCACAGGATAACCAAGGGCCTCTTGTGGCGAAGGTTGACGTGAAGGCGGGCAAGTACGTCGTACTCGGGGACCTAGCCTGCTTGGCGCCTTATCGCCACAACTGGCGTGAGCTCTGGCGACTAGACACTACGGTTCACGAATGGGTGCGTCTATCGGTGGGCAGGATCCACCTCCCACCGGCACGATCGTCGCCCTTCCTCTTCATCCGTCACACGAACGCCCGTCGATGCGTGGACTTCAGCCAGTGGCTCCTAAGGGCGGACGACTATGAAGGGATACCCGGCGACCGGGAGCTCATTTCGGACTTGGCCTCGCCAGAGGGACGCTGCGCGTTGGTATGGAGTCAGGTGCGTGCCAGCCCCCAGCACCGCTGCAGACGCTGACCCTTCCCCAGCCCGATCAAATGCCCCATGTTGTGTTCAAGGACACCGAATACGCCCAGATCCAGGTGTCCCCTGGATGCAAGTCGATCTACGTCTGGGACATCGACCACACTGAGTGGTACAAGGTGACGGCCCTACCTCGTATCGGCGCGCGGGGCCCGAAGATCGATTTGGTGCGCCTCATGGGGGGACGCCTTGCGGGTCTTTCCATGGCCATCCATCAAGTCGAAAAGAATAACAAGGTACGTCCTCAGCCGTAGTCCTGGTACACACTAGCTGAAATGTGCTCTGTGAAGGCTCGTCGACTCGATATAATCGAGATTTCTGACGACGACGACGACGACGACGACGACACTGGCCTAGTATCCCCGGTGAACAACCTCACCTTGATCGAAGATATTGAATCCGTCTAGGGCAGTACGAATAGAGTACCTGGAACATAATCTACTTCGCCATGTCGTACTGTAGTACCCTCGTAGGATATCGCGTCGTCATGGATTGTGTTGGGCGCTCTTCTGAGTAAGAGACGAGGATCGGCGAGCTATGGAAAGCGTCAGTGAACCTGGGCCATCAACGATGATTGCCCCTATACTATGGTCATCAGAAGGGACGGCGTCCCAGGCGCTGAATTGACGCCAGAGCTTCCCGTGCGCCCGTTTTCATTCACCTTCCCCCTTGTCCACACGCCCCCGCATTATCGACGACCAGATGCCCCTGAAGAACTCGATCCCCTCTGATAAGACCATGGCTGTGAAGTACTGGGACAAGGTAAGCATCATGCTTGGTCGTGGACGAATGCTGAAACTCAGACAGAGCGGCGAGCTGCACGAGTTCTATGCCGAGGTGTCGTCCTTGGCCGAAATATTCTGGCAAAGCACCCCCGCTTTAGCGAAGCTGAAGGCCGCAAACCAACCCCTGGAGCTCCTCGTTCGCGCGATGTGGCAGGACCTTCCCTTCGACGAGCCCATCCGGCAGCCGGCCTACTTCACACTCGCGCTTCTCCTCCGACGGAAGGGCGGATTTAGGTGCAAGGGACTGGGGGCAGAGCTGATCAAGTGGGATGAGCACATGCTCAGGGGGAAGAGCGGGCTACAGCTGGTGCTCAACGTCGAACTGGGGATGAGACTTGAAGGCCTCATGGTGGTAGCGTGGCTCAAGGTGCGTCCTCTCAGTCTTTCCCCGATGCGCACAATGTTGAAGTGTGGCACTGAAGGAGTACCACCTTGAGTTGCCCTTCACCTTCTTCCTTCCAGGCATGGAAGGGAAAACGTTTGACCATCTGCTCCGAGCGGTCAAGGCCGAGTTTATAAAGAGGCCCTACGCCGACGATGTCAAGCTCGAGCTCAACGTCGGTAACATCCTGTACTGGAATCACCATCGTTCCAAGTGGGATACCAGAAAGAATGACCAGCTCATCCCGGCGAAGAACGCCATCCTCCTCCGCAATGGGATGAACGATTGGCCGCTGCATGCGTCAAAGATCATCCACTTTTGGGAGGAGAGTGGCCACGACCTCAAGCTTTTCGAAGAGGTACGTTTACCTACCCTCCAGACGGCGCCCCGCTCACTCGTACACAGGGCCGCATCGAAAAGGTGTCTGGCCAGAAGGAGAAGGTAACGCTCTCTCCTGATCGTTGTTCCTGCATTGACGTTAGCAAACAGCAAGGTAACAAACGTAGACGCCAGGTTTTGGAAGCCGGCGACAACAGCGACAATAACTAGGGCATCAGTTTAAGTAGCTTAGTGCACCCTCAATGCACGCCTTGATAGAACATCACTGCGTGTCCCCAGCGTGTTCCCCAGATCCGTCATGTAACCCGCCTGACCAGGTGATAACGTCCATGTTCACACCATCACAACCCGCTGATCCCATGTCCAGTACTCTCTCTCCTGCTCCTGGCCTTCCTGCGTTCGTTTCCAGACGTAGGAGCGATCACTGCACAGAACTACTCATTGGCACGCCTTGAGTACCAGGCAGGGCGGCGCCAGCCAAGGGGCTCACCATCTCAAGACCGCGCGCGGATCGATACTGACCTTTCACGCGATCTGCCCACCGCCGCCTGCTCCTCCTCCAGTGTCAGGCGGCCCCGGCAGCATTCTACGAGGGCCGAACGGACAGGCGGACGCTGATAGCTCGGCCTTCTCACCGCATACAAGGGGAGTCATCAGGGCTGAACTGAGAACGGACGCTCATAGCGTGGGCTTCTCGCCCCATACTAGGAGAGGCAACGGTATACGGTGAGCAAGACATGACGCTCCCACCCCACTTATGCGCTGACAGACCCGCCCAACAGCCCCTTCGTCTCCCTCATATAACATTCCGCCATCTGGTGCGCCCCTGCGTCCTTTCCAACCGCACGGCCCGGCCTTGAGACATGTATATTCTTCCATTTCTGCCCCAAAACAAATCCGGGCAGGCCTCGAAGGTAAGTCTACCCACCACGCGCTGCCCGGCCGTATGACTCAACGCACACAACTTACATTCCTTAGGACCGACGGCTACAGGCCACAGCGCTGGTGAGACTGATATCGCCACGTCCTGTGTTGACTCGCTGATATCCCTGTAGAAGAGGCCAACCGACCCGACGGGGTCTTGCACGAACGGCGCATCCGGGCCAGGGCAACCGCGCGCGGCCGCGGGGACGCACGCGACTGTAACTGAGGTGAGCATCGCGCGCCGCGCTCAGCCCTGCTCGCCGTTTCCCGTTTCGCGTTTCGAATACTGAGACCTCGCCTGCGCGCCCCCTCAGAGGCCCTTGCTGAGGCCTCGTGCGCGTCGCGTCGCGGTCACCATATGTGGAGACAGGGAGGCGCGCCCCCTCCGGGGACCCCCCGGCCTCGATAACCCTGCGCGCGCCGTGGGCTTTGCTGGTGCGCTCCCTTCGGGGCCTCCATGGCGGCACGGCGCGCAACATTTCACCGAAACCGGCGCCGGCGCCTTCGCCCCCAGTGAGGGAATCCCAGGCTGACGCAACCCGCACAGGAATGCGCGCGCACAAGGAGCGGGCGCGAGTACGACCCCTACCAAAGAGGAGATGTTTTTGCGCCCCGAGGAGATGTTCCGGATGGTGACGATGTTAGAATACGAGATCGGCAAGTATGAACTTATCTCCGAGCGCGAGAAGGAGGAGGGGAGGAACGGGGGTGCGGTGTTCTACAACCGGTGAGTTATCTTTGAAGTTATGACGTCACAGCTCATCTCAGGACGACAGGTGCAAATATGATTGCAAGCGCCTGCTTAGACCGCACGAAGAAGACGTTTGAAGGCATCCCCTTCATGCAGGTGAGTGAAGTATGATGCCTCGTCATACGCCGGTGTTGACTGGGGGCACAGACGATGGGCTTGGGCGCAGAAGCGAAGCATCCTGCGCCTGTTACCAAACCCTTGGTAGGGGAGCACTGTTCGCCGGCGTATCTTCTCTGACCTCACGCCGACAGAAGGGTAAGAAGGGCGGGAAGGGCAAGCAAGGGTGCAAAGTAAGTGACACAAAGCGCTCCCTTGATGACGTCCTTGACATATCTGCGCAGTAGGGCACTTGAAAACACCAAGGAGAGCCGCAATGGCCACGTGAGAATTCTGAAGGGAAGGATGAGGGAATGGCGGGCGGGGGGTGTATGGCTAGATTATACATCGCGGAATGTTATGGGTAGATCTCAGGATGGGACGACACGGGACCATATAGAGAGGCCCTACGAAATAGTGACCTCAGGGCCTTCCTTTCGAGGAGGAGGAGGAGGTCGGTACCATCAGCTCAACCATCAGTGCCTCGAAACCGCCGGAATCGCGCCGTGAGACGAGACCTGCGGGCTCAGAGCGTCTGCGTGCAGAGGTAAACGCCCGTGCTTTCGCTCTACCCGAAGGCCGACGCGGTGTCCTCACCTACTCCGCCATCTTCCATCCGCACTTCCAGGACGTGGCCAAAAGAATGACCTTCCAAATTGAACAACCTAAGGTACGTATCCACCCTGAACCGCTCCCGACAAAAGCTCACGAGGTGCGACCTCTGCGCGAAAATTGATGGCATAGGATGGAGAGAGCACCAATGGGCCGCTAGAACGCGACGCGACACGTGGACTGGTCCTCATTTCGCCTCGTAACAACGACCGGAGCAACATTCGCGAGATGCTTGAAGCTTATGGGAACGAGATGGTTTACGGAGACGTCCATGTGACATCTGACTGGACGTCAGGTAAGCTTTTCTCGAGGGACCAGGTGACTTATCACTGAATGGCAGAGTGAACGCAGACGCATGTCCCAAGGGCACCAGGGGTCTCTGTGTCGGGAAAGGGCGAACAAACGGCGAAGCGAGCGAAGAATTCTGGGCGAGCTTTACAACAAGCTATGCACTGGACGTTCAGAGGAAGGGTCAAAGTGAGTATGAATCAATGCTCCATGGTACAGCCGACTGACATACCCTGTTCCTACCACGTCGCAGAGCCAAATGAAGCTGCCCTCCATCAAGCTCAGAAGCGACTGCCAAATTGGGTTGAGGACGGAACTCCGTTTTCGAAACGGCGCCGCGACGACGACGACGGCGATGTCAAATACGGGGCCGACGTGGAAGCGCGAGCGATCAAACGACGCCGCGAATATCACGAGCGCAGTCAAGGCGGCTCGGAATCCCACGTCGAGACGGACGGAGAGGACAAGATGGAGTACGATGACTAGGAGAGGGCGGTTGGGACGGTGGATAGTCTCAAATGCCACAGGTGAGTTATGTCTGATAGCTAGTCGGGGGTCGCTTACGCGTCTGACTGTGTATATGCGCGTTCGATCACCCGGCTCAGGGTTTCAAAAGGGTGCGACAAGGAGGGAAGGAAGTACGAACCGATGATAGGGCCAGCTCGGAGGGAGGTAGCACGAATTGCCATGTCACACATGTGAGAAGACGTCATGAGCGCGTCCAACTAGTGAATTGACGTCGGTATCGAGTAATCAAGAGCCACCACCGAGGCTCAGCGTAAGTCTGCCACAGCGGGCGCCCGACCCGGGATGGGCACGCGTTCGGTATTAGACAATCGGATATCATTGGGCCTCCATGAGCACCGTGGTTCCCCTCTGTCCCTCAACAATGCATTTGTCGGAGTCCGCGCAAACGAGAAGGGGCGTAAAAAAGTGGTAAAATTTTCGGGCGGGCGCCTGTTACTCGGGGCTCGACGGGCAAGCATGGCTCTGTCTAACACCTCCCTTCTCCCACTTCACCGGCAGCGGCAACCAACGGTAGCCTATCGATATGAACACGGAAGGCGTCGCGTCGGATGTAAGTACCCACTTTCCAGGGCGCGGGCCCGTAACACGTCGTGCGCGTATCTGAACATCACTCTGGACGTCAGGTGAAGAGGACTATCGATACAAGCTGGTGGAAAGAAGTATACTTCAGTGAGCTTGTCTACGATTGGGTTCATAAAGACAAGTGACCAGAGACGGCAGCAACCGACGGGAACTTTCAAGTGCGCCCTGGCCGGGGAAGGGGGAGGGACGCCCTGTATGGGCGCTGGGGTTTCTTTGGGATCGAGAATGAAGGTGCGGTTCACGCATCCACCGCCCCGTCCGTGACTGATATGAGATCCCGTGCACGTAGGCCTCGCCGCGGAAGACCGTGGGGGCGATCAAGACTGCGTCGCTGTTCAAGGGGGCGACGATGGGCCAGCAGATCCGCCTGCCGTGCAGGAGGGATCGAACTTGAACAACGTCCAAGAGTGCCCTGTATGCGAACTGGAACGACATGGCGGGGTGAGTCCTGTACGCGATGAGCGTGTTGCGGCGCGGGTGGAGGATAAAGCGCAGTATGTCGAGTAGGGAGGGTGGAGCCGCCTCAGTACAGGTTGTGCACAAATCGCTGTTAGAGCGCCCCACAACTATGCGTATGATACATCGCGCTAGTGCCCTGTCAATCCTGAAGTCCAGATGGATGCGTATGGAGTAAGAGATCTGACCATTGCCGAAGAGAGGGGGCCTACAACATCTTGCGTGCATACTGAGTCTGTGACAGTATCATCAGAACTTCGGCCGCTGGTTCAAGAGACTGCGACGGACGAAGCTGTGAAGCGTCTCGCGAGTATGCAAACTTGTATGTGTTCCACTGGATACCCCAGTTCTACTGACACATTTCAAATTAGAGCACTGTGCTATCGCCCCTCTCCTCCGATGCCTATCTACGCTTCCCGCCCGACTACACTATGGGAATAGGACCCCGGGCCGGGTCAACGCTGGAGCAAGACACCGGTAAGTTGCCGGAATAAACGCCGAACCCTCGGGCCGTAACTGAACGCCGCGACGGATCACGGACCAGGAGTCAAGCGGTGCCCTGCGGACATTGCCGAAGACACCGAGGCCCGTCCAAATAGTGAGCAGCGTCGTCCTGGCGAGATGTCGTCTAGCCATAGTAGTGTCGTCCGTGCTAGATGTCGTCGACCCATGTGAGGAAGGGGGATGCTCAGAAATTAAAGAGCTTGGAAAACCAAAACGCCAGGAAGTACCACTCAAGCGGGCCTTGCGAACGAGGCCAAAGGCGATCGAGGTGAGGAACGACCAGAGACGCTACGCATCGCGAGACGCAACGCACCTTGTGAGCACGCGTGCGATATCACAAACACGAGAAGCTAATCAAAAGTTCAGCGCCCCGCTCCACGCTCCACGCTCCCGCGCTTGCCACATCCTCGCCCTCCATCCACTGTCGTCTGTCGGCGGCCTCTCGCTCTCGAACGCATCCAGAAAGCACGACGATCGACATTGTGGTCCGTTGCCGAGTGCTCGGTGAGTGTCTCGCTACGTCGTGCTAAGGCTGTTTGCGGATCGATCCACGGATGATCCGGATCCGAACCCACGGATCAAGTGACTTCCGGGGGCTTGATCCAGATCCGCATGGATCAGAGCCGCTGGAAGAGCCGGAGCCGCGCGATCTGGAGCCGCAATCCGCGGATCGAGCCGCCAAATGAGCCGCGCTCTGTGGCTCGGTGCAGCTCAGCCGCTTTTGCGGATCCTTCTCACTCAATTGCATCTTTTCAGGCCATAGGAATGCATTCATATTCATTGTGCATTCAACTTAGTACATGCAGAAGTGGTACACATAGATTTATATTTGTATACTACAAGATACGGACCACTACATACTACAAAGTGACACAGGACATGCGAGGAACACGAGGGCAACGCTGGACACGCAGATGCCGCGGGGCGACTGTCGATGTGGGAAGGGTAGGCGGGATGGGTGAAGTGGGCGCGAGGGCGAGGACAACGCGGGGACGGGACGCAGGTGATGCGGAGGTGGCGCGGACGGGTTCGCCGGATGAGGGCTACGCGGGGGAGGGGACGACGTGGACGAGGGCGACGGCAAGGAGACGCGGGAGACGCAGGGGAGACGCGGGGGCAAGGCAAGGGTGCAGGGGGTGACACAGGCGCGGTGGGCGAGACGGGGCTAAGACAAGGGCATGGCGGGAGACGCGGGCGTGACGCACGGGCGGGCGACGTAGACGAGGACGAAGGCGACAAGGTGGGTAAGACGCAGGAGACGCGGGGGAGATGCGGGGGACGCGGAGCGATGCGGGAGACGTGGGCTTGGTGGCGGGCGCGGGCGCGACGGACGAGGGCGCGGCAAGCGACGTGAGCGCAAGACGAAGGCGTGGAGGATGACATGGGCGCGAGGCGGGCGCAAGGCGGATGATTCGGGCGCGACCAGGGCGCAAGGCGGGTGACGATGTGGGGGCGGGCGATGTGGACCAGGGCGACGCGGACCAGGGCGTGGTGGACGACGCGGGAAATGTGGGCGAGGTGGTGAAGTGGGTGACACGGGCGGGCGTGAGAGGCGAGACAAGGTCGAGGTGGGAGATGGGGGAGCCGCGTGGCGCTGAGGGCGACGCGTAGGTGGGGAACATGGCTGCAGGTACGGGCAAGGTGGAACGCGGAGAGAGGGACGCGGAGGGCAGGAACGCGGCAGAGGTGGAGGAGGGTGATGCGGGCGGAGGGCGACGCGGAGGTGGGCGTGGACGAATTGGGCGACGCTGGACGTGGGCTGTGGGCGAGGGCGAGACGGGACGGGCGGGGGCGAGAGGTGGGTGGTGGTGAGACGGGCAACCCGGGCGAGACAGGTGGGGCGAGGGACGTGGTCGACGAGGGGGAAGGTGGGCGACGTGGGCGAAGTGGGCAAGGGCAGGACCAGCGAGCGCGAGCGCGACTCAGTGCAGACGACGCGGGCGCAGGCGAGGCGGAGAGGGCGAGGGCGAAGATCGTCCGGGGAGCGGGACGGCAGGGGTTGCCAGCGCGGGGGAGGGGGAGGCCACGCGGGGAGCAGTGGGACAGTGGAGGACTCACCAGGGGAGATGAGGACCACGGGAGCTCACCGCGACCCGCCGCGCGCCTGCGCGCGATGACGCTGTGTGGGCGGAGGATCGGCGACGCGGGGCAGGCGGGGGACGTGGGCGACGCAGGCGAGGGCGAGGGCGACGCGGGCGAGGGCGAGGGCGACGCGGGCGAGACGCGTGACGCGGGCGAGGCGGGAGATGCGCGAGACGCGTGGCGCTGAAGACGACGCGGAGGTGGTGGTGGGCGACGCGAGGCGCATCCGAGGGATGAGGTGGAGGGCAGGGACGCGCTGGAGGAGGCGGAGGGCAGGGGAGGCGGAGGACGACGCGAGGTAGAGAGCGAAACGCGGGACGAGGTGGAGGCCGAGGAGGAGGGCAAGCCGGGGGATGGCGAGAGGGTGAGCGCGAAACAGGCAAGGACGCGGGAAAACTCACCAGAGGAGATCGGGGCCGCGGGAGCTCACCGCGACCCCATAGCACAGCTCCGGGGCTTTAGGATGGCCGCGCACGCTGACGCGATGAAGCCGCGCGGACGGAGGGTGGAAGGCAAGCGGAGGAAGAGGAAAGACTAGGGAGGAGGAAGAGAGGAAGGAATCGATGACGGCGAGCAAGTGACGCGTGAGACGCACGTTTGAATCCAAACACTGCCCGATCGGGACGGATTCCCGCGGGCAGACGCCGGATGCAGGCGTCAAAACCTCTCGAAATGCAAGAAAATAGTATTGTATCGATATCTCAGTCACTTTTGCACCAAATCACACACAGATTATATCGTTAGAAAGCTGCTTTTAATGGCATTCGAATGACACATTTTACATAGTATAAATACGGATATGTATTGAGAATCTGCGGATAATCCGTGGATCGAGCCACAGATCCGCCAATTTTCAGCCCCCTTGATCCGGAGCCGCCGGGAGCCGGAGCCGGAAAGAGCTGGAGCCGCTCGGCTCATGATCCCCGGCTCACGGCTCCGGATCATTGCGGGTTTACCCGCGAAGTGAGCCGGAGCTGCAAACAGCCTTACGTCGTGCGACACTCTACGGGCGTCTCACCATTCGTCTGTCTTCGCCGCCTCTCCTCTGCCCTCCTCTCCTCTCCTCGCCGCTCCCTCTCTCACCTCTTCTTTCTGCCCCAACGAAAGCACTCCTCTATACAACCAGATTACTACCGCGTTGGTGACGCCGGTGGTGACACCCTGCCGCCCGCGCACGTCTCCCGCGCGTGCTAGCCCAGGTGAGTGTCGTCACTCGTCTTCGCGCTGGATCATCTCCCCGACCTTCCCCGGTCCCCTTCATCCTCCACACCGCCGCGACCGCCGAACACCCACGTCCTGCCGTCGTCCACGCGTGTCGACGCTCTGCCACACGCGCACGTGTCACTCCCGCGATAGCCCAGGTGAGCTTTTCCTCGTTACTCTTCGTGTTGGGTCCTCAACTGAACATCTCCCTCCCCATTTGCGACCGCCGGAACCGCCGCAAATCTCACTCTCGGTCTTGTTCCGCGAACCTTCCCCCGGTCGTGACATACTGTCGTGCTCGCCTCGCCCGCGTGCTAGCCCAGGTGAGTGTCGTCACTCGTCTTCGCGCTGGATCTTCTCCCCGACCTTCCCCCGTGCCCTTCATCTTCCACGCCGCCGCGACCGCCTACCGTCCTCCACGCGTGTCGACGCTCTGCCACACGCGCACGTGTGACGCCTGCGATAGCCCAGGTGAGCTTTTCCTCGTTCCTCTTCGCGTTGGGTCCTCAACAGACCATCCCCCTCCCCCTTTGCGACTGCCGGACCCGCCACAAATCTCACTCTCCGTCTTGTTCCGCGAACATACCCCCGGTGGTGACAACCTCTCGCGCGCGCGCCTCACCTGCGTGGCAGTCTAAAGTGAGTAGCTCGTCACTCTTCTTCGCGCTGGGTCCTGAAAAGACCGTCCATGCTCCTCACGCCACCACGACCGTCGCCGCACCACCCTCACTCGTGGTGCCTTCACCCCACGTGTCACCCTCCACCCGCGCTCGCGCCCCGGACCGTCGACCTCGACTCTCCCAGCCCCGCTCACTCGTTCTTCTCTCTCGATGACACGCTCATTATGCCGCCTATGAGCATTGAGCACCGCAACGTGAGTGTTCTTGTCGTTCCACTTACATACGTTTTCTGACGATTCCGACCATCGCACGCAGACCTTGCATCAGATTATGCGGGGTCCGTACATGTATATGGAGGTCGCACTAGTATGTGAGGTACGTATTCCGGCTTCATTGCCACGACGATGCGCTAACATGTGCGCTTCAGGCCATCCAGAACGGCCTTGGAGGTCGCATCAAGGTGAAGAAGAACAACGGCGGGAGCCTTACGTTCCCCCATGGCTGCTGTAGGTTCTTACATCGGACGACCGTGAGTTGGGGCTGGCACCCGGTAAGTCGCATTCTATTACGCGCGTGAGGGCAAGCTGACGGAGCGTTGCAGAAACATGGCAGGGTGGCGGGGGGGAAAGGAAAGTCGGGCAAGAAACAGCCGGGTAATGGGAAGAAGTTCCGATCGGACGTAGTGGCCGCGTGAGTGCTTCTCCTCTTGTATCTACACGCCTGTTACTTACCGTACCCCATAGGTTGGGTCGCAAACTCATCGAGGCGCTTGGCCTGGACAACGTCCAAGGCGGGTTCAACCTCCAGAAGTGGAACCGAATCTGCGCTCGCAACTGGGTGCGCCCTTTGTAGAGGGCCGTAGAGGGCGTAGTAATGTTTTGTTTCGTAGAATGCTTCATACTATTCGTGCTCTTGCAAGTACGCGCGGGCGGGCCGGGAGACGCGTCTCCGAGAAAAGCGGGATGTGATCGACCCGCACGTCATCCAGGCACTGCGGGGGTGGCTGTGCTCGAGGAACACCTCCGCGCATGGTCCCTGGCCGGCACGCGCCCTTCTGCCTCACTCGGCCGTCCCGGCCTGCGCGGCGAGCGTGAGGTGCGTACTCACCGTGTCCGGCCTCGTGATCACACCCATGACCGGTCGACGCGCACACCAGGAATCGACGCCAGAGCTCTCTCTCAGCTCCTGCGTCCTCACAGCGTCGCATTGCTCCATTCTCTACGACTCACATCCACTTGTCGTCCCTCGACCACCCGACCACGCTAGTGGCTACGCGCCTCCGCCTGGCTCCCGTCCATGTCGTCCTCGCGCACGTTTTCCGCGCACGTTGTCCGTCCCGCCTCGCACACGCCCATCGCGATCCGCCCGCGTTCACCTAGGATCGATACGGCAGCCCTACGCGACGCATCGGTCTAGACGCACCGCGCGTTCCCTTTCGCCCTCGGTGTCGCCTTCGTAAGGCTGTTTGCAGCTCCGGATCACTTCGCGGGTAGAGCCGCGATTATCCGGAGCCGTGATCCACGGATCGTGATCCGTGCGGCTCCGGCTTGCTCCGGCTCCGGCTCGACGCGGCTCCGGATCAGAGGGGGACCAAAAACGGCCGGATCACGGCTCAACCCGCAGATCCGCCACTCAATATTAAGCACCTAAACACGTATTCATTGACTGTTTCACATCCAATACATTATATCTACGACTTCAGCGTGACATGAAACCACTCCTCACCAGCCATCATCTTCGTACTTGTCAGACTCGTCGTCTGAGTCGGACGGGGTGCGCAGTGGTGGCAGAGACCCGTCAGAGTCCTCACCCGCATCCTCCCTCGCCACTGCAACCCACTCGCTCCCCATGTACGCAGCTTCCATCGCGTCGTTGAAACGCGTGCGAACTGCAGTGGTTAAAGCGGGCACGCCTGAGTGCTCGCTGTTGGGCGCGATGGCAGGCGCAGGCGCGATGGTGGACACTGTCACGAGGACGCGTGTGGGCACAGGCGTGAGGTTTGTGGCAGGTGCGCCAGGCGTGAGGGTTGCAGCGGGCGTGGGTGTGAGAGTTGCGGTGAGCGCAAGGGCAGGCGCAAGGACGGTCGCGAGGGTGGGTGCAGACGTGAGGGTGGGCGTGGGCGCCAGATTAGACGCGGGCGCGAGCGCGAGCGTGAGTGCAGAGCCGAGGGTGAGGGCGGGTGCGGGCGTGAGGGTGGATGTGGATGAGGATGAAGGTGTGGGCGCGGACACGAGGGCAGATGCGGGCGTGGGCGCAGATGCGAGGGTGGGCATGGACGCAAGGGCGGGTTCGAACGCGAGGGTGGGCTCGAACGTGAGGACGGGCTCAGACGCGAGGACGGGTGAGACGTTGGCGTCATCTTCCAAGGCCGCGAGTGCAGCGCGTGCACAAGCCAGTAAATCTTGGTCCGGATATATGACCTGTTGCTAGTCAGATCAATACATACTAAGAGGGCTAGTATCGGACCTCAGGGATGATATCGAGCATGAATACGCTCATCGCGAACAAGAGCGGGTCCGCAGAGTCGTGGGCATCGAGTTCTCCTATGAAGAGGGATAGGGTGTCGACGAACAGGTGGAAGTCGACGTTTTGAACGGCTGGGGAGTTCTTCACAAACGCGCTGTATGCGAGAACAAGCTGCAGGAGCAGCCCGTTCTGGTCGTCGCGGAGGCTGCATTGACGAAGCTTCGGTCCGCGTACTATGGAGAGCCACGCGTCGGCGCGAGGGTGGTCAACCGTGTTCAGTGCGGCTTGAGTGTACGGAAGCATGAGCTAGATGGCAGTGGGTTAGCGCAGCTCATGCAATTGAAAACATTCACTCACAATCACTGTGTCAGTGACACCATTGACCAGAATGGTGAGCCATTCATGGCTCAAAGGGCGCGTAGATGGTGGTCCGAGGCCGCGGTCGTGGCGCGTCTCGGCGAAGATGTAGATGGCGGGGTTCGTGCTTTCGATGATGGACATGGTGTTCGTCGGGAAGGCGGTTGAGTCGGGAGCAGAGAGGAGAGCAAGGGATACTTACCTTCTCGTACCCGTGCGATGCACCCTGATGCCAATGCAACCAATGTCCAAGGCACTCGCGCGCTTACTCAGATTCGACATCTCCCATTCCCTTCCGCCCCTGTCAGGTGGTCGTTTTGGTCGCGCCACGGGAGACTGCTTGAGGTCGCGAGTTTGTGGTCGAATATGGGTGGTGGGGACCTAGGCGCTGGGTAGATAACGATCTGTGCGCGTGGTGATGTGTCGCATCGCATCGTGCACTGCTAGCCTGTATATGGTGAGCAGGATACACAGCCGAATTCTGACGGAACTCACCAGGTTTAAACATGTTGGGCAGGCAAGGTTCGGAGATGCGGGATGGAGGAGCAGGGCAGAGGGTACGGGGAAGGGTGCGCGTCAGCATCCAAGGCGTGTATTGTAGCCGAGCGCACCTTCTCGGGCGGCAAGCCGCTTTGACTCCACACGCACCTCACGCCTCTAGTCCCTCCTCCGTATCATCTCCGTCCCTCAAGATCTCCCCCACGAAGCCCCAGCCCCCCACTATTGCCGTCACGGACCACTAGCTCCTATCCTGCAACTTCGCACGCAGGTTCAACCTAGGTGGTTACACATCTATTCCTTCTTAGTTGAGCTTTCTCCCGGCTCGACCTCCACGCGGATTTTTCGCATCACAACGGTGCGCACAATCTCTCCACGACGCCCACGTGTGTCCTAACAGATTTCTGAGGATCAGACCTCAACTGTTTACCCTCAACATGCAGTCTAATTGCCCCTCCGACGGCACTCCGCATCCCGGCCGACACGCTACCAGAGGTCCCAGGGCATTGCCTCAGGGCGATATCTGGTCTCAGATCAGCTGAGGGCTCGGACGCGTCCTCCGTCAGCCTTCAGCACACAACAGATTTGCCCTCGATGGGCATTCAGGTGAGATTGGCAGTGTTTTTCTTCGTCAAACGCGGCCCGAGCTGACTCTACTCGTGTTCCACTAGGTTGATTGGACTGTTCACATGCCCTATCGTTGTGGCCATGACCCACATCGACTCCGGGGATGAGCGGACAATGCGCCATGCACTGATGTCTGTGCGTCTCGTGGTGGGGACTCGGACGCGGAGCCCAGTTTGCAGGGTAGTACATAGAGCTGTTCGCAACGAGAGGTGCGCCCCGACGGTCTTCCTCCCCCTGATCATCGTCGCCTCATTGCTTCTCTCTTGCGGTACTCGCATCTCCCCGCACCATGCCCATTGACAAGACTCGCACCCCCATCGCCGCCGCCACCGCCGCCGCCAAGCGTCGACGCGAAACGGTCTCGCAAGGCAGTGACCAGCCCCCGCGCGACGACAACCCTCCCCGGACCGACGGCACTCCCGCACCCACGTCCCCTCCCAACAAGCCCAAGCGCCGCAAGGGCGACGGCAACATGTGCGTGCTTTATTTCCTCTACCGTCCCTCTGATCCTTATGTTTGTCCCTGGACAGGTCGTCGCGCTCGTCAACTGCAGGTGAGGATGGGCAGTCGTCCCATGCCGGCGACACCTCCGACCCTGAGATCAACGACGAGGACGAGGATGATGGCCTCGATGATGTCGCCGCTCTCAAGGGGCGTACTCAGACTGCAGCTCGCCTTGCCGGCATCCACACTGCGAACTCTCGTCAGGCGAAGTTTGCGCAGCGCTATGCCGGCAACACACCGGAGGCCACACTTGGTATGTTATTCTACCGCGCTTTGCATTGTATTTCCTTCTAACTACGAGTGTCCACAGACCTCCTCATCAAGAAGTGGCGTTCTTCGGTCTATGACCATTTCACAAAGCCGAAGATCGTGACGGCGACGAACGGTGCAATTGTGCATCGCTTCGTTTGCAAGACGTAAGTGCTGCCCCCAAACATATACTCAGTAGTAATAGAGTCTGACATCTTCACGCCCAGGAACCCGTCCAAGAGCGTTGACCGCCTCGAATATCAAGAGAGCACCGGGAATCTGTCCCGACATGTCAAGAACTGCGAGCCAGAGGTCAATCCTGAGACGGTGCTCATTGAGAATTTCGCCGCTGGTGTAACGTACACGCCACATCGTCTGCGCTACCAGATGGCAATGTGGTGCGCGAGGAGTCATCGCCCATTCACCATCGTCGAAGACCCCAACCTCCGCGCTATCCTTGGGATGCTGTACAAGAAGGTCGCCATCCCGACTCGGGCCACCGTCTCACAAGACGTACGCGACCTTCACTCCGAGTCCAAGGAGAGGGTGAAGACGCACCTCAAGGTGAGTTCTGTGCTACATCTCTCACCCCTCTCTTGCGTCATCCGTCTCGCATCCATCTCCCCGCATCTCTCACACCTGGGCCTGGGCAGGATCTCAAGGGTGGTATCCATATCTGCATGGACGGCTGGACGGCGCCCAACGTCATATCCTACCTCGGCATCACCGCACACTGGCACGATGACGGCAAAATCAATCATATCATCCTCGACTTCGTTAAGTAAGTAGTCTCTATGTTCGATAGATTGTCTGTCTCATCTACTACCAGGTTGACGAAGGCGCACACGGCCAAGTACCTCGCAGAAATGCTGGAGGAGTGCTTGAAGGACTTCGGGATTCTTGAGAAGGTTCGTCTATCTCTAATCTGTAGTATACACCGCCGACTTACATGTGCGCTCGCCTGAAGGTTATCGGCGTCACCTGCGACAATGCGGAGGTCAATGTTGCCCTCATGCGAACCCTCCGTGAGACCCATCCCAATCTCCGCATTGGGAACGGCTTCGTTCGGTGCTTTGGCCACGTACTTAACCTCGTCAGCAAGGTACGTTCGTGACATGTTATTACCAGTCTTTGTATCCACTCAAGGTCACCTCTCCAGGCCGCGGTCAAGCCCTTCACCAAGACACGCACCCCACGCAAGGCCCGCAACACTGTTGACGAGGACGAGGATGACCAAGATGAGCTGTCGGAATCGGAGCGCGATGACGACGATGACATTGCAGACGACTCGCGCGAAGCTGCCGACAATGATATCATTGAAGAACTCTTGTCGGAGGACGACTTCGCGGCGTTGACGCCGTGCACCTCTGACGAGCTGAAGGAGGCGATCGCGGCACTTGACAAGGTGCGTGATCGTAATTTTGTCTCCCCATATGTGTCCGCTGACTACGCATTAGATCACAAAGCTCTCGAAGAAGGTGTGGCACACTCCGCTCGTGCGCGAAGAGCTCGAGCACCTTGCGGACGAGGCAGGGCTTCATGCGCGCGTTCTCGTGCGCTCTGTCAAGACCCGCTGGAACACCCTCGTCGCAGTTGTCGGCCGGGCCCTTGACATGAAGCCGGTCCTCACCTCGCTCTGCGATATGCATCAATTCAACCGCGGCAAGAGCGTCCGTCTTCGCCGGTTCATCCTCACTGAAGCGGAGTGGTCTATCCTCGAGCAGTTGTATCACCTGATGGATGTAAGTGTTCGTTTGTCTGTTCTGTCGCACATGTCGCACTAAATATATTGCTCCTATCACCGCAGCCCTTCTTGTTCGCCACGAACGAGATCTCCTCGAGCACGCACGCACTGCTGCACGAGGTGATCCCGTTCATGGACGTACTTACGAAGCACCTGGACAACTTTGTCGACCAGGAGGAGCTTCATCCCGCCGTCCAGAAGGGTGCTGCCCTCGCGCGTGACATGCTAAACAAGTACTATAGCAAGACCGATGAGACACCACTCTACCGCATCGCCATGAGTGAGTGCCCTTTTCGCGCTACCGCTAGCATGCCAGCCTGACGCCTTTTCACATACTTTGTAGTCCTACACCCCGCATACAAGCTAGTGTACTTCCGGAACGCCAACTGGCCGGAAGACTGGATCACTGAGGCCCGTGATCTCATCACTGACGACTACGCCGCGCACTACAGGCCTCCCCCTCCTCCAACCCCGCCGGCGGCCTCCGCATCTCGCGCGATGCTCAATGCTTCCATCCCCAGGCGGCCTTCAGTGCCTGGCAGCGCACGCCGCAGCGCGAGTGCAACGGTAAGCCACGCCAACACCTTGTTGTCCCACCATGCACTGCTGACCATTCTGACTCCCCAGCTCTTTGCAGCGATCGCTTCACGCGCTCGCGCTGACAATGCCATTGATGCTCTCGAGGAGTATTTGAATGCTCCCCCGGTCCTCACGATCACCGATCCTCTTGCGTACTGGAACGCCGCGCTCAAAGTGGCTCGGAGAACGCGGCCCTTGCCCGAATGGCCCTCGATTATTTGTCCATCCCTGGTAAGTCGTCTTCATGCATCGCCGTCTCCTTTCACACCTGATGCAGACCTGTTCCAGCTAGCTCGACAGATGCCGAGCGGGCCTTCTCCCGGGGCCGTCTTACTGTCTCCCGCCTCCGTCGTTCCCTCGGGAATGACTCTGTGCGCGCGAACACGATCCTCGGCTCATGGGCGCGCGTGCCGGGTCTACTTCCCGAGGAGGAAATGGTTGCTTTCCTCAAGGACAAGAAGGGCACGACTGCTCGTCGTGCTGCAGAGGACAGTGGCACTGCGGCGATTGTTGTTTCTGACTAGATGATCCCTGTCGCTTCTGTACTTGTAGCCTGTTAACGTGCCACCAATGTGGCGAATGTCATTGCATCCTTGGCCCTCTCCCTGCCGCGATTATGTGATCTCACCGCTGGGTGTGATCGCGTGTGCTTGCCTCTTCGCTCAGCCGCGTATCTGGCAGCTCTCCACCTGCCGTGATTGCGATCATGTCGGTATTTTGTGCGTTGAGCCTCACAGCGTGCCCCATATAGCCCCGCGCTTGCCTTCTCGGATTGCGCCTCAGCGCGTCTGGCCCTCCACACGCCGCGGTTGTGCTCGTCCGGCCCACACGTTCCCATCTGCCTTGTGAGGGGTGTTTTCGGGGGTCCTGTATATGAAAAAGTTGTTATAATGTACCCTCACAGCCTTAATCTTAACCTAAGTACATGGTTTTGCCTAGGACTGATCTGTATGAGCCGCTGATCCACACAGAGCCGCACTCTGCGGCTCATTTTGAGGCTCCACCCACGGATCACGGCTCCAGTTCCCGCGGATCCGGCTCTTCCGGAGACTCTGAGCCGTGCGGATCTGGATCAAGCCCCCGGAAGTCACCTGATCCGTGGGTTCGGATCCGGATCATCCGTGGATTGATCCGCAAACAGCCTTACGCCTTCGCCCTCGGTGTCGCACTCGCGCTCGTCATCCTCCTTGGTCTCGTCCATTCTGACCTCCTCGCGCACCTCGCGTTCCCGCGATCCAACTCTCTTCGCGTTCGCTTTCCCCGCAATGTGTCATATCCCGGATTCCCCATTTCTACGCTTAAACCAGCCCTCTATGTCCATTGTCGCCTTCACCGCCGTGGACTCGGCCCTGGGGTTGACGACTGTCGTCTTGCCCCACCGGTATACGCTGTGTTTACCCATATGAACCATTTATGCATACGCACCGTTTATGCATAAACGGGCGTATGCATAAATGCGCCGTATGCATAATCACGCCGCATGCATAATCACGCCGCATGCATAATCACGCCGCATGCATAATCGGGCTGTATGCATAAACCGGCCGTATGCATGAACGCGTTGTATGCATGAACGCGTTGTATGCATAAACGTGTTGTATGCATAAACGAATCGTATGCATAAATGCGCTGTATGCATAAACGTGTTGTATGCATAAACGGGGTGTATGCATAAACCGGATGTATGTATAAACACAATCTTAGACATAGGTAGGCATCCCGAGGAGAGGGCGAGTATGCAAGCAGTGTTGAGAAGTATGACTGGAATGTGAGGAACGACGAGTTCAACAAAAGCCTTGTGTTTATGTCAGTATTGAAGAGAGTATATATACTGTAAGCAACGCGCAAAGAACATGGAACATTGGCGTAGTGGTCTGTTGTGTCGTATGTGTATGATGTCAAGAGGCTGTGAGTTCGATTCACGCAGCTGTCCTTTTGTTTACGGATATTGACGCTCTTACAGCTGTATGCATACTTCAATGTTTATGCATATATCTGTGTATGCATAAGGTACGGTATGCATAAACCCGGGGCGCTCTCACAGGGATTTATGCATAACCTGTACTGAGGCGGCTCGGATGTGGACGCGGATGCGTGTGCGCGGTGCTTCGCCCGCCGCGCCGCTTCTCCTCGTCGACTTGAACCATCGAAGAGCCCTCGGCGATCGTGCGTGAACAATGACATTCTAGCGCCGGATCTAGCGGGGGCTCATCCGTCCTTGATCACACTCCGGGTCGGGTCGGGTCGGGGTCGTACGTTAACAGCAACGATGGCGACGAGTCCGAGTGCAGCTTGCGCGCGTCGTGGGGCGGCGGCGACGCTTCCGCGACCCGCATCGTGCCGTCAGACGAGGGGCGTCCATCCGAGGTCTGGAATGCCATCCGCGGATTTTGGCGTTGGCAGAGGAGGACAGGAGCGGGGGAGGAAGTGCCCGCGGCAGCGGTGAGCACTGCAGGGGGCGAGGGCGAGTGCCACTCGTTCGGAGACTGGAGTTCCGACCGCCATGAGTTCTAGACCCGTTACAGCTGGGCGGCGAGCGACAGGTCTGAGGACAAAGACCCTTCGGCCTGCGGCGGCGAAGACGAGCTAGCAACCGTATAGCCCGCCGACGGCGCGGGGTGCGTCGAAGAGGGACAAGGGGTTGAGCTCGTCGACCAGGACGTTGACGCACGACCTCCCCGTCCTTCCGATGACGGAACTCGGGAGTGCCGTCCAATGCGCTCATCGCTGGCGAGCTTGGCCGCAGGACGGGGAGGTTCGCGCGTTCCCACTGCTCGGACCCGCGGAGCCGCCGCTGTTGCCACCACTCGAACACGTGCAGCCGCTGGCTCCTGTCAGGCAGAATGCGGCAACTGATGCGCGGGGGGCAGTCGGCGACACGCCCATCGCCGCGCGACGGAGGGCGGGACCGCGTCGGACAGGTGCAGTAGCGTGTGGGGATTGGAGGCGACGGGAGCGGGCGTCGACATCCATGAACTTCGAGGTGAAGCCGGCGACAGGGACATCAACTTCGCAGTGGCCGACAGAGACCGGAACCGTGAGCTGTGCGCTGTCCTTCGTCGTCGGGCCGTTGTGTGGATGCGGGGGATCGACATCCATCGCGTCGGGTGGGGCCATGCCGAGGACGCTGGAGCTTCTGCGGTACTCGTTGGACACATTGGAGTGTGCCTGGAACTCCGACGCGGCTTGCGAGATGACCCTAGCCCTCCTTGTGCTTCTGCATCTTGCAGCGGACGCGTCGATGGTGGTGAACCCGCCGCTCCGCCGGACTCCGGCTGAGCAGTGGGCGTGCACGGGGTGTTGTCCTTCGCAAGTATCGCGACGCGAGTAGAAGCGTCGAGTTCTTTCACGGCATAGTCCTTGCTCGAGACGATTGTCTTGCCATGTGCACGTGGGAGGCTCTTGGTAGTAGACTGGCCGAGCGGTCCTTCGTCTCTTGGGTTCCGACCAGTCGAACAGGAATGTTCGACGGGGTTGTTCTGGAGCAGAGATCGAGTAGTGGAAGACAATGAAGATCCCCCCACGGGCAGGTGAGGATAAAGACCCCGGAGCAGCCGCAAACGCAAGAAGTTGTGATTGCGCAGAGACCGGGGAAGAGAGAAGCTATAGGTGCGGACTGAATGGAACCATCATCAGCACAAGTCGTTCCATGTGATCGTAGCACGATACACACCTCTCAGCAGTCGCGCGGAGCCAAAGTGCAGAAAGCCCCCCTGCTACCATTGACTGCCCTTCCGACTTCGGGTTGAGACGTCGAGGAGGCTACGGGAGTGTCCGCCACGCCGGCTTGTAGGCAGCCTACGTAGCGAAATACTCTCGTCCGAGCGCGAGACCCAAAGTTCGCTAAAAACCCCGTCAGCAACTGCATGGCAAAATGGACATCGCAGGGGAGCGTCGGCTGCAGGACGCGGTAACCAAAGGGATGGTCTGAACTCACCTTCGGCTGTTTCCTAAGCGCACCCACCAGGGATTCCCGAGCGACGTACACGTTGAACGGGTTGACACTCATGGACAACGTCTTGTATTTCGATGAGGCATTGAACATGCGACTGTACGACTGGCATCGCCTGCCGATGGCAACCATACCATGAAAGAGCGAGACCGTGCACGTCTAAAAGGACACGGCGATTGCGAGGGTAAGCAATCGACATCAGCCACAGGGCAGGGTAGGCGTTGGTCGCGGTATGGGGAGAGGGTGCGGCTGTGGACTCACTCTTGACCTCAGCCACCGGACGCTCTCGCCCAAACGACCCAGTCCGTCGGATGGTTGTGGAGAGTAGGTGGTCACCGATCTGACGAGGTGGTCAACAGTCCTGAGCGGAACCGGAGTTCAGAGGGGCCCTGACAAAGAATGAAGATAATGGCAGATACATACTAATCTGGATTCGACGACAGGTGGCGAAGGAGCCTAGATCTGCCATCAACAGCCGGGGAGATAGCTAGACAGCCTGTTCGGTATCTGTGGACACAACGATACGCAAACTGAAAAAAAACGCACCCTTTAAGGAGCACAGGTGATTTCCCTGGTGCATCCGTTGCGATAGCCTATCGGCAGCTACGGATGCATCTGGACGGATCTGGCGATCCGTGATGCGCGCCCGTGGAGACGCGCCTCGGTGGGCGGCAAGGACGCGTGGCGCGCATTGCCGCGTGGCTGTGATGCACGCCACGCGTCCCTCCCGCCGTCCTTGCTCTCCTCCCCGCCTCCTCTTCCTCCTCCTGCTCCGCCTCCACCGTCCAGGCAGACGATAGCGACTATACAGTCGTCCTTCGTCTGCTATTGGACTCCGGTGTCACCTGGTGACACCGTTCAACTCCCCTCATCCTCCTCCCTCGACCTCAACCTCAACCTCCATGCCGTCCTTCGCCCACTTTGCCGGCCGCGTCCACACAGGTCCACACCGCACGAGGACGTCCATCCGGACGTCCTCAGCATGGAGATTAGAATTAGGGGGTCGCGGCGATGTACCGCGGCCCTTGTTTTGGTGAGTCCCCCGCTCCGCCCTCCTGCACTCCCAATGCCCACCTCTCCTCTCCGGCTTCGCCCATCCGGCCTGCCGCCAGCCTTGACCTCCGTGTCCACCTCGCCCACCTCGCCGCTGCCCTCCTCCCCGTTGCCCACCTCCGCGCTGCTCTCCGCCCACCTTCGCGCTGCCCGCCTGCGCCCGCACACCCTCCTCCGCCTCCCGCACCTCCATGTCGCCCTCCTCCGCGTCTCGCCCGCCTCCACGCGGCCCTCCTCCTCAACGCGCGTCGCCCACCTCCGCGTCATCACCCACCTCCATGTCGCCCGTGTCCGCGTCCGCGCCGCCTCCCGCCACCCGCATCTATGCGCCTCGCTAGGCTCCCCCTCCTTCGCCTCGTCCCGGCCCCCCGCGTCCGCGCTCCTCCTCCTCCTCCTCCGCGTCCTCCTCCTCCGCGTTGCCCGCCTCCTCCGGCTCGTCCACTTCCGCCCGCGCTGCCCTCCTCTGCCTCCGCCGACGTCACCTCCTCCGCCGGCGTCGCCTCCCCCGCCGGCGTCGTCTCCTCCGCTCGCGTCGCCCGCCCTTGTTGCTCTGCGCCTCCTCCCCCTTCGCACCGCACACCCCCGCCCGCGTCGCCCGCCTCCGCGTCTCCCGCGTTCACGTCGCCCACGTCCTCCGCCTTGTCCCGAGGGGCATGGTATTACTTACTAGCACACTTATGTAGTAGTTTACTAATAAATATATTTTTATCACTAATCATATACAAGATGTGGTGTGAAGCAAAGAGGGAGGCGAGCTCACTGTTGGAGACAGCGAGCTCGGGTGGCGGCGCCTGAGGCGCCGGTGTCCGGACATCTGGGTGCGACGCTGTCCCAAGGGTGCGCGAGCGCGCTTGGGGAAGGCGGTGTCGAGCGCAACCGGGCCGGCCGGCACCAGATGCATCTGCACCTGCTGATAGGCTGTCACAATGGATGCACCTGGCGAATCACTACTGTAGCTTTAAGGACGACTCATGCTGGTCTCAAAGGGTTGGAACTTGGCTACGCGAGGACCAACGAGAGGAAACAAGAGCGTGTCGTCCGCGTCCAGGGAAGAGGTGCAAGGCTTGAGACAGCTGGAGAGGAGAAGTGCGGACGAAGAGCAGGAGAGAGCGTAGCATCTCAGTAGAGCTGTTTGGAAAGTTACGATAGTGCACCGTAGTAATCGTGAGTTGGCGCGTTGGAGTCCTTGCTCCATGCGACTGTTGGCGGGTGTTTGGCCAGCGGGCCGACATGCCGTGGAGCAGTGGAGACACTGAAGTGGCGTCAGGTTCGTGCACTATAGTGCATTTCCAAACAGCTCTAGTCTGCGCCTCCCAGCCTGCGGGTGTTCCGGTGTCCGGCTCTCGCCGGTCCGCAGGGCCTAAACAGGCGCGTTGTCATCGGCGCTTGCAGATTGTCCTCTCCTTGCCATGCTCACGGCGACGCTCATGCACATGTCCGTGGGCAGCGTCTCGAGACGGAGGACGAAGACGGGGTGCGCGTTGCGCGCCCGATGCGCTCCGCGAGCTCGTATCGCTTGGTGCCGACTCCCGCGCATTTCCGTCCCCCTCCGGATCCTGGGCAGCGCGGACATCCTCGCCATGTCTTCTTCCCCATCCTATTGGCTACGTCGCGCCTGGTCAGCCTCGCCCGCTCCACCAGCACGGTCGCGCCTTCCACGTATTTCGCTCCGCCGTGTCGACGGAAGATGAGTCCGTCAATCCGCCGCAGCACCGTGTCCACGGGCATCGCGGGGGACAACGCCACGATCCCCTTCCGCATGAGTAACGAACGCCGCGGGAACAGAAGACGATATATCGCTCATGAACGCCTGGAGCAAACGAGGAAGAGACAGTCGCCGATACCGACGGAATGCGGACCATGGTCTGGTTGGCGCTGGTGCCTGCTTATCGAGCCAATCGAGCGCACCGCGGTGATCATGTGAGTCTGCAGCTCGCTCCTCACTTCTTTCCTGCGCTCAAGGTGCTACTCCTGGATATTGATGCGGGCTGCTCCGCTGCTCTTCAGTGTCATGGATCTTGCTATTCAGGCGGACGTGCTCTTGTGACCGACTGAGGTTGCACAGATCGTCGGTGCAAAGATCTCCGCAGCGATGCTTCTGTGCACAACCCTCCTGGACCGTGGCATGGGGTCATCGGCAACGCGGCGAAGCACTGCCGCGTGTGAGGATCGCACGAAGAGACGAGAAGACGAAGGCCGAAAAGACTGTGTTGTTCGCTGCTCGAATACAGTGTGTGCGCGGAGACTAAGTACTGCTGTAAACAGGAGTACGGAGACTGGAGAATGCGTGTATCGTAATGAACACTGTCATGGGCATGGCGAGAACACGGAATGTAAGGTGATACAATGAAGACAAAGAATGAACGTAGAGTAATACAATGAACAGTCACACGAGAGAACGGAACGGACGCGAGCGCTGAGCTGTGCGTAGCCAGGCCCATGACACCGCGGACCTGCCCGAATCCTCGTTGCAACGATATGTTTTGTGCATGCTTGGACCAGCTGACTCATTTGTCTCAGGGGTGTTCATCTCCGCTCAAACCAGGGCTCTGCAGCTGGGAGATCTAGAACATCGCGCTTGTCCTTCCTGGAGACGGCGTCGAGCTGCTTTCCGATTCCCCGCTTCGCACCCCACTGGCATATGGTGCCCATTCGCGCGCATACACTGTCATTGATAACGAGGCGGTGACTGAGACACTCGGGATACTGGAGTCTACTCCGGCGATCCAAGCGTCGGCGAACATCTGGGTATCGGGCCACACCATTTACCTTGCGACGAATGACATACCTCTCAGCTTCGCCCAATGGTGGACACGCACGGTATCAGAGCCTGACATGTTCGTGGCAAGGAACGTCATCTCACCCTGGTAGCGTGAAGCCTGCCCACACTCTGTTCGCTTTCATTTCTCAGGAGAAGCATCGGAGGCGCTCCGACGCTATCGCGTGCATGTTCCGCATGGTGGAACGTGCGGTCGGCGTCTGAGACTGGGGTCGCCCTCGCCGCAACTTGGCCTCTTCTGTCTTGGCCTCAGCCCTCAACCCATCTCTCGTCTCCTCCCGTCCAGTCTCCTCCCAGCCACCGACATACCCTGTGACATCAAGTACCGGAAAGCCCTTCGGCTGTCGTGGATACTCTCATCGTACGTCCGCTCTTCCGATGCTCTGTATCGCATTCGCTCATGCTCCCCAAGTGTCTGTACTTCTCCCGCGAATTGTGCACCTCCACTCTCACCCGGTATTAGTGCTTGCCCTTGCATGACACGCCCGTGCTAATATTCGTGAAAGAAGCGATGTGGCTCCTGGGCACCGCGCGCGCGAACATCGTCTTCTTTCCCCAACCTGAAGACGTTCCTGGAGGCTATGCTATCCTATCGCACACGTGGCTCGATGAGTAAGAAGAAAAGGAAGACACGTTTCAAAAGGTTCAAAAGCTCAATGGAAAATCGAACATCTTCTCCCCGGATCCGGAAGACCAACGTCCCTTGCCCCGAGCTGAGCTCCGATCTCTCATTTCCCAGGAGGTCTCTGAACAAGCGGCGGTTCACCACGACCAGCTCCGCAATCTCGTCTCCCAGGAGATCTCTACAGAAGCGGCCGTTCTCCGCGACAAGCTTCGCTCTCTCATTTCGGAGGCAGTCCCAAAAAAACACGTCGAAAATGCTCTCCGTAAATTAAGATCCCAAATCATGCGAACGCTCAAGTTGCCACTATATCTGCGCCTTTCCAACCGTGTCGAGTCCCCCCGGCCCGTCGTCCGCGATCGCGCTGAAGGGAATGGCCGAGATAGGCGAGCATCCGGTACTGAATGCGAGCCCGGTCAGTGTAATTAAAGCTCGTCTTCGTTCCTCGACACTGACATACGAGACCCAAGAACTCTCGAAAGATTCGAATCTGGCACCTGCTTCAGCGATACAAATTTCCCCTATTCCTACCCCTGTCCAAGGACTCGCTGAGCCATTCCGCTCGTCGTCACCATGGTTCAACCCACGCGATCGCCTCACTTCAAAAGTTCGATCGTTCCTTGAGCTCGCCGAAACGCACGGGCACGAGTACGCTTGGGTCGACACGTGCTGTATCAACAAGGAGAGCAGTGCCGAGCTCTCCGAAGGCATCAATTCCATGTTCCGCTACTACGCCCTCTCCACCATCTGCTACGTCTACCTCAGCGACATCGAATTCTCCGACACTAATTCAGTCTTCATGCGGCGCGCCTTCAGAAGAAGCCGCTGGCACAAGCGGGGCTGGACTCTCCAAGAGCTCATCGCGTCCCGCGTCCTCGTGTTCTATTCCAAGGATTGGACCTGTCTGGGTAGCAAGCACGAGCTCGTTGATCGCCTAGAAGAAGCAACCGGGATATCTGCGGCAGTTCTCCGCTTCGAGAGCCCATTCACCGACACGAGCATCGCGACGCGCATATCCTGGGCGGCGCATCGGAAAACCACGAGGCCGGAAGACGCCGCCTACAGCCTTTTCGGGCTTTTCGGGGTCAACCTGCCGACGCTCTACGGCGAAGGGCGGCTCGCATTCTGCCGGCTGCTCATGGAGATCTCGAAGACGTTGCGGGATCCTTCTATTTTTCTCTTGGGAGAACGACGGGAGGCATACGGCTTGCAAGACCTCCAATCGGGCCTCCAGGACATTCCCCGGGGCCAAACCCGTCGTCATCTTCTTCCCCTTCAGCCTTCGCCGACCTTGGGCCTATCCCGCGCTATTCATAGGATGATCAGATACGAAATCAGCGCCCGCTCGCAGAGAGGACAAGATGAGGTACGCTGGTATGGATGCCATCCTACGCTGTGCTACATTGACGACCATTTTAGCACAGCTCGATTGCAAACACGACCACAGAACTCCGTGCTCCCACGTTTTCCGTGTCACCAAGCGGGATCGAGCTCCACGCAGCCGTTCTGCCTCTGGATGATATAGAGAGATTCCTCCTCGTCGACTTGTTCTGCAGGGATCCCGACCCCGTTTTCCTCTTGCTTGAAAGGGTGGACGACAAGCTCAATGCTCACGCTGCTCCGCTATACCAGCCCACAGAGAGCCCCGTTGTGTCGCTGCGGGAATCACGCACGATGATCGACTCACATGGCTGGACGATGACCGACTTGCGCGTTGTAGCCCTCCCACCGTACACCGGTGACCTCTCCGAGCGCGAAAGCGCAGGGATGGAGTGGCTGAGGCGCTTCTGCGAATCCACCACTACCGGCTCCCCCTTTCACCTTGTCTTTCGCGACTTCCTCCGGCTCCCGAACATTGGCATGAACTTCGACGGTGACAGAAGCACCCTGCCGTCGCCTCCTTCCACCGAAGACGTCTCCCTTTGTTTTACTAGCCGCTATCTTCCAACACTCGTAGTCGTTCTTGGGACATGCTCTCGTACCGAGTCCGCCATCGACAACCACCTACGCTCATCCAGGCCAACCTCTCTGTCATCCCAGATCGCCACGGAGACGCCAGGTCCAGGCGTACCACGCCGACAACATTTCTGCATCATTCGTTGGTCCGACAGCGATGAAGAAGCCCCGGGCACTGCGGCTGCGCATTCGTGCGCGATGGATCATATCGACATGGACGGACCATGGCCAGTGGAGCGCCGATCGCAGCGTCGGCGTTGGGAAGTCGTGTTATCGTTCTTTCCTGGTCCGATGGGTAGAGAAACGCTGCAAGTGAAACTCCGCTGTGTATGATAGATGAAGAAATTGATTTGTGTACAACTTCAGATCTGGTGGTACGAGACGTCGAGCGCGGCCTATTGTAAACATCACCACAGTTTCCAAAGCCAACCAACAATTCCATCTATCGCTAGCACCGCGCATGGAACGTTCATGACGATGCTGTTGCATGCTGATGCGGCGCCAACTATGGTGTAGAGTCGGTGGCAGGGGTGAGGCGAGGGAGCGAGTAACCGTGAGGCTCGAGATATCGAGTGAAGTGAAAAAAAAAAGGCGAGATACGACGCCCCGCGTGGAGGCTGAACGTGCGGCGCGCGAAGTGGACGGGAGAATAGACGCGGGGAAGTTGGAGAGGTCGCGCACACGGGCTGGCGGAAAGACGAAGGATGCGAGAGCGAGGTTCAGAACGATGTCGTGGACGTGGACGTGGGTAAGGTCGAGGTGTACCGAGAAGAAGTCGAAGCGAAGCTGGATGAGCATACCGCACACACGAGAATTGGGGGAAAATTGACTCATAGCCTACATACATACAGCGTGCGCGGCGCGAGGGCGTATCTAGGAGAGGAGACTGTACCGAACCTGTGACGCGGGAGACACTGCGGAAAAAGCGAGAGAGAGCGTGGAGATGGACAGAAATGAAAAGGGAAGGAAGAAGGTAGATATTCCGGAGTGTTTGATAGGCAATCGAGTGACAAGAGGACGTGCGAGGATGGCCACCGAGTGTCATAGCGAGAGGGAGAGGGCACCGCGCCGCGAGTGGTGGTTGTGGTCGAGTGCGCGCGGTGTAGACCGCGAGAGTGCACGGACGACGCCACGGTGCGATCGCATGTGTCGCATCTTGACGGGCCCACACCGGGGGCATTGCCGGATGAAACACGCGGCTTCATGCTTTGTTCATATAGATTGTCCCATTGATGTACCGCACAAACTCATCTTGAGGGACATCCTTGTATCGTTGATTGCTAGCCAATCAGAGCTCGAGCTTCCCATGATACGAGGAGAGACATTCAAAATGAGTCCAGATGGCACATCCGCGAGGCATTCTATATGACTCATCAAGGAAACGGCTTGTCTCATCGGGAAATGCCCCCGGTGCCATGCTATATGCCTACGCGGTAGTCCTATGGTATCCGCGGGCGGATAGCGAAGGGTGCGCGAGCAGGAATAGACTAGGTGCGCGAAGACGAGGACCGAACGCGGAGATGATCGCGCGGGCGTACGTTAGCCTGGTCGACGGTGTAGGGTTCGTGCTCCTGCACTGTACGGCGACAGCGCGTGCGTATCAGTAGAGAGACCCGTTATACGGAGGTGTGATGGTCAGTGCGAGACGGGTCCAATGATTTCCAGTGCACTCACTTACAACCAAGCAGCATTCAGGACCACGCGCACTGAAAACCGAGTTCTCAAGAGTAGATGACCTCGCTGCGCGAGTGCTGTGGTCAGTTCTCCATCTGTGTCACTGTCATCCGCGTATTCTCACCGTTATATTAGTGTGCCCGGTCTCCTGATCTTGTATTAACATGGACACGTCCGCTTCAAGGAGATCGAGAGCATGCGGCTGCCGGCGCGAGCGCGCCATGCGCCATCCACTGGCTTCGCTGCGCAAGAACTGGGGCCTATGCAACGGGATTAGCGGTGAGTGAGCGTGCGATATTTCCAGCGCGTGTACCATGAACCCAATGCTCACACCGGAGTACGTTCACACCAGAGTAGCCTGGATCCCGATGGGCTCCGTCAGATCTGAGGCGGCGTTGAGTTGGGCGAGAGGCATAACCAGGCAGAGGTCCCGCCCAACGGTGGCGTTATGGATGTCGAGGAGGGCGAAGGGGCCGGCTTGTTCCTTGGTCGTCGTCGGGACGCTGCTCCGAAGACGAGACGGTCTGTAAATAGGTGAGTCAGTGCACTGTATCAAACGAGGGTATCTCGGAGTACGTACCATTGAGTCCAACACCTCCGAGGAGGAACCCAAGCTCGGAGAGGCGGTCCGTCGGCGAACTCCCGATGTCCAACAGGTTGAATAGATCAACCACATCGTCCGTCCCGGTCTATCAATATCGCGCGCGTCAGTTACAGGACCAACGCCGGAGACGAATCCCACCTACTGGGATTTCTGCAGAAGAGAGTCATCAGTCTCCAATGACCGCTTTCAAAGAAAGGCCAAACGTGCATCGGGTTGTAGAACATGGGGAGAGCGCCTCGGTTCCGCGGGCCGTCTCTCCGCGTAATCCCGAATCTGCCGTAGCATGCTCGTCCACCCTTCCAGATGCGAGGAAGCTCGTCTGAAGACGCGCCCTGCCTGAAAACTGGGCGTCAGCACGTGTTGATCCTCCCGCATCCTCATTCAACCGCATATACTCACCTTGGAGTATAGATGAGAAGGGCACGCGTCGAGATCAGACGCCGCAGTGACGTCACCCCGTTTCCCAGCTCGAATCTGTGTCAAGCACTGATTAGGGAAACGAGCGCAGAACATACCGGGATAGCGTGACGGGTGTGGAGAGAGATCCGGTGGCAGACAGGGGATTATCAAGAGAATTGAACAAACGGCACTCACATGGGATCCGATGTCAGAACGTCGCCAACGCTACTGCGCGCTGGGTGACGCAGTGGTCCTGGTTCGTTCGGATATCAACGGCCGTGGACCGCTGGAGGTGGAGTCGGGGTGAGCTGCACGAGGGATCGTGGTTGATATCGAGAGAGGCCGTGGGGTTCGGGGAGAGGACCAGTACGTGTAGTAGCGAAATGGCACGCTGTGAAGAGCGGGTGCCACAGTCGGCATGGAGGATGCGAGGGAAGTGAGTGCGACGACGCGCGCGCGCGCGCGCGCGGCATCGCGGCGGGTACAGCTCGAGCGCGAGCATGCGTGGGGCCGAGCAGACCGCCTCCCCCGCGTCCGGCTCGGCTTGTACCGCGTGCAAGAATGCGGTGGTGGCTCCCACTAGGAGTCGTCGCGGAGACAGTCCGAGGCGCACGGTAGGGGCTTCGCGCGAATTCGAGGGCGGTTAGATGCTTGAGGAGCGTGGCAAGCGCGAGCAATGCGTCGGTCTCGGGGCGGAGGCGCAGCGCGCGCGGAGGGGAGCAAGGGTGTGCAGGAGAGGCCACGCTCGGGCCAGCGCGCGGGGAATGCGTGCGCGTCGGGTGTGCGGTCGCAGCGGGGGTGCCATCACAGGCGCCCGCGGCCGGAGGTGGAGGTGGCGACTCGAGTGGGGTCGTCATGTGAGGCGTCGAGGCTTGCGCGCGTGGGCGCCGGAGACGCGTCGAGATGGTGCTGAAGGGCCAGGAGAGCGACTGAATGCGCCCGGCGGAGAGGTCCCCGCAGGGAGTCGAGGCGGAGGGCGTCGAAGAGACGGCGCGCGATTGGGAGCAGCGCGTGACGATGACGGTGTGCTCGGCGGGAAGATGCACGGTCGGGAGGGACGTCGAGGGGAACGTCTTTTCCCGTGCGTTGGGAATCAAGAGGATGGAGCCGTGAAGGACGGAGAGCCGCGGGGTGGCGGAGAGGACGTCCGGCGGTTGGGGCGCGACGGCGAGCAGCAGGCGGGAGCCAGGTTGCGCTGGGTACTTGTGGCCGCAATCCCACGCAGACTGGCCCGCGTGGAACGTCGTCGAGGGGAGTAGCAGGATCAGAGGTCGGCCGCTCCGGAAGGTTCGTCCACAATGCACCGCGCTATGACCGTGCTCGCACACATTTTGGTACGGCCGGCGTCGGGATTCAACGGAAGCCACCGCTCTCGTGTTCGCGGAACGTGGGGCCGGGGCCGAGTTTTCAGCAACACGCAGTTCGCGAGGCGTTGCCGCTGTCCGCGGGTGTACTTCGTCGACCTTTGCGGAGGACGCGAGAGCCTTCCGATGCCACATGGTCAAGTTGTGTGCTCATCAAGGAGCTCGTGCGGCCAACCTGTCGAAGGTTGTGGCCCATGCGGCCGCGTCAAATTCTTCACATTCGCGCGGTCCCGCAGCCTGCGTTGTGCTCCAAGAAGTGTGGCGACGAAGTACCTGAACGCGGAGGGGGATATCAGCTAAAACAAGTCCGAGGATGGTACCGCGAACATATACGCATGTTCGCCATCGACATAGAAGCGCACCTTGGCTGATGAACAAGTTGAAAGATGTGGCTTGCACCCGAGCAACAGACCCCGCTTACATCAGCTCTCACGCGCGTTGGCGCCGCGTTCTCGAGCCTCGGCGGGCAGACTCGAACATCCACTTCCTCCTACCTTTCCCCATCCACACCCATCCTGCCCTGCGAAACTCTCACCAAGACACGCCTTGCTCTTGATTCGCCACTTCATCCCTCTCCGAGCCATGATATCGTGCTGCAAGTTTAGCACATTTCTCGCAGAGTACGGAGTGCTGACACCCTTCTCATGAACTCAAGGGGCATAGGTACGCTGCGATCCATACTGCCTGAGTTGGTGTCGCTATGCCTGGTCTGAAAACTTAACCGGCTTTCCCTCAGGACGTTCCCACCTGTCCTGTTCGGATCGACTGTGAGCTCGAGATGCGCATGAGGTTGAGAAGTTCTGGAGGGCTGCGACGGAGATAGGGTTTGGTAGTGAGTGACTGCGCAGTGCTTCAGTGAACGTTACGACTAACCGGTGATCCGTCCCAAGCCTCATGAACCACGGTAGCGTTCGGGGTGTATGTAAATAATTGCATACAAAGTTTTAATAACCGTTTGTAAACACTGTATGCAAACGGGTGTGTAATGGCCCTCTGGGGAGGTCCGGTTTTGAGTTGTTTGCAAACAAATTGCCAAGCGCGCGCCTATGGGATCGCGTGAGAGAGAGAGAGAGAGAGAGCGTTGAGCGCGTCCTGTCAGCCCACCGATGCTTACTCTCAGATTTGCCTCAACTGCCGACTCTTTCTCTCCGAAGATGCAGTGTCTGCTCAAAACTGGCCGGCGCCGCCGCCTCACGCCACCTTCTCTCCGCTCTCGCCCAACCTCAAATCCCGCCGGCCTTAGAGTCTCCTCGTCAATGCCCAGCTTAACCAAAACCAGGCTAGCAGCTTAAATGTGAGTGTTCATATGTCCGAGTTCGTCTCCATCAATGCGATTGTTCCCTGTGCTCTCTTCGATATATTTTTCGTGCCATTCAAACAACACTTTCTCGGACCTCCTCTTGGATTCCGTCGCGCCCGCAGTTTTCTTGTCAGTTTAACTCATACTATTCCTCTTATACTGCCACCCCGTCGTCGGACCCATCCTCTTTTCACCTCCTCCGGGTCTTTCCATGGCACCCACTTCAGGTATATATACTGCGCCGAGATGTTCTGCGCAGAGCAGCTCACACTCACACCCCGTGTGTCTCTACGGCTTTGCGCTGCTCTGCTCCTCACCCCTACCCACTCGAGTTTGCGTCCCACACCATCTCGCGTGTCGTGTCTACGCACGTCCGTCTCCTCCCTTCCTCTCTTCCTGGTCTCTGCGCGAGCGCCTCGTATTTGCTTCCACCTATCTCAAACCTTCCACGCATCACGAGCTCCTCCCCACTGAGAACTGAGCGTCACACCACCGATATGGCCCCCCTCGTCACGAGTCTCCCCGATAGTATCCTTCAACGACTGAACGTCCTTCGTGTCTGTCTAGGCTCGCTTCCTGCCACGGTACCCCTCTCCGATGCCGTGACACCTCGGTACGACTTCCGCGACTGGCAGTGCAACACAACTCTGCTCGAAGATTTTGGCACCCACGCATGCGTACTCAATCATGACCTTGAGGTCGTGCTGGCTCCAAACGGCCGTCGGCCTGGTACTCGCCCCGTCGAGTTCAAGGAACGTGGCCCAGGACTTACGGCCGTCCCCGATGCCATCGCAGCTGCGCTGTTGAAGACGGGTTGTGCCTCTGATGCCGTTTTGGAGAAGTGGATCGATGATCTCACTGCATCTGCGCGATCTTATCAGGTGTGTAGCCCATTGCCAGACCGCCTACCTGCGTTGTTAATGATTAATGCTTCCGACAGACAGACTGCACGATTATTTCGGGGCAAGAAGCCGATGACAACGACGACGACGACGACGACAAAGACCATGGCGCCGTGGACGACACCGCAGAGACCGGCGATACATCGTCTGATGACGACGCTCGTGCGTCGAAGTACCTCAAAGTCGCCACAACCGGTGATTCATCTGTCGACACATCCGCGGCGCCAGCCCGGCGTATACGCAAACGCAAGAAGAGGGCTTCGGTCCTCACATCCACATGGGATGATTGGTCGAGTGCCTCCGAAGACGAGCTGGAAAAGACGGTGTCTGGTACGTATATTCGAGCGTTGTTTTGTAAACGCGTTGACTTACAATGCGGCAGGGAAAAGACGCGGGCGCAAGCAGAACATGCTCGTTCGAGAGCTAGCCCTTCCGTGTCGCAAGAAGGGCGACCTGACGGCGGAGAAACGCACAAGGTGTATCGGGATGAAGCCCACAGCCACGGGTCGTCCAGGTTGCGATACGACATTCGCTTGGGCCTCCGGCAAGTCCGGAAGGGCGAAGCCTCGAGTACTTGCTCACGCGGCGAGTTGCGACTACGTGCCCCCGGATCCTCGTCAGAAAGCACTGGTCGAGCTTGGCGTGGATGCTCCCTCGACTCGAGTAGAGTTGAACACCCAGGCCACTGCTGCTGCGTCGTCGTCGTTCAACGGCTCTACGAACATGGCGCAGAAGGTGTAAGTTGATCACGCTGCGAGTCTGTTCTTGTGCGATTAGCTTACTCCTGTACTGATAGACTTCTTCAAACCTCGATCGTTCCGCACGCGACCAAGGCGAAGACCAAGGCAATCAATGACACTCTACGCGTCGACATGCTGCAGCTGTGGACAGTTGCACTCTTGCCGTTCTCTGTCGCCGATTCGTGCGAGTTCAAGCAGCTCGTTGATCACTTGTGCTCTTCGGCGACACCTCCTTCTGCCACCACCTTGACCGATGCGTTAATTCCGACTGAGGCAGCCAAGGTTACACTCGACATCATCAAGATGCTCAAGGGAAAGGAAAACCTCACGCTCTCGTTCGACGGACAGACGACCCGAGGCCAGGAGTCTATCTACACGTTCACGGTGACCACCGACGAACGAGAAGCCTATCTGATTGACGGCAAGTCAACATCGGCAGAGTCTCACACTGCGGACCACATTGCTGCTCACGTGTTCGAGGTACAGTGATATTTCTGGTTTGTGCCATGATGGATGCTTGCCGTACTGATAATGTGTATGCTTCGCAGATCATTCAGCAGATTGGTGTCGAGAATTTCAGCTCCATCGTCTCTGATGACACCGGGAACACTCGAAAGACGCGGGGCACAGTCACTAAGAGACACGAATGGATGCTCAACTTTGCCGACACATGTCATCGTCTTCACAACACGGCTCAAGATATCGGCAAGCTGTCAGCATTTAAAAAGGTATGCATTGTGTCTCTCATCGTCTTACACTGCTGAATGAGACCAATATCCATGGTAGACGATCGCAACCTGCAAGCGGGTTGTGAAATACTTTGCGAAGTCGACAATCGCGAAGACGGCCTTGAAACGAGCGATGCTGCGGAAAAACATCAAACGTGGTCTGGTCGGCTTTAGCAAGACGCGCTTCGCTGGTGTTGTGCACTCTGCTGAATCGGTGAGACGCTGCTTGCCAGCCCTTCACGAGATCGTGGAGAAGGAGGCTTCCATGGTTGACATACCTGTACGTTGATTTCGATCCAACGCAAGTTTACTGCGGTACTCACAGAGACCCCCGCTGGGGCCCGCAGGACGTCCACGCGTCCTTTGTTCCTAACACACGGGCCTCCGGAACCTTCATTGCAGATCTTTCGATGCTCCTCAGCATCCTTGGGCCCATTGCAAAAGCAATCGAGTGCCTTGAGTCGGCGCACTCGACTCTCGCAGATGTTTTCATGTTCTGGCTGGCGGTTATGGCCTCATACGACACGTTCCTTGCGGACACGTCTCGCTCAGCCGATCTCTCCGACGAGACCAAGGACGAAATCCGACGCATACTCAACTATCGATGGAAGCAGATGATTGAACCCCCACTGAACACCTCCAAAGGCGACCACACTCAAGGGACCAGTGTCTATGTCGCTGCGTTTGTTCTGCATCCAGGTGATTTCATTTCGCCAACTACTGATTGTCCGGTGCATGCTCACACCGATCAAGAGTATCGGTCGAGTGGCATCCTGAAGCCTACAGTAGTGATTCGCCAGGTGCATCCATTGTGACAGCCTATCAGCAGGTGCGGATGCATCTGGTGCCAGCCGGCCCGGTTGCGCTCGACACCGCCTTCCCCAAGCGCGCCCTTGGGACAGCGTCGCACCCAGATGTCCGGACACCGGCGCCTCAGGCGCCGCCACCTGAGCTCACTGTCTCCGACAGTGAGCTCGCCTCCCTCTTTGCTTCACACCACATCTTGTATATGATTAGTGATAAAAATATATTTATTAGTAAACTACTACATAAGTGTGCTAGTAAGTAATACCATGCCCCTCGGGACAAGGCGGAGGACGTGGGCGACGTGAACGCGGGAGACGCGGAGGCGGGCGACGCGAAGGCAAGCGATGCGGAGGAGAGGGACGCGGAGGGCTGGGACGAGGCGGAGTAGGTGGTGGGCGACGCGGGCGGGGGTGTGCGGTGCGAAGGGGGAGGAGGCGCAGAGCAACAAGGGCGGGCGACGCGAGCGGAGGAGACGACGCCGGCGGGGGAGGCGACGCCGGCGGAGGAGGTGACGTCGGCGGAGGCAGAGGAGGGCAGCGCGGGCGGAAGTGGACGAGCCGGAGGAGGCGGGCAACGCGGAGGGGGAGGACGCGGAGGAGGAGGAGGAGGAGGAGCGCGGACGCGGGGGGCCGGGACGAGGCGAAGGAGGGGGAGCCTAGCGAGGCGCATAGATGCGGGTGGCGGGAGGCGGCGCGGACGCGGACGCGGGCGACATGGAGGTGCGGGAGGCTGAGGAGGGTGTGCGGGCGCAGGCGGGCAGCGCGAAGGTGGGCGGAGAGCAGCGCGGAGGAGGGCAACGGGGAGGAGGGCAGCGGCGAGGTGGGCGAGGTGGACACGGAGGTCAAGGCTGGCGGCAGGCCGGATGGGCGAAGCCGGAGAGGAGAGGTGGGCATTGGGAGTGCAGGAGGGCGGAGCGGGGGACTCACCAAAACAAGGGCCGCGGTACATCGCCGCGACCCCCTAATTCTAATCTCCATGCTGAGGACGTCCGGATGGACGTCCTCGTGCGGTGTGGACCTGTGTGGACGCGGCCGGCAAAGTGGGCGAAGGACGGCATGGAGGTTGAGGTTGAGGTCGAGGGAGGAGGAGGAGGGGAGCTGAACGGTGTCACCAGGTGACACCGGAGTCCAATAGCAGACGAAGGACGACTGTATAGTCGCTATCGTCTGCCTGGGCGGTGGAGGCGGAGCAGGAGGAGGAAGAGGAGGCGGGGAGGAGAGCAAGGACGGCGGGAGGGACGCGTGGCGTGCATCACAGCCACGCGGCAATGCGCGCCACGCGTCCTTGCCGCCCACCGAGGCGCGTCTCCACGGGCGCGCATCACGGATCGCCAGATCCGTCCAGATGCATCCGTAGCTGCCGATAGGCTATCGCAACGGATGCACCAGGGAAATCACCTGTGCTCGAGGGGAGGAAGATGACTACACTATCTCTAGCAGTGCGCGCGCATCTCAGCATGCCGATGTACTCGACGCTCGGGAGTGGGTTGAGGGTGGCAAGCTGGCAGGCAATGTGGTGTTGCTGGACTTTGTTGCGGATGCGCCGATTGCGGGCGGTCAGATCTCGCGCGAAGGCCCGGGGCTGCAGACGCCGTGTTCTGAGGTACTTCCTGGTGACATGGAGGCTGACGATGACGTGCCCATGGACTGGAGCCTTCGAATGGATGTAGCTATGTAGCAGAGCGATGAATCACTCAGTCTTGTTTGCAAACGTGTTAATTATACCTGTTTGCAAACGTGTTATTATTGGTATCGTTTGCAAACATGTTCAAAATTAGTGCCCATTTACACCCCGAACGCTACTGCCGAGACGAGAGATCGCGGCGCCAACGCGCGTGATGTAAGCGAGGTCTGTCGCCCACATGGGCAACCCACATCTTTCGACTTGTTCATCAGCCAAGGTGCGCTTCTACGTCGATGGCGAGCATGCGTATATGTTCGTGCCACCATCCCCATAGTCGCCTTTCTGGACTTGGTTTAGATCGCTGACGTCCCCCCTCCTCGTTCAGGTACGCCGGGTGTTTACAGAGACAAGCGCAGCCGGCCTCGTCCCAATAGCGCCTCAGATGGGGTCGCCGCATGAAGCGCGACACCTCCAACGTAAGCCATGACAGGATAACGACCCGAATTCGGCCGCACACCGCCCAGCTCAGGCCGCAGGACCGCGCGAATGGAAAGACGTTGGCGCGCCGCACGAGCGCGCACAACCCCCGACAGACAGCTGGCCGAACGAGCTGCTTCACTCGAGCACACAGCTCGAACATGAAAGCGGTGGCGTCCGCTGAATTCCGATGCTGGCGGTAAGTACCCAAAACGTGTACGAGCACGGCGTAGCGCGGTGCGGACAAACCTTCCGGAGCGGCCGCCCAGTCCACGACGACGTCCCGCGCGGCCCAGTCCGTGTGGGATTGCGGCCACAAGTACGGAACGCGACCTAGCTCCCACCTTTTGCTTTCCGTCGCGCGTCGGCTACTAGACTTCCTCTCCGCCACTCCCATGTATGTAAGTACGTGAATATATATTCGTACCGTTCGCCCAACGCAGGCCAATTTCCCTGGGGGAAATAAGGGGCGCTTAAAGGGGAGCACATGACTCCATCTGGCGCCCGAGACCAGCTGCCAACCAAAATACAAATGCGTTGGATCGGAGTCGAACATGCTCACATATAGAACACCTGCACGCTTTACCAACTACGCCACAACCCCAATGCCAAGTGCCACATTATATATTTCATGTCCTGTTATCTTACATCCAGGGCAATAAACTTGATCTCTGGCCAATTTCTTGCGGGCGCTTGTCGCCCCGCGCTCGCCGCCCCGCCGGCGCCTCCCGCCTCCGCCACCCGTGCTCATCGTTCCAGACAGCGAGCTCACTGTCCCTGCGCCCTGCCTCTCCCTCCCCTCCGTTTCCTTCCGTTCTTTTTGTGATATCCTCGCATTTAAAATGCGCGCTCAATGGTGAATACAGCGATACATGTGTATGTCACATCACTGTACAGTATGTCATTCTGAAATAACATGTGACATCATACCGCCACCTCTGCAGTTATTCACCTGCTACCTCAAGATTAAACCAGCTATCACATACGACCATTTTATGCAGAAGTTATTCTATCAATGGAATGCGTGCATATGTTTCTATGTTGCACGCATTGTGAGAGGTGTAAGGGCTCAGTGCAGGCACATCCAGCCCGCTGTAGCTACTGTATTGTGTACCATTGAGCGCGCATTTTAAATGCGAGGATATCGCAAAAAGAACGGAAGGAAACGGAGGGGAGGGAGAGGCAGGGCGCAGGAACAGTGAGCTCGCTGTCTGGAACGATGAGCGTGGGTGGCGGAGGTGGGAGGCGCCGGCGGAGTGCAGTGTCCGGATATATCGGGGTGGCGTGTGAGCGCCCACGGCCAGGAAGCCTTCGGGGACGTCGGGGAAGGGGGGAATTCTTCCCAGGGGAAATGCGACCTTCCTCAAGCCCATTTTCCAGGGGCCAAGCTAACGGGATATAAAGTACAAAATGTGGATCACTATAATGCGAAGATGGCGGAGTTGGTACAGCGCCTGGGTGCTTCTAGGTGTGCGTGTTCGATTCCCGCTTGGGGCTTTGTATTTTGGTTGCCTGCTATTATCCGGCGCCAAGTGTGGTCACATGCTATCCTTTAAGCGCCCTGCATTTCCCCTGGGGAAATAGGTGTGCGTTCAGTGAACGGTACCAATTCTTATTCACGTACTGCGGTCCCTCGCCACTCCACGGCTCTCCGTCTTCCACGACTCCAAACTCTTAATCGCTAACACATGGGAACAGACGTTCCCCTCGACGTTCCTCCCGACCGTCCATTTTCCCGCCGAGCGCACCATCATCGTCACACGCTGCCCCCAATGGCGCGCCGTGCGCGCCCTCGTCGACGCCCTCCGCCTCCCAGCCGCCGGCCACATACAGCCGCTCCCCAAGCGCTCCAGCACCGTCTCAACACGCCTCCCGCGCCCACGAGCGTGAGCCTCGACGCATTGCATGACGACCTCACTCTCGTCGTCACCTCCACCTTTACAAGTCCGCCGCGACCGCACACCCGACACGCACGCCTTCCCCGCGCGCTGGATCGAGCACGGCCTCCCCTCCGCGCTCGCGCTGCGCCTCTGCCTCTAGACCAACGCCGAGCTCGCGTTCGCCACACTCCTAGAGCACAGCGCTCGAAGCTCTCACCGTGCTCTCTTCGTGATTACTGCGAGCGGGTGCGGCCACCGTTGCATGCCTGCGCGCGGCGCGAGCTGAGCCGGACGCGGAGGAAACTGGCTGCCCGGCCCTCCGCATGCTCACGCTCGAGCTGTAATCGCCGTCGATGCCGCCGGCGCGCGCGGACGTCGTCGCGCTCGACGGCTTCCCTCGCATTCTCCCGTGGCACTCGACACCGTACAGGCTGTCCTATCGTATGCTTAATCACCCGCCTCCTCCTCCTCCTCCTGGCTCTTGACAGCGATCGATGTCATCCACGATCCCTCGGCCGGCTCACTCCGACTCCACCTCATGCCGTTTATTCGATTCTCTTAGGAATCCCCTGTCGAGGCCACCGGATCTCTCTCCACACCCGTCGCGCCATCCCGGTCTGTTCTGCGCTCGTTTCCCTAGCAGTGCTTGACACAGATTCGAGCTGGGAAACGGGGTGACGTAACTGCGGCGTCTGATCTGGACGCGTTGCAGGCCCTTCTCATAGGTGAGTATATATGCAGTTGAATAAGGATGCGGGAGGATTGATACGTGCTGACACCCAGTTTCCAGGCAGGGCGCGTCTTCAGACGAGTGTCCTCACATCTGGAAGGAGTGGACGACTATGCAGCCCCACATTGGAGATTACGCAGAGAGACAGCCCGCGGAACCGAGGGCGCTCTCCCCATGTTCTACAACCCGATGTACGTTTGACCTTTCCCTGAAAGCGGTCATCGGCGACTCATCCTCTCTTTTGCAGAAATCCCACCCAGGCAAGCTTCAGTATGCAGGATTCGTCCGCGGCGGTGGTCCTGTAACTGACACGCGATATTGATAGACCGGGACGGACAATGTGGTTGATGTTGGACATCGCGAGTTTGCCCGCGGACCGCCTCTCCGAGCTTGCGTTCTTCTTTGGAGGTGTTACAGATGGTACGTACTCCGACATACCCTCGTTTGATGCAATGCACTGACCTATCTGCAGACCGTCTCATCTTCGGAGCAGCGTCCCGGCGACGACCAAAGAACAAGCCAGCCCCTTCGCCCTCCTCGACATCCATGACGCCACCGTTGCGCGGGACCTCCGCCCCAGCTCAACACCACCTCAGACCCGACGGAGCGCATCGAGATCAAAGCTACCCTGGTGTGTGCGTACTCCGGTGTGATCATGCGGCCTAGGGAATGGCACGGATCGGGTATGGGCAAATGAAGCATGCCCTTACCCGACCCGCAACGTACCCTGACCCTCATCCGCGGGTACGGGTTTGGACGAGCACGGTACCTTTCATCATTGCTGGTGCGCAGTAGACGTGAGCGTTTCATCAGCACCGGGGGACAATGTCATGCAACAGGAAAGGAGAGACGTACGACGAGCTGGGAGGTGTGAGCATTGGGTTCATAGCACACGCGTTGAGGTAAGATGGGATATCGCGCGTTCGCTCATCGCTAATCCCGTCGCATAGGCCCCAAGCGAACCAGCTCGTGCGCAGCGAAGTCAGTGGATGGTGCATCGCGCGCTCGCGCCGGCAGCCGCGTGCTCTCGATCTCTTTGAAGCGAACGTGCCCGTGTTAATAGAAGATTAGGAGGCCGGGTATACTACTACAATGGTGAGAATACGCAGATTATAGCGATACAGATGGAGAACTGACAACAGCACTCGCACAGCGGGGTCATCCATTCTTTAGAACACGATTCTCAGTGCGCGCGGTCCTGAGTGCTGCTTGGGTTGTAAGTGGGTGCACTGGAACTTGTTGGACTTGTCTCATACTGACCACCACACCTCCTTATAACGGGCCCATCAACTGATACCCTCGCGCTGTCGCCGTAGGGTGCAGGCGCACGAACATCACATCTTCAACCAGCCTAGCGCCCGCGCGATCATCTCCGCGTTCGGTCCTCGTCTTCGCGCATCTCGTCTATTCCGCCTCGCGCACATATCGGGACCCACACACAGATATCTTATGAATATTTCGTACGCATAGCTCATGGAGCTGTCAAGACACGACGCATGGCGTCCTCCGTGCACTCTCGTGTGGTCTACTCCGTGCGCATTCGATCACCACCACCCGCGGCGCGGCGCCCTCTCCCTCTTGCAATGGCACACTAGAGCCATCATCGTACGTCCTCTTATCACTTCATTGCCTATACAACGATCCGGAATATCCACCTTCTTCGTCCCCTTTTCATTTCTCTCTGTCTTGGTCCACCTCCATCCACCTCCACGCTCTCTCTAGCTTCTTCCGTAGTGTCCCCCGCGCCACGGATTTATAATTCGCTTCGGTACAGTATCTTCTCCTAGATACGCCCTCGCGCCGCGCGCGCTGTATGTATGTAGGCTATGAGTCAACTTTCTATTCTGGCGTGTGCCAGCTTCGCGTCGACTTCTTCTCGCTACACCTTGACAGGCTCGCCCACGCCCACGCCCACGACCCCGTCCTGACTCTCGCCCTCGCGCGCATCCTTCATCATCTCGCCTGCCCGTGTGCGCGACCTCTTCTTTCCCGCGTCTATTATCCCGTCCAGTTCGCGCGCCCCACGTTCGGCCTCCACGCGGGGCGTCGTATCTTGCTTCTTTTTCACCTTACCCAACGTTCCGAGCCTCGCGGATATGCGAGATCGATCCCTCGTCACCCCTGCCACCGACTCTACGCCAAAGTTGGCACCACATCAGCGTGCAACAGCATCGTCACGACCTTCCATGCGCGATGCTAGCGATAGATGGAAATGTTGGTTGGCTCCAGAAAATGTGCGGTGATGTTTACAGTCGGCCGCGCTCTACATCTCATACCACTGCCAGACCTGAAGCTGTGCGCAAATTAATTTCTTCGTCTACCATAACTTGAAAAAGCGGAATTTCACTTGCAGCGTTTCTCTACCCAACGGACTAGGAAATAACGATAACACGACTTCCCAATACAACCACTCGACTCGGCGCTCCACTGGCCATGGTCCGTCCATGTCGATATGATCCGTTTTGCACGAATGTGCAGCCGCAGCGGCCGGGGCTCTTTCACCGCGGTAGGACCAACGAAGGATGCAGACGCGTGGTCGGCGTGGTACGCCTGGACCTGGCGTCTCCGTGGCGATCCGGGATGACAGAGAGGTTGGCCTGGATGAGTGTGGGTCACGGTTGTCGACGGCGGACTTGGTACGAGAGCATGTCCCAAGAACGACTACGAGCCTTCGAAGATAGTTGCCAGTAAACCAAAGGGAGACGTCTTCGGAGGAACAAGGCGACGGCAGGGTGCTTCTGTCACCGTCGAAGAAAAGTCTAATGTTCCGGAGCTGGAGGAGGTCACGAAAGACAAGGTGAAAGGGGGAGCCGGTAGTGGTGGATTCGCAGAAGCGCCTCAGCGACTCCATCCCTGCGCTTTCGCCCTCGGAGAGGTCACCGGTGTACGGCGGGAGGGCTACAACGCGGAGGTCGGTCATCTTCCAGCCATGTGAGTCGATCGCCGCACTTGATTCCCGCAGCGACACAACGGGGTTCTCTGTGGGCTGGTATAGTGGAGCAGCGTGAGCGTTGAGCTTGTCGTCCACCCTTTCAAGCAAGAGGAAGACGGGCCCGTCGGGATCTCTGCAGAACAAGTCGACGAGGAGGAATCCCCCCGCGTCATCCAGAGGCAGAACGGCCGCGTGGAGCTCGATCCCGCCTGGTGACACGGAAAACGTGGGAGCACGGAGTTCTGTGGTTGTGCTTGCAATCGAGCTGTGCTAAAATGGTCGTCAATATAGTACAGCGTAGAATGGCATCCACACCAGCGTACCTCATCTTGTCCTCTCTGCGAGCGGGCGCTGGTTTCGTATCTGATTACCCTGGGAATAGGGTCGTATAGCCTAAAGGTCGGCGAAGGCTGAAGGGGGAGAAGATGGCGACGTATTCGGCTGTTGGGCGTTCTCTGGAGGTCCGATTTGAGGCTATCTAAGTCGTACGCATGCCATCGTGCTCCCAAGAGAAATATCGAAGGATCCCGCGAAGTCTTCGAGATCTCCATGAGGAGCCGGGAGAATGCGAGCCGGCCTTCGCCGTAGAGCGTCGGCATGTTGACCCCGAAAAGCCCGAAGAGGCTGTAGGCGGCGTCTTCCGGCCTCGTGGTTTCCCGATGCGCCGCCCAGGATATGCGCGTCGCGATGCTCGCGTCGGTAAACGGGCTCTCGAAGCGGAGGACTACCGCAGAGATTCCAGTTGCCCATTCTAGGCGATCGGCGAGCTCGTGCTTGCTACCCAGACAGGTCCACTCTGTGGAATAGAACACGAGGACGCGGGACGCGATGAGCTCTTGGAGAGTCCAGCCCCGCGAGTGCCAGCGGCTGCTTCGGAAGGAGTGCCACATCTTGTATGAATCATCGTAGGAGTATCCAACGTCGCTGAGGTAGACGTAGCAGATGGTGGAGAGGGCGTAGTAGCGGAACATGGAATTGATGCCTTCCGAGAGCTCAGCACTGCTCTCCTTGTTGATACAGCACGTGTCGACCCAAGCATACTCGTAACCGTGCTTTTCGCAGAGCTCAAGGAACGATTGGACTTTGGGAGTGAGGCGATCGCGCGGGTTTTTGAGCGCCAAAAATCCCTTTGAGATCACTGGGGAGATGAGAGATCGCAGCTTAGACCGGAGCGAGGGAGCGTTGGATTCTTCGTTCAGCTTTTTAACCCTTTGAAACGTGTCTTCTTTTTCTCCCCAGGTGTGCGACAGGATAACATAGCCTCCAGGAACGTCTTCAGGTTGGGGAAAGAAGACGAGGTTCGCGCGCGCGGTGCCCAGGAGCCACATTGCTTCCTTCGTGAATGTTAGCACATGTATTTCACGCAAGGGTAGTAAGCACGAATACCGGGTGAGAGGTGATGTGCACGATTTGCGGGAGGGGTACAGAAACTTGGGGAGCATGAGAAAATGCGATACAAAGCATCGGAAGAGGGGACGTACGATGAGAGTATCCAAGACGGTCGATGGGTTTTGCGGTACTTGGGTTCACAGAGGATGTCGATGGCTGGGAGGAGACACAAGATGGACGGGAGGAGACGTGAGATGGGTCGAGGGCTGAGGGCGAGACGCAAGAGGCCAAGTTGCTGCAAGGGCGACCCCGGTCTCATACACCGACCGCATGCTCCGCCATGCGGAACATGCATGCGATAGCCTCGGAGCACTTCCGATGCTTCTGCTGAGAAATGAAAGCGAACACAGTGTGGGCAGGCTTCGCGCTACCTAGGGCGAGATGACCTTCCCTGCCACGAAAATGTCAGGTTCTGATAACATGCGTGTTCACCCTTGGGCGAGGCTGAGAGGTATGTCATTCGTCGCGAGGTACATGATATAGTCCGATACCCAGATGTTCGCCGACGCTTGTATCGCCGGAGTAGACTCCAGTAACCGCGAGTGTCTCAGTCGCGCTCGTTATAAATGACAGTGTATGCGCGCGAATGGGCACCATATGCCAGTGGGGGGCGAAGCGGGGAATCGGAAAGCAGCTCGACGCCGTCTCCAGGAAGGACAAGCGCGATACTGTAGATCTCCCAGCCGCACAACCCTGGTTTGAGCGGAGATGAACACCCCTGAGACAAATGAGTCAGCTGGTCCAGGCATGCACAAAACATACTGTTGCAACGAGGATTCAGGCAGGTTCGCGGCAGTGCTTCGCCGCATTGCCGATGACCCCATGCCACGGTCCAGGCGGGTTGTGTACAGAAGCATCGCTGCGGAGATGTTTGCACCGATGATCTTCGCAACCTCAGTCGGTCACAAGAGCACGTCCGCATGAATAGCAGGATCCATGATACTGAAGAGCAGCGGAGCAGCCGGCATCAATATCCCGGAGTAGCACCTTGAGCGCAGGAAGGAAGTGAGGAGCGAGCTGCAGACTCACATGATCACCGCGGTGCGCTCGACCACGCGGACGATAACGCATGTCCAGGAGGACGTGCCGAACAGAGGGTTCCGGAATCAGACTCAAAACAGCGAGAAACGAGGATTCGGTCGTGGTGCGGCTCTAGACCCGGATGGAGAACTTCGAGGGGAGCTTCCGTAGACGATACTATGCGCCGCGTGTTTTGCGGGGGACGCAATTGGCTGGAAACGCATGCACCAGCGCCAACCAGCCCACGGTCCGTATTCTGTCGGTATCGGCGGCCGTCTCTTCCTCGTTTGCTGCAGGCGTTCATGAGCGATATATCGTCTTCTGTTCCCGCGGCGTTCGTTACTCATGCGGAAGGGGATCGTGGCGTTATCCCCCGCGATGCCCGTGGACACGGTGCTGCGGCGGATTGACGGACTCATCGTTTGTCGAGGCGGCGGAGCGAAATACGTGGAAGGCGGGACCGTGCAGGTGGAACGGGCGCGGCTGACCGGGCGTGGCGTAGCCAATAGGATGGGGAAGAAGACATGGCGAGGTCGTCCGCGCCGCCTAGGATCCAGAGGGGACGGAAATGCGCGGGAGTCGGCACCAAGCGATACGAGCTCGCGGAGCGCATCGGGCGCACAACACGCACCCCGTCTTCGTCCTCCGTCTCGAGACGCTGCCCACGGACATGTGCATGAGCGTCGCCGTGAGCATGGCAAGGAGAGGACAATCTGCAAGCGCCGATGACGACCGCCTGTTTATGCCCTGCGGACCGGCGAGCTCCGGACGCCGGAACACCCGCAGGCTGGAGGCGCAGGTGCTACGCTCTCTCCTGCTCTTCGTCCACACCCTCGTGCCTCTTCCCTGGACGCGGGCGACGCGCTCTCGTTTCTTCTCGGTGGTCCTCGCGTGGTCAAGTTCCAACCCTGTGAGATCAGCATGAGCCGCCTTCACAGGGTGCCGCGTTCTTTTGGCAGTCTGCGTATCGTTGCGTCCACAGATACTGAACAGGCGGTCTAGCCTTCTCGCTGGCTCCTGACAGCAGAGGCTCCTTCGCCACCTGTCATCGAATCTAGCTCGGTACGTATCTGCCATTGTCTTCATTCTTTGTCAGGGCCCTTCTGACCTCCGGTTCCGCTCAGGACTGTCGGCCGCCTCGTCAGTGAACACCCACTCTCCGCACTCATACGACGGGCTGGGAATTTCGAGCGAGAGCGTACGGTCGGCGGTGGCTGAGGCCAAGGGTGAGTCCACAGCTGCGCCCTCTCCCCACACAGCGATCAACGCCTACCCTGCCCTGTGGTTGTGTCGACTGCTTACCATCGCAATCGCCGCGTCCTCTCAGACGTGCGCGTTCTCCCTCATTCATAGTTTGTTCACCGTCGGCAGGCGATGTCAGTCGTCGAGGCGCATGTTCAATGCCTCATCGAAATACAAGACGTTGTTAACACTCAAGTACTCATGAGCGTCGACCTGTTCAACTCGTACGTCCTCGGGAACCCCTGGCGGGTGCGCTCGAGAAGCAACCCAGTGTTAATGGTGAGTTCAGGTCATTCTTGTTACCGTGTACCACAGTTGGCGCTCCCCTCCGATGTAGTGAGGTAGCTGATGGGTCTTTCTCAGCGAACTTGTACTTGCTAAGGGGTCTCGCTCGCGGACGAGAGCATATAACTGTGTAGGTTGCCGACGAGCTGGCGTGCCGACACTCCTGTGGCTCCCTCGACGGCTCAACCTGAAGAGGGAACGGCAGTCAAAGTTAGTAGAAAGGCTTGTCGCGCTTCAACTTCGCGCAACCGAGGTGTGTATTGTGTTACGATTACATGGATTCACTCGTGCTGACGATGATTCTATTCCAGCCCGCTGGGACAACGATGTGTTTCACGCGTCCCCACTTCTCGCCTACCCGGGTCGAGTGCTGGTCTATCACGGGGACAATACTGCTTGCAACCAGGCCGCGGTGCGTTATTTCGCATTTTTGATTTTCCATGCACTTTCTAACATATCGAAGATAACAGATGTCCAACATTCTTGACAGCAGTGGACCAACGACTCGCACGGAGGACCCTATTGGCAGCTCGAGCACGGATCATCGATATCGCAGGATCCTCTCTGCGCAATCGTAACTTCTCGCGTTTGCGGCTGCTCCGGGGTCTTATCCTCGCCCGCTCTTGGGGAGATCTTCACTGCCTTCCGCTACTCGGCCTCTGTCCCACAGCAACACCGTCGAACTTGCCTGTTCGGCCGGTCAAACCCACGAGACAAGGAGCCTCCCACGTGCACATGGCAAGACGATCGTCTCGAACAAGGACTGTGCCGCGGAAGAAGTCGAGGCTTCTACTCGCGTTGCGATACTTGCGAAGGACACCACCCCCGTGCTCCTCCACTGCTCATCCGGAGTCCGGCGGACGGGCGTGTTCATCGCCATCGACGCCGTCCGCGGCAAGATGCAGAAGCACAAGGAGGCCTAGGTCGAGGCCCCCGTCATCTCGCAATCCGTGTCGATCACTGAAGTGTGTCCGACGAGCAACGCAGATGCACCAGGGTCCCCAGCGACACCCCCAGCGACGCCCCCAGCGACGCGGATCCCCCGGCTCCATCCAACTTCCCAACGGTGATGAAGGGACGACACACAGCCCACGGTTCCGGTCTCTGTCGGCGACTGCGAAGTTGGTGTCCCTGTCGCCGGCTTCACCTCGAACTTCATGGATGTCGACGCCCGCTCCCGTCCGGTCCCTGTCGCCTCCACGCCCCACACGCTGCCGCGCTCGTCCGACGCGGTCCGGCCCCCGACACTGGAGGCTTCGCCCGAGCCCGTGGAGGAGGTCCGTCACGCGGCGATGGGCGTGTTGCCGGCTACCCTCTGCGCAGACGTTGCCCCGTTCTGCCCGTCAAGGACCAGCTGCACGTGTTCGACCGGTGGCAACAGCGGCGGCTCCGTGGGTCGGAGCAGTGGGAACACGCGAACCTCCCGTCCGGCGGCCAAGCTCGCCAGCGATGAGCGCGTCGGACGGCCTCCCGAGCTCCGTCATCGGAAGGACGGGGAGGTCGTGCGTCAACGTCCTGCAATCGACGTCGACGAGCTCAGGTTCCCGTCCCTCGTCGACACCGCCCGTGCCGTCAGCGAGCGATACGGCTGCTAGCTCCTCGGCACCGCCGCAGGCCGAAGCATCTTTGTCCTCGGACCTGTCGCTCGCCGCCCAGCCGCAACGGGTCCACTCCTGGTGGTCCGAAGTCCACTCGTCGAAGGAGGGGCACTCGCCCTCGCCCCCCTCCAGTGCTCGCCGCTGCCGCGGGCCCTTCCTGCCCCGCTTCTGTCCTTCTCCGCCAACGCCAACAATCCGCGGAAGGCGTTCTAGAACTGAAGATCCGAATGGAACGATGAATTCCGCAGGACCAAACCAGTGCGCTGCCAGGTATGTGCGGCCGTTGAAGCCTCGCCCATCGTTGCTCACAAAGTCACTTCTCAGCGTCCGTGACGCCCGCCACATTCAAGACCGTCGTCTCGTGGTCCGCCATTTAGTCTACGACGTCAACTTCATGCGCAGGCCGCGGGACCGCGCGAGTGGAAAGAAGAAGTTGACGCGGCCGCATGGGCCACACCCCCCGACAGGCTGGCCGCACCAATTGCTTGAATTGAGCACACAACCCGACCACGTGCCATCGCAAATCCCTCGCGCCCAAGGTCGACGGAGCACACCCGCCTCGATGGACAGCAGCGATGCCTCGCGAACTGCGCGTCACTGAAGACTCGTCCGGCCCCGTATTCGGTGAACACGAGAGCGGAAGCGTCCGCTGAATCCCGATGCTGGCCGTGCCCAAAACGTGTCCCAGCACGGCCGTAGCGCGGTGTGGACGAACCTTCCGGAGCGGCCGCCCTCTGAGCCCGTTCCCTCGACCCCGTTCCACGCGGGCCAGTCTGTGGGATTGCGCCCACAAGTACGCAACGCGGTGACCCAGCTCCCAGGATCCCATTTTTTGTTTGCCGCTGCGCCCCATCCGCCGGACGTTCCCTCTCCGCCGACCTCCGGCTCTCCGTCCTCCACGTCTCCAACCTCTTAATCCCCAACGTACGGGAACAGACGTTTCCGTCGACGCCCCTCCAGACCGTCCATCTTCTCGCCGCGCGCACCGTCATCATCACGCAGTGCCCCCACTGGCGCGCTGTGCCCGCCGTCGGACACGTCACCGCCGGGCGCATCCAGCCGCGTCTTGCGACACAGATCACACTAATTTGCCTCAACGACATCGCTGCGGCCATCACGGCCATATAGTCGAAGATGACCATCTAATTCGTCGACAGCGAGCTTTTGGAAGAGCCGATGAAGATGCGTATGGGCGATTCGAATCGGTTAGAGGCGTTCCCCTCCCACTTCACGCGGATGCGGAGGAGTAACGTTCCGTAAGTCGACGTCTGTCTCCTTTATGGCTTTATCTAACGCACGTGGAACAGGGACTACACCCATGATCCCATGACCACCATCATCTACCTTCTGCGCCGCGACGTGCCTCCAAGATGGCCATCAGACAACTGTGCCGTGAAACTGTTTGCTGAACACCGTCGGGGAAGAATCCGACGGGGCCTTTCGTACGTATGTTGCTCGCTCGCTTGCTGTTGCACTAGTCATGCTGAACATTCCCAACAGGTACACTCATGCTCCCTGACGAGGTACTTCGCAACACGAGACGCAATCGGATCGACTCCTTCGCCATCATAGACGGGGTCTGTCTTAGGTCGCCAGCCAGTCCCCACTCCCGCATCCCCTCGCCGAGCTCGCGACGGGTGTCAACACCCGGCCACGCGCGTGCTCGGCAACGCCTTCATCCTTGGACGTACTCGCCATTCTCCGACGAACGTCTGCATTCCCCCCAACGTGGTCGCGTTCTTCGGCCTCTTCATGCGCCTCCGTCGGCCACCTCACCTACTGGCTCTCCGAATCTCACGCGCGCATCCTCAGCGGCTCCACGGCACGTTCCCGATCTCGGATCGCAAGCCGCGGCGCATGCTCACGGACCTGGTGGCTCGTCAACCTTGATATCGTGCTCGAGACCACGCTCACCGCCCTCAGCTTCTCCACGCTCACCGCGCTCCCAGCCGGTTTCGCGCGCGCGCGGACATCGCCGTGCGGGAGGCGCCGCTCGAGCCAACGAGCGCAATGCACATGTTCATGACAGGGCACCCGCTCCCGTGGTGGTCGCCACAGGCGCCGTTCCAGCTGTGCACGCTCCTCGTCCTGTGCCGCGTGGACGCCATCTCTCTCGGCTCGCTCGCCGAGGCCGACCTGATCCGGCGCGTGTTCGAGGACCGGCCGTGGGCGCCGGTGCCAGGGACGGCGTTCGTGCTCACCGAGCTCGAGTACGTGCACCGCAGCAAGTCCGTACGGGTCCGGATGAGCGAAACGCGGGTGGTACGGATGCGGGAGGAGAGGTGGTGCACGGTGCTGTGCCGAGGCGAGAATCGGTCCCAAGGTGCGCCAGCCTTTTTGCGTTCAGAGGTGGTGTTTTGATCAACGTTACTAGCACCAAGGGTTTGAGACGAACGAGCAAGGCTTTCTGCTCCGCTAGTCCATGAGGCTCTAGGCGACTCGTTCTTCCGGATACGGGTCACAGATCTAGAGCGCAGTGCAGCGCTCGACGAAACAACCTGCGGCCCATCGGGTTGAACCTGCTCAGGACGGCAGGCAGGACGCGCTGCTGCTCAATCGCGCGCCGCTAGCTGTGAGGCCTGCAGCGCGCAAGCCTAGTCCGACGGGGGCGAAGCTTTCGAGCAAGCTTCAAGCTTTCCGCCAGACCGTCAAGCCTGCGGGAAGGGATACCGGCGGGGATGCGATCGTGATCGGGCAGCGGCGGGCGCGGGCGCAATCTCCGCCTTCTCCCTCTGCCGCCACCGGTGTCTTGGATACTTGGCACTCGAGTTACTCATATTGAGGGGGAGCGGGCATGGTGGACAGCGTAACCGTGCAGGTGGAACGTATGCCGGAGTCTGTTCAGTTTGCGCGGGGGCGCGGGGGACGCTGCAGGCGAGACTCCGCGTGTCTAGACACTAGTCATCTGTCAATGCGTAGAATGTGTTCGCGAATATATAGGAGACTTCCCTCGTATCTGGCCACAAAGAACCCACAAGCTTGGCGCCATTCAATGACTGTGCTGCTTCGACGCTCGCGCCTTGGCGCTACTTGCAATTGTTTTGTTCGTCCATTGTGGCGCGAAATGATGGCCCTGGAAATGTCTCAGAATCGCCCAATCCGCAAGGTGTGATCGCATCAGATGAAACCGCCACCATCCGTGTAGCATTATAAAAGCATGAGGACCGATGGGGTTGTTCCCCTCCGTCCGCCCTCTCCTCTGACTCAGGGTATTCTCTACTGTCATGCTCGTCTCATCGACATCAGCCACGCACTGGCCTGAGGAAGTCCCCGCGCTTTGCTCAAAGACCCTTCATCTCGTCGTGGTATGGGATGCATTCTAAAAACTTTCCCGCATGGCTGCCACTCATAAAGATGCTTCGTTTGAGCTAGGTCCGGCGGCGCTCGATCGGTCTGCACTGTGTGCGACCGCCGCGCGGACACCGGCAACTCAGAGGTCGAAGAATGGCTAGAAAGATGTGCGGTAAGTGACGCTTCACACGGGTCATCTGCACTGCTACTGCTACCGCCGCAAAGGGGCCCTCCGCGGCGGTTGGCACGGCGACGACCACAACGAGACACGATATTAGAGGCGTTCGAGATCGCGCGCGGCCGCTTGTCCCTCAGCCGCAGGTGGTGGCAAGTGCTCGCTGACGGGCGCAACCACCTTTGCGTGTGCGCAAGACGTTCGGACTCCAATCGGCGCGCCGGAGGGCTCAAAGCTTCACTCCGATGCGCGATCGGGTGGCGGCAGCGCGTGTCACCGTGTTCAATTTTCGTTATGCCGATCGTCGAACGCAACAGCTCAAGCTGAAAGCTGAAAGGTGGTGACATGAGACGACGACGACTGAGTGCTACAACATGACGCGGGATACTAAAGAGACCAATGCTTAAGCTAGGTGAGGCTCGCGGGCAGCGTTCCAAACATCGCCGTACGTTCCCTGCGCACATTAGCATGTTCGTCAGCCGCACGCAAGTGTGTCCTCATTAGTGCGCATACCTTCTGGTTGTTGACGTGCGTGCTCTTCACCCGGTGCGTGAACCACTCGAGTGAGGTCGAAGATCTCGTGCGGGTGCGGCGCGGCGCGGGCGACCGCATCGGCGATGATCGCGCTTTGATCTGCGGGCGGGGCCGTCTGGGGTGGAGTGAAGTAGACGAGGGAGTATCCCTCGTAGTGCGCCAGCTGTTCTCCAGGACGTCTGTTCAGAGCCGAGTCAGCGGAGACAGGGTACGCGTGTGACGAGACACTTACACGACGCGGTGGAGGTTGGAGGTCCTGAGAAGGCCACCACTGAAGATTGTCAGCGCATCTCCGATCGCGTGGCTGGGAACAGGCTGTATCGCGGCGAGACGGCTGTCAGCTCCATACCGGAGCGATCGTGCGAGAGATACTTGCCTTGCCATACCGCCACGTCCGCGTGCCGACAGCCCCCCAAAACAGTCACGAAAGAACGACAGGTGGTCAAAGTAGGTATGAGCGGTGAGCGTCGCCTTGGCTTCGTCGGTGCCCTCGAACGGCTCGCGCGGCCGGCTCCGCGTGACCCGCACCTCGCTCCCGCTCCACACCTCCTTCCGATGCACGCATGCGGACGTACTGCGCGGCAGCCTGAGCTTCTCGTTGAGAATCGCGAGAATCGTCCCGTTCACCTCGATCGCGCGCCGGACGAAGGGGCCCACCGCGTCGCCCATGCGCGCATTCACCGGGGCGGGTAGGCATATGGCGCGCGACCATGGGACACAAGCGCGTCCTCCGCGGCGACGTCGAGGAACTCGGTCGTTCGGCCGCCGGCTGTTCGTCGGGTGTATCATCTTGCGGCTGCAGACGTTCGTAGTTCTGCTCAGGGGGCGCCCGAAAGAGCGGGTGCATCTGGGGCCACAGTCCACTGAGTTTGAGCTGTATGCGGATAGGATGGGCAACCACGGTCAGCCCTTGGCAACAGCGCACATCAGCGGAACAGGACACACCTGGTAGTTGTCACCCGCTGCGACTTGACCCTCCTCACCAGCCACTCCATCGCCGTCACCCCAGGGGCGTACTTCCTGGGGGGCGCATTGGCGACCGCCGCAGCGATGCGCTCGCTCTCCGCGGACAGTGCGCGCAGCTCCACGGCGTCGTTCGGGCGGGTGAAGAACACGACAGTGTGGCACTTGTACTCGGCCTGGGCCCGTGGAGGCGGGCTGGGAAGGGGGTGAGCCGCGGGGTATCAGATGGCACGTCGTGGACAGACTTACACAACGCGGTGGATGTTGGAGCGCAGAATGGCGTCGGAGAAGATGTTGAGGGCGTCGCCGATGTTGCGGATCGCGTGTCCGGGCAGGGGCTGGGCGACGGACAGTCGGACTATCGTGGTGAAGCGACAGGGAACATTGACCTTGACGTAGAACGACTGGTCAGGCCCGGGCGGGAGCACCTGCAAGCCGCCGAGGCGGTTGTGCAAGAACGACTGGGGAGAGCGATTTCGGTACAACGCGAGGGGACACAAGGCAAATCACTCACCAAGGACCCAAAGTCCGTGTGTACCGTCAGGAATGTCTTCTCCAGCCCAGGATACGACGGCGCTCTGATGAACCGCGCCGTACATCCGCTGAACCCCCCAACCTTGTGCAAAGACGCAAGCGTGCCCGCAGGGAGCCCGAGCTTGTCGGTGAGGACACCGATGAGGTGGTTGCTGATCGCGAGCGAGTTCTTCACAAACGGCGTGACGATAGACTCCATCGGCGCGTTGACGGCGGAGGGGTACGTGCGACGTGCAACCGCCGGCCAGGCGTGCGTGTCGTCCTTGAAGATGTTGACAAACTCAGGTACGTCGCGCGTGCCTATGTCTGCCTTATAACCGCGCCGATGCGGAGGACGGTGGAAAGTGCAAAAGCAAGCGGTTGGAGAGAACGTACCCGAACGAAACACCTTGGTCTCCCTGCTCAAAGAGGAGCTTCTCCTTGAGGGTAAGAGCGATCGTCTCTTCGCCCATCGCAAACATACCTTCCGCTTCCTCGTGTACGCCGTGGTTTAGCGTTCGGGGTGTAAATGGGCACTAATTTTGAACATGTTTGCAAACGATACCAATAATAACACGTTTGCAAACAGGTATAATTAACACGTTTGCAAACAAGACTGAGTGATTCATCGCTCTGCTACATAGCTACATCCATTCGAAGGCTCCAGTCCATGGGCACGTCATCGTCAGCCTCCATGTCACCAGGAAGTACCTCAGAACACGGCGTCTGCAGCCCCGGGCCTTCGCGCGAGATCTGACCGCCCGCAATCGGCGCATCCGCAACAAAGTCCAGCAACACCACATTGCCTGCCAGCTTGCCACCCTCAACCCACTCCCGAGCGTCGAGTACATCGGCATGCTGAGATGCGCGCGCACTGCTAGAGATAGTGTAGTCATCTTCCTCCCCTCTGTCAGCTACCTCCAGCTCGTTATCATTGTTCTCCCAATCGTCGTCGTCCGAGTCGTCGCAGTCATTGTTGCTGTCGGTACTGTCCCAATCGTCCTCGGCATCGACGTTCACCGGATCAGCGCTGCTTCCAGCAGCAGTTGGAGTCCTCAGCAACTTGCGCAGTGCGTAGAACTTAACGACAGGGCGATGTGGCTTCTTGGAAACCTAATACGGGAAGAGCATGGCTTAATGTTAGCATGCACACTCTCTACACGGGACAGAGTGTGAACATACACTCTTGGGGCGCTGCCGAATGAAGTGCTGCCGAAGCTGCACCACGCGAACGATGGTATCAGCTCTCAGACGACTACGCAGCGCACTGTTGACCTTCGTGAAGGCGGATCCGGTGCGCTCGTCGGCCATGGAGTTGGGCACCACTGAAAATAGTTTGACCGCAATGAACTGTGTCGAAAACAAGAATGTGTTCATAACCAAGCTCTCGCTAGCATGGTGGCAGAGAAAGTGACATACTGCAAGAACGGATGATAATGCAGATGCACGCAACATCTTCCACCAGGACAGTGGGGATTGTCCAGGCGAGAGCGGGGTGTCGAAAGGGAATTTGCTGGCGAGGTAGAGCTGAAACTGCGCGCTGAGACGATCTAGCGCTTCGCGCGGCAGGAGCGAGTCGATTCTTCGCTTCTTCACCGTGTACTCAATCTTGAGTTGGTCGGCAAGGAGCTGACCAACCTGCTCGACGACGGGAGGGCCGGATGGGACAATCTTCGGGGCTCCTTGGACGTTCTGGATGCGAATTTTGCGTGGATGAAGAGGATTGAGGTGTGCCTGCTTCAGGAGCACAGGTGATTTCCCTGGTGCATCCGTTGCGATAGCCTATCGGCAGCTACGGATGCATCTGGACGGATCTGGCGATCCGTGATGCGCGCCCGTGGAGACGCGCCTCGGTGGGCGGCAAGGACGCGTGGCGCGCATTGCCGCGTGGCTGTGATGCACGCCACGCGTCCCTCCCGCCGTCCTTGCTCTCCTCCCCGCCTCCTCTTCCTCCTCCTGCTCCGCCTCCACCGCCCAGGCAGACGATAGCGACTATACAGTCGTCCTTCGTCTGCTATTGGACTCCGGTGTCACCTGGTGACACCGTTCAGCTCCCCTCCTCCTCCTCCCTCGACCTCAACCTCAACCTCCATGCCGTCCTTCGCCCACTTTGCCGGCCGCGTCCACACAGGTCCACACCGCACGAGGACGTCCATCCGGACGTCCTCAGCATGGAGATTAGAATTAGGGGGTCGCGGCGATGTACCGCGGCCCTTGTTTTGGTGAGTCCCCCGCTCCGCCCTCCTGCACTCCCAATGCCCACCTCTCCTCTCCGGCTTCGCCCATCCGGCCTGCCGCCAGCCTTGACCTCCGTGTCCACCTCGCCCACCTCGCCGCTGCCCTCCTCCCCGTTGCCCTCCTCCGCGCTGCTCTCCGCCCACCTTCGCGCTGCCCGCCTGCGCCCGCACACCCTCCTCAGCCTCCCGCACCTCCATGTCGCCCGCGTCCGCGTCCGCGCCGCCTCCCGCCACCCGCATCTATGCGCCTCGCTAGGCTCCCCCTCCTTCGCCTCGTCCCGGCCCCCCGCGTCCGCGCTCCTCCTCCTCCTCCTCCTCCGCGTCCTCCCCCTCCGCGTTGCCCGCCTCCTCCGGCTCGTCCACTTCCGCCCGCGCTGCCCTCCTCTGCCTCCGCCGACGTCACCTCCTCCGCCGGCGTCGCCTCCCCCGCCGGCGTCGTCTCCTCCGCTCGCGTCGCCCGCCCTTGTTGCTCTGCGCCTCCTCCCCCTTCGCACCGCACACCCCCGCCCGCGTCGCCCACCACCTACTCCGCCTCGTCCCAGCCCTCCGCGTCCCTCTCCTCCGCATCGCTTGCCTTCGCGTCGCCCGCCTCCGCGTCTCCCGCGTTCACGTCGCCCACGTCCTCCGCCTTGTCCCGAGGGGCATGGTATTACTTACTAGCACACTTATGTAGTAGTTTACTAATAAATATATTTTTATCACTAATCATATACAAGATGTGGTGTGAAGCAAAGAGGGAGGCGAGCTCACTGTCGGAGACAGTGAGCTCAGGTGGCGGCGCCTGAGGCGCCGGTGTCCGGACATCTGGGTGCGACGCTGTCCCAAGGGCGCGCTTGGGGAAGGCGGTGTCGAGCGCAACCGGGCCGGCTGGCACCAGATGCATCCGCACCTGCTGATAGGCTGTCACAATGGATGCACCTGGCGAATCACTACTGTAGGCTTCAGGATGCCACTCGACCGATACTCTTGATCGGTGTGAGCATGCACCGGACAATCAGTAGTTGGCGAAATGAAATCACCTGGATGCAGAACAAACGCAGCGACATAGACACTGGTCCCTTGAGTGTGGTCGCCTTTGGAGGTGTTCAGTGGGGGTTCAATCATCTGCTTCCATCGATAGTTGAGTATGCGTCGGATTTCGTCCTTGGTCTCGTCGGAGAGATCGGCTGAGCGAGACGTGTCCGCAAGGAACGTGTCGTATGAGGCCATAACCGCCAGCCAGAACATGAAAACATCTGCGAGAGTCGAGTGCGCCGACTCAAGGCACTCGATTGCTTTTGCAATGGGCCCAAGGATGCTGAGGAGCATCGAAAGATCTGCAATGAAGGTTCCGGAGGCCCGTGTGTTAGGAACAAAGGACGCGTGGACGTCCTGCGGGCCCCAGCGGGGGTCTCTGTGAGTACCGCAGTAAACTTGCGTTGGATCGAAATCAACGTACAGGTATGTCAACCATGGAAGCCTCCTTCTCCACGATCTCGTGAAGGGCTGGCAAGCAGCGTCTCACCGATTCAGCAGAGTGCACAACACCAGCGAAGCGCGTCTTGCTAAAGCCGACCAGACCACGTTTGATGTTTTTCCGCAGCATCGCTCGTTTCAAGGCCGTCTTCGCGATTGTCGACTTCGCAAAGTATTTCACAACCCGCTTGCAGGTTGCGATCGTCTACCATGGATATTGGTCTCATTCAGCAGTGTAAGACGATGAGAGACACAATGCATACCTTTTTAAATGCTGACAGCTTGCCGATATCTTGAGCCGTGTTGTGAAGACGATGACATGTGTCGGCAAAGTTGAGCATCCATTCGTGTCTCTTAGTGACTGTGCCCCGCGTCTTTCGAGTGTTCCCGGTGTCATCAGAGACGATGGAGCTGAAATTCTCGACACCAATCTGCTGAATGATCTGCGAAGCATACACATTATCAGTACGGCAAGCATCCATCATGGCACAAACCAGAAATATCACTGTACCTCGAACACGTGAGCAGCAATGTGGTCCGCAGTGTGAGACTCTGCCGATGTTGACTTGCCGTCAATCAGATAGGCTTCTCGTTCGTCGGTGGTCACCGTGAACGTGTAGATAGACTCCTGGCCTCGGGTCGTCTGTCCGTCGAACGAGAGCGTGAGGTTTTCCTTTCCCTTGAGCATCTTGATGATGTCGAGTGTAACCTTGGCTGCCTCAGTCGGAATTAACGCATCGGTCAAGGTGGTGGCAGAAGGAGGTGTCGCCGAAGAGCACAAGTGATCAACGAGCTGCTTGAACTCGCACGAATCGGCGACAGAGAACGGCAAGAGTGCAACTGTCCACAGCTGCAGCATGTCGACGCGTAGAGTGTCATTGATTGCCTTGGTCTTCGCCTTGGTCGCGTGCGGAACGATCGAGGTTTGAAGAAGTCTATCAGTACAGGAGTAAGCTAATCGCACAAGAACAGACTCGCAGCGTGATCAACTTACACCTTCTGCGCCATGTTCGTAGAGCCGTTGAACGACGACGACGCAGCAGCAGTGGCCTGGGTGTTCAACTCTACTCGAGTCGAGGGAGCATCCACGCCAAGCTCGACCAGTGCTTTCTGACGAGGATCCGGGGGCACGTAGTCGCAACTCGCCGCGTGAGCAAGTACTCGAGGCTTCGCCCTTCCGGACTTGCCGGAGGCCCAAGCGAATGTCGTATCGCAACCTGGACGACCCGTGGCTGTGGGCTTCATCCCGATACACCTTGTGCGTTTCTCCGCCGTCAGGTCGCCCTTCTTGCGACACGGAAGGGCTAGCTCTCGAACGAGCATGTTCTGCTTGCGCCCGCGTCTTTTCCCTGCCGCATTGTAAGTCAACGCGTTTACAAAACAACGCTCGAATATACGTACCAGACACCGTCTTTTCCAGCTCGTCTTCGGAGGCACTCGACCAATCATCCCATGTGGATGTGAGGACCGAAGCCCTCTTCTTGCGTTTGCGTATACGCCGGGCTGGCGCCGCGGATGTGTCGACAGATGAATCACCGGTTGTGGCGACTTTGAGGTACTTCGACGCACGAGCGTCGTCATCAGACGATGTATCGCCGGTCTCTGCGGTGTCGTCCACGGCGCCATGGTCTTTGTCGTCGTCGTCGTCGTCGTTGTCATCGGCTTCTTGCCCCGAAATAATCGTGCAGTCTGTCTGTCGGAAGCATTAATCATTAACAACGCAGGTAGGCGGTCTGGCAATGGGCTACACACCTGATAAGATCGCGCAGATGCAGTGAGATCATCGATCCACTTCTCCAAAACGGCATCAGAGGCACAACCCGTCTTCAACAGCGCAGCTGCGATGGCATCGGGGACGGCCGTAAGTCCTGGGCCACGTTCCTTGAACTCGACGGGGCGAGTACCAGGCCGACGGCCGTTTGGAGCCAGCACGACCTCAAGGTCATGATTGAGTACGCATGCGTGGGTGCCAAAATCTTCGAGCAGAGTTGTGTTGCACTGCCAGTCGCGGAAGTCGTACCGAGGTGTCACGGCATCGGAGAGGGGTACCGTGGCAGGAAGCGAGCCTAGACAGACACGAAGGACGTTCAGTCGTTGAAGGATACTATCGGGGAGACTCGTGACGAGGGGGGCCATATCGGTGGTGTGACGCTCAGTTCTCAGTGGGGAGGAGCTCGTGATGCGTGGAAGGTTTGAGATAGGTGGAAGCAAATACGAGGCGCTCGCGCAGAGACCAGGAAGAGAGGAAGGGAGGAGACGGACGTGCGTAGACACGACACGCGAGATGGTGTGGGACGCAAACTCGAGTGGGTAGGGGTGAGGAGCAGAGCAGCGCAAAGCCGTAGAGACACACGGGGTGTGAGTGTGAGCTGCTCTGCGCAGAACATCTCGGCGCAGTATATATACCTGAAGTGGGTGCCATGGAAAGACCCGGAGGAGGTGAAAAGAGGATGGGTCCGACGACGGGGTGGCAGTATAAGAGGAATAGTATGAGTTAAACTGACAAGAAAACTGCGGGCGCGACGGAATCCAAGAGGAGGTCCGAGAAAGTGTTGTTTGAATGGCACGAAAAATATATCGAAGAGAGCACAGGGAACAATCGCATTGATGGAGACGAACTCGGACATATGAACACTCACATTTAAGCTGCTAGCCTGGTTTTGGTTAAGCTGGGCATTGACGAGGAGACTCTAAGGCCGGCGGGATTTGAGGTTGGGCGAGAGCGGAGAGAAGGTGGCGTGAGGCGGCGGCGCCGGCCAGTTTTGAGCAGACACTGCATCTTCGGAGAGAAAGAGTCGGCAGTTGAGGCAAATCTGAGAGTAAGCATCGGTGGGCTGACAGGACGCGCTCAACGCTCTCTCTCTCTCTCTCTCTCACGCGATCCCATAGGCGCGCGCTTGGCAATTTGTTTGCAAACAACTCAAAACCGGACCTCCCCAGAGGGCCATTACACACCCGTTTGCATACAGTGTTTACAAACGGTTATTAAAACTTTGTATGCAATTATTTACATACACCCCGAACGCTACTCGGCAGGCAGATTCGAACATCCACTTCCTCCTACCTCTCACCATCCACATCTATCCTGCCCTGCGGAACTCTCACTAAGATGCGCCTCGCTCTTTCTTTGTCCTTCATTCTCTCCGTAGTCATGAGATCATGCTGCAAGTTTAGCACATTTCTCGCGGAGTACGCTGTGCCGACACCCTTCTCATGAACTCAAGGAGAACAGGTACGCTGCTATCCATACCTCCTGAGTCCCAATCGCGATGCCCGGTCCCACTCCCTGCCCGCCTTTCCCTCAGGACGTCCCTACCTGTCCTTTCTTGGTGATCGACTATAAACTTATTAAAGCTGGAGACGCGGACGAGATTGAGAGGCTCTGGAAGGCTGCGATGGAAACGGGGGTTTGGTAGTAAGTGATGGCGCCGTGCTTGAGTGAACGTTACGACTAACAGGCGATCCGTTGCAAGCCTCACGAACCACGGCGTATATGAGGGAGCAGAAGGGATGTTTGGGATGGGCGAGGAGACGATCGCTTTTACCCTCGAGGATAGGCTCCTCTTTGAGCAGGGAGGCCACGACATTTTGTTCGGGTACGCTCTCTCGAATCTCTTGCATTTGCGCTCTCCACCGACCTCCGCATCGGCACAGCTACAAGGCCGACAAAGGCACGCGCGACGTTCCTGAGTTTGTCAACAACTCCAAGGACGACGCGCTCGCCTGGCCAGCCGTTGCGCGCCGCACGTACTCCTCCGCCGTCAACGCGCCGATGGAGTCCACCATCGCGCCGTTCGTGAAGAAGTCTCTCGCGATTAGCAACCACCTCATCGGCGTCCTCAACGACAAGCTCGGGCTGCCTGCGGGCGCACTCGCGTCTCTCCACAAGGTCGAGGAGTTCGGCGGATGCACGTCGCGGTTCATCAGAGCGCCATCGTATCCTGGGCCGGAGGAGATGACATTCCTGACGGCGCACACGAACTTTGGGTCTTTGGTGAGTGATTCACTGTGTGCCCCCTCACGTTGTACCGACATCGCTCTCCCAGTCGTTCCTGCACAACCGCCTCGGTGGCCTGCAGGTGCTCCCGCCCGGGTCTGACCAGTGGTTCTACGTCAAGGTCAGCCACCCTTTGCGGTCCGCCGCGCTCATGCTCACGCACTCGTCCGTCGCTCAGCCTCTGCCCGGACACGCGATCTGCAACATCGGCGACGCCCTCAAGATCTTCTCTGGCGGCATCCTGCGCTCCAATATCCACCACGTCGTGTGAGTCTGTCCGCAACGTTCGTACTTCGCAGCTCACCCCCTTCCCAGCCCGCCTCCTCGGGAGCAGGCCCAGTACGAACGCCACTCTGTCGTGTTCTTCACCCTCGAACGACATCGTCGAGCTGCGCGCGCTGTCAGAGCAGAGCGAGTGCATCGCTGCGGCGGTCACCAACGCGCCCCCGGGGAAGTACGCCCTCGGCGTGACGGCGGTGGAGCGGCTTGTGAAGAGGGTCAAGTCGCAGCGGGTGACGAACTGCAAGGTGTGTTCTGTCCTGCCGATGTCCGATGTTGTGAAGAGCTGATGAAGCCGGTAGGGTGCGGAGAGCTGGATGGAGAGGCGTGGTACCGAGGACACGGCAATTCCGAACCAGGGGAAGATCTGAAAAGCCTCGAATAACGTGTATGTAGTATGTACAGTCGTAGCTCGCAATGGATACAGGCGTTATGAACACCCCATGGCCAATCTCGCCGTCTGCGGACGGGGATCCATACGTGAACATGTAGAAACAACGCGTGCGGCCGACCGATTCTGGACACTCGAAGTCTATGCCTCATCTGCGGGGTGTTGGTGTGCCCGATGAGCACGCTCGGCATGAACGATAACCCGCATGTTTATTTCGCGCATGGTAGCACAGCAAGAGGTAGAGCCAAACGTAACATCGTATACATAACACCAACATGTGTGACACGAGACGGAGGGTCGATGAACATCACCGTCCCTACCCTCGTGAGGACCGCAACTCGTCCTGCACAGCACCCCCGCTGACAACCTCCCCAGCCTCACGTTCCGTATCGCGTGGTTCCACAGGAACCTTCTCCCTGAAAACACACGAAATCAGCCCAACATCCGCGTACAACGAGCGATCCACTCACCCCACTGGTTCCATACCCCGGTGCCCGGGATTTCCCATCCTGTCCGCATACAGATCAAACTCCGCGCACCACGGTCCACGCTGCACACGCTCGTTCGCGCGCCCGCGCACCCCGCTGAGCAGAACGACCACGATCCGCAGCGTGGGGCACGCGACGCACAGCCGGCGCGCGAGCGCGTCCAGGTCGAGGGCGCGCATGAACGCCTCGGCCGCGCATGGGGGGTCCGCGAGGAGATGGCACAAGACGCTGACGGCGAGCACCCGGAGCGCGGGGAGGCTCCCGACGGCGGCGACGAGGCCGTCCTGCCGAGCAACGCCGGCGTCAGCGTTGGAGGAGCGCAGACGGAAGCGGATTCGAGGGACGTACGACGATCGCGGGGGCGTCGACGTCCGTGTGAGAGTCCGCGTGGTAGCTGGCGATGACGGTCGCTTCTAGGCACTCGATCTGCAGAGGGGCGGTGGGTGACGCGGACGATGCCCCTCGCCATAACGCCGACGTCGAAGCTTTCGAGGGAGAGGTGCACAGGCCCGAAGATCTTTGACGATGAAAGTCGGTCCCTTGATGTACAGCGTGCGGATGGGGCAGGAGGGCGCAAGTAGGAACAGATCGTTGAGGAGGGCGCGGCGCGACTGCAGCGGCTTGTGACTCAGCCTACTCGGGGAGAAAGCAGGAGAGCTAGGAAGGTGAGCGTTTGGTGCACGTGCGTCGTGCCGTCAGACGAGGGGCCACCGGAGTTCTTGAACGTCTTCCGCGGAATGTTGACCTTGGCGGAGGACGGTGGCGGAGGAGGAGGAGCGGAGGAAGGGCGCGCGGCGAGAACTGCAGGGGGCGAGGGAAAATGTCCTTCTTTCGACGATTGGACCTCCGAGCGCCAGGAGTAGACCGCTTGCAGCCAGCTGGCCGGCGTGGGACGGGTCCGAGGACAAGGGTGCTTCGTCCTGCGGCGGTAGTAACCACATTTCTCGCTGACGGCGCGGGCGGTGTCGACGAGGGACATGACTTGATCTCGTCGACGCCGATTCCAGAATGTCGACGCACAACCTTCCCCGTCCTTCCGATGACGGAGCTCGGGAGGCCGTCCGACGCGCCCATCGCCGGCGAGCTTGGTCACAGGACGAGGAGGTTCGTGCGTTAATCCCACTGCTCGGACCCACGGACCCGCTGCTGCTGCCACCACTCGGACACTGGAAGGCAGAATGCGGCAACTTGTGCGCGGGAGGCTGCCGGCGACATGCCCACCGCCGCGCGACGGTCCTCCTCCACGAGCTCGGACGAAGCCCGCAGTATCGTGGGCGGAACCGCGTCGGACGAGTGCGGCAGCGTGAGGGACTTGGAGGCGACAGGGGCCGGACGGGGAGCGCGTCGACATCCATCGAGTCCGGGGTGAAGCCAGTGACAGGGCCATCGACCTCGCAGTGGCCGAAACAGACCGGAAACGTGGGCTGTGCGTCGTCCTTCGTCGGGGGATCGACCTCCATCGCGTCGGTGGGAGTCTCGCTGAGAACGCTGGTGCGTCTGCGGTACTCGTCGGAAACACCTGGGCCGCCATGGAGCCGAGTTATCGACCTAGTCCTCCTTGCGCTTCTGCATCTTGCGGCGGACGGCGCCGATGGCGATGAACACACCGCTCCGCCTGAGTCCGGCTGAGTGGCGGCGGTGCACGGGGGTGTCGTCTTTGCCAGTAGTAGCCTCGACTTCTTCCGCGGCACAGTCCTTGTTCAAGACGATCGTCTTGCCATGTGCACGTGCGAGGCTCTTGGCAGTAGACTGGCCGAGCGATCCTTCGCCCTATGGGTTCTGTCCAGTCGAACAGGCATGTTCGACAGTGTTGCTCTGGTCGGACAGGGACCGAGTAGCGGAAGGCAATGGAGATCTCCCAACGAAGATCCTGGAGCAGCCCCAGATGTGAGGAGTATCGATTGCGCAGATATTGGGAACGATATGCCACGACAAAATATTGCGATATCTTCATCATCCATGTTCGTGTTGTGAATAAAGTCCTCCGTCGGCAAGATGGTGGAAAACTGTTACCTGGGATATATTAGAAAGTGCGCCGAACTTCGGAAAAGCGAAACAACGCACCGCGGCTTGGTTGCAAGCAGTATCATCTCCGTTATAGACCATTGGTAGACCCGGGAAAGCGAGAAACTAGAGGTGCGGACGCGTGAAACACACTGTTGTCCCACTGGGCTGGAATAGAATCATCCTCAGCACGAGTGACTCCGTGTGATCGTACCACAGTACACACCTCGATCGCGCGAAGTTCAATGACAAACCCTTCTGCTACCACTGACTGCCCTTCCCTCTTCACCGAGGAGGCCACGGGAGTGCCGGCACGCCAGCTCGTAGGCAGCCTACGCAACTACATACTCCGATCGTCCGCGCGCGAGACCGCCGCCTAGGAAGTAAAAGTTCGCTGAAAAGGACCCGTCAGCGACCGCACTACTACGTTGGAGGGGAGCGCCGACTGCGGTATACGGTAACCAGAAGAATGGCCTGAACTCACCGTCAACACTAGGGTGCACCTGTCGAGGTTTCCCGAGCGACGTACACATTGAACAGGTCGAGCGGTTGCAAAGTACTTGCTGGCACGCTCATCAGGGTTGACAACATCTTGAAGTTCGCGCACACTTCCATGCAGCATTGAACATGCAACTCAACGACTGCCATCGCCTGCCGATGGTAAACTCATGAAAGATATCTATAAGGAGGAGAGCGCGCACGTCTGAGAGGACGCGGCGATTGCGAGGGTAAACAATCGACATTGGTCGCTGTATGAGGGGAGAGTACGGCTGTAGACTCACTCTTGGCCTCGTCCACAGGACATTCTCGCTCAAACTCCCTAGCCCGCGGAATAGTTGAGGAGAGTGGATGGCGGCCGAAGTCCTGAGCGGAACCGGGATTCAGAGGGGCTTTGACGCAGAATGAAGGGGTGGCAGGTACGTACCGAGTTGGATTTGATGACGGGTGGCGCAGGAGCCCGTACTGTCAAGAGCCAGCGAGACGGCTAAACCGCATGTTCGGTATCCGTGGACGCGGCAACGATACGCAGACGGAAAGAACGCACCCTTTGAAGACGACTCATGCCGATCTCAAATGGTTGGAACTTGGGCAGGAGAGAACCAAGAAGAGGAAACAAAAGCGTGTCGTCCGCGTGCAGGGGAGAGGTACGAGGCTTGGAGGCAGCTGGCGCAGAGCGGCGTGTGGACGAAGAGCAGGAGAGAGCGTAGCACCAGTGTTTCCGGCCTGTGGGTATTCCGGCGTCCGGCGCTCGCCGGACCGCTGGATAGGCGCGTCGTCATCGACGCTTGCAGATTGTCCTCTGCTTGCAAGTTTGAAACTAAGGCGGCAAGTCGCGATGCGCGCGGCGACGCTCGTGTCCGTGAACAGCATAGAAATCGAGACAGAGGACGATCGAGACGGCCCGGGATGCACGTCGTGCGCTCGATGCGCTCCGCGCGCTCGTATCACTTGGTGCCCCCCGCGCGTTTCCGTCCCCTTCGGATCCTTGCGGCGCGTCCTCGCCACCATGTCTCCTCCCCCATCCCCACTGGTTACGCCACGCCTGGCCAGCCACACCCGTTCCACCTGCACGGTCACGCCTTCCACGTATTTCGCTCTGCCTCCTCGACGGAAGATGAGTCCGTCAATCCGCCGCACGGGCACCGCGGGGAATAACGCCACGACCCCCTTCGACACGAGTAACTCGGGCTTGAGCTTGAAGTCCCCCCACTGCGACACCAACGAACGCCGGCTCATGTACGCCTGGAGCAAACGAGGAAGAACTGGCCGCCGATATCGACAGAATGCGGACTATGGTCCGGTTGGCGCCGGTGCCTGCGTTTCGAGCCAACTGCGTCCACTTCGAGGCATCTCTTTACCCCGCCATCCCTGGCAAGCCACGCGGAGCATACTGTCTACGGAAGCTCTCCTGGACGTTCCCTTTCCGACTCTAGAGCCGCACCACAACCGGTTGCTCGTTCCTTGCTGTTTCGAGTCTTGCACGATGATTCCCAGGGAGTCTTCTCCTATTCCTGGACGTTATCGCGCGCGTCGAGCGCACCGCAGTGACCATGTGAGTCTGCAGCTAGCTCCCCTCCTCTTTCTTGCGCTCAAAGCGTTACTCCTAGATATTGGTTCCGGCTGCTCCGAGGCTCTTCAGTATCATAAATCTGGTAATTCACACGGACCTGCGCCTGAGGGTCCGAAGATCGTCTGCGAGAACTGCTCCGGGGCGACAATTCTGTCCAAACCGCGCGTGGACTACATACATATTGCCTGTGCCGTCACCGGCAACACGGCGAAGCGCTGCGGTGGTCCTGCCTGAATCCGGTACGTCATGCGCATGCTTGGGACCAGCTGACCTATTTATCTCAGGGGTGTTTATCTCCGCTCAAACCAAGCTGTTGTGCGGCCGGGAGATCTAGAGCATCCGCTTTTCCTTCCTGGAGACGACGTCGAGAGCGCTGCTCTCCGACCCCGGTAAGTTACGCACCTGGCAGCTCGAATATAGTGCCCATTCACACGCATACCCTCCCAATTATAACGAGCGCGGCTGAGACACTCGCAGCTACTGGAGTAGGCTACTCCGGCGATCCAAGTGTCGGCGAACATCTGGGTATCGGACCACATCATGTACCTTGCGACGAATGACATATCTCTCAGCTTCGCCCAATGGTGGACACGCACGGTATCGGAGCCTGACATGTTCGTGGCAGGGAACGTCATCTCGCCCTGGGAGCGCAAAGCCAGCCTCCCACACTCTGTTCGCCTTCATTTCTCAGAATAAGCCTTAGAGGCGCTCCGACGCTATCTCATGCATGTTCCGCACGGTGGGACGTGCGGTCGGCGTATGGGACCGGGGTCGCACTCGACCCATCTTCCGTCTCGCACTCGACCCATCTCACGTCTCCTCTCGTCCATCTTGCGTTTCCTCCCAGCAACCAACCCCCTCTGTGCCAATATCAAGTACAGATAACCCCATCGACCGTCTTGGATTCTCACTGTACGTTCGCTCTTCCGGTGCTCTGTATCGCATTTGCCCATGCTCCCACAGTGTCTGTGGTCCCCCTTCCACGAATCGTCCACAGCAACTCGCACCCGGTATTCGTGCTCACCCCTGCATGAAATACCTGTGCTAATATTCGTGAAACAAGCGATGTGGCTCCTGGGCACCGCGCGCGCGAACCTCGTCTTCTTTCCCCAACCTGAAGGCGTTCCTGGAGGCTATGCTATCCTGTCGCACACCTGGGGAGAAGAAGAAGAGACGTTTCAAAAGGTTCAAAAGCTGAACGAAGAATCTAACAGCACCTTCTCCCAGGAAGATCAACGTCCCCTGCCCCGAGCTGAGCTCCGATCTCTCATTTCTGAGGCAGTCTCTGAAGAAGCGGTGACTCGCAGGGACTTAGAAGATGCTCTCCATCGAGTGGAATCCCGGATCATGCAGAAGCTCGATGCCAGGCTACCCCCTCCTCGCCGTACCCGCGATCGCGCCGAAGAGAATCTCCGAGACAGGCGAGCATCCGGCACCGAATGCGAGCCTGGTCAGTGAAATTAAAGCTCATTTTCACTCCTCGGCGCTGACGTACGAGACCCAAGGTCGCTCGACACATTCAGATCCACGTGCCCCCACGATACCGCTTTCCCCTACTCCTACACCCGTCCAAGGACTTGCTGAGCCATCCCGCTCGTCGCCACCATGGTTCAACCCACGCGATCGCCTCACTCAAAAAACTCGATCATTCCTTGAGCTCGCCGAACGGCACGGGCATGAGTACGCTTGGGTCGACACATGCTGTATCAACAAGGAGAGCAGTGCCGAGCTCTCGGAAGGCATCAATTCCATGTTCCGCTACTACGCCGTCTCCGCCATCTGCTACGTCTACCTCAGCGACGTCGAATACTCTGACACTGATTCAGACAAGATGTGGCACTCCTTCCGATGTAGTCGCTGGCACTGGCGGGGCTGGACTCTCCAAGAGCTCATCGCGTCCCGCGTCCTCGTGTTCTATTCCAAGGAGTGGATCTATCTGGGCACCAAGTACGAGCTCGCCGATCGCCTAAAACAAGCAACCGAAATCTCCACGGCAGTCCTCCGCTTCGAGAGCCCGTTTAGCGACGCGAGCATCGCGACGCGCATATCCTGGGCGGCGCATCGGTACACCACGAGGCCGGAAGACGCTGCCTACAGCCTCTTCGGGCTTTTCGGGGTCAACATGCCGACGCTCTACGGCGAAGGGCGGCTCGCATTCTGCAGGCTCCTCATGGAGATCTCGAAGACCTCGCGGGATCCTTCTATTTTTCTCTTAGGAGAAAGATGGTATACGGACGACTTGGAAGACCTCAAATCAGCCCTCCAGGAAGAGCCTCGAAGCGAAATCCGTCGTCATCTTCTCCCCATTCAGCCTTCGCCGACCTTTAGCCTATTCGACCCTATTCCTAGGTTAATCGGATACGAACCCAGTCCCCGCTCGCAGAGAGGACAAGATGAGGTGCGCTGGTATGGATGCCATTCTACGCTGTGCTACATTGACGACCATTTTAGCAGGGCTCGATTGCAAGCACGACCACAGAACTCCGTGCTCCCACGTTTTCCGTGTCACCAGGCGGGATCGAGCTCCACGCGGCCGTTCTGCCTCTGGATGATACAGAGAGATTCCTCCTCGTCGACTTATTCTGCAGAGATCCAGACCCCGTCTTCCTCTTGCTTGAAAGGGTGGACGACGAGCTCAACGCTGGCGCTGCTCCGCTCTACCAGCCCGCAGAGGAACCCGTTGTGTCGCTGCGGGAATCACGCACGGTGATCGAATCAGATGGCTGGAAGATGACCGACCTGCGCGTTGTAGCCCTCCCTCCGTACACCGGTGGCCTCTCCGAGGGCGAAAGCGCAGGGATGGAGTCGCTGAGGCGCTTCTGCGAATCCACCACTACCGGCACCCCCTTTCACCTTGTCTTTCGCGACCTCCTCCAGCTCCGGAACATTAGACTTTTCTTCGACGGTGACAGAAGCACCCTGCCGTCACCTTCTTCCACTGAAGACGTCTCCATTTGTTTTTCTCGCGGCGATCTTCGAAGGCTCGTAGTCGTTCTTGGGACATGCTCTCGTACCGAGTCCGCCATCGACAACCGTGACCCACGCTCATCCAGGCCAACCTCTCTGTCATCCCGGATCGCCACGGAGACGCCAAGTCCGGGCGTACCACACCGACAACACTTCTGCATCTTTCGTTGGTACTACGGCGGTGAAGGAGCCACGGCTGCTGCGGCTGTACATTCGTGCGAAACGGATCATATCGACATGGACGGACCATGGCCAGTGGAGCGCCGAGCGCAGTTGGGGTCTTGGGAAGTTGCGTTATCGTTCTTTCCTAGTCCGTTGGGTAGAGAAACGCTGCAAGTGAAACTCCGCTTTTTCGAGGAGGTATTATAGACAAAGAAATCGATTTGTGTACAGCTTCAGGTATGGTGGTACAAGACGTTGAGCGCGGCCTATTGTAGCATCACCGCACAGTTTCCAAAGCCAACCAACAATTCCATCTATCGCTAGCACCGCGCATGGAACGTTCGTGACGATGCTGTTGCATGCTGATGCGGCGCCAACTATGTTGTAGAGTCGGTGGCAGGGGTGAGGCGAGGGAGCGAGTAACCGTGAGGCTCGAGATATCGAGTGAAGTGAAAAAAAAAAGGCAAGATACGACGCCCCGCGTGGAGGCTGAACGTGCGGTGCGCGAAGTGGACGAGGATGGGAGAATAGACGCGGGGAAGTTGAAGAGGTCGCGCACATGGGCTGGCGGAAAGACGAAGGATGCGAGAGCGAGGTTCAGAAGGGCGGATAGCGGAGGGTGCGCGAGGCAATAGACGAGATGCGCGAAGATCGGGACCGAACACGTAGATGATCGCGCGGGCGTTAGTCTGGTCGAAGGTGTTGTGTTCGGCGCGTGGTGCCAATTCCGAGCCAGGGGAAGATCCGAATAGCTTCGAATAACGTATATGTACTATGTACAGTCGTAGCTCTCGATGAATACATGCGTTGCGAACACCCCAATTGCGCCGTCTGCGGACGGGTATCTATACGTGAACGTGTAGAAACGACGCGTGGAGATGGACACTCCAAGTCTAGGCCCCATCTGCAACCTCTTGGTGTACCCGACGAGCATGCTCGGCATGAACGACAACCCGTGTATTTATTTCGAGCATGGTACAGCTGACTCGATGCTTCCTCCGGGGCGAGGAGCCAAATGTGACATTGTATGTATAATACTAACTCGATACGGAGGGTCGACGAACATCACCGGCCCTACCCTCGTGAGGACCGCAACTCGTCCTACATAGCACCATCACTGGAAACCTCCCCAGCCTCACGCTCCACGTCGCGTGGTTCTGCAGAATGCCCCTCCCTGCAAACGTACGAAATCAGCCCAACATCCGCGTACAACGATCGATCTACTCACCCCACCGCCTCCGTACCCCGGTGCCCGGGATATCCCATCCTGTCCGCGGTCCGCAGCGTGGGGCACGCGACGCACAGCCGGCGCGCGAGCGTGTCCAGGTCGAGCCCGCGCATGAACGCCTCGGCCGCGCATGGGGGTCCGCGACGAGGTAGCACAAGACGCCGACGACGAGCACCCGGAGCGCGGGGAGGCTCCCGATTGCGGCGACGAGGCCGTCCTAGTCTCCCCTAGGCAGCCCTTCTACTATCAAAGAGGCCGTCCTGCGGTCCGCGGAGCAGCACATCAGCGTCGAAGAAACGCGGGCGGAAGCGGATTCAAGGGACGTACGACGTCGGAGAGTCCGCGTGGTAGCCGGCGATGAGGGTTGCTTCTAGGCACTCAATCTGCGGGGTGTGGGCGCGGTCCGTGACGCGGACGGTACCCCGCGCCAGGACGCCAGCGTCGAAGTTGGCTGCTGCTTTCAAGGGTGAGGTGCACGGGTTTGGTGCAGCAGATAACGGAGTACATGGCCTTGACGATGAAAGTCGGGCCCTTGATGTAGAGCGTGCGGATGGGGCAGGAGGGCGCAAGTAGGAAGAGGGCGCTGAGGAGGGCGCGGCACGACTGCAATGACTTCCACGAGCCCGAGCGCGCCTACTCGATGATGTTCAACTTGCGGCAGCTCTCGAACCGGTCGGTGTCTGCGAGATCTTCTACGATGCGACGCTTGAAAGAGTACTCCAGGTTCGGGAGATGTCGGAGGAACGCACCGACTAAAGCGACGGTCTCAGCGGCTTAGACGTTCGTGAGGTAGAGGGGTAAACCTCTTCGTGATGTTGCGCGCCATCGACAAGGACAAAAGCATTGTCCGTGGAAAGGTATCCCAGCGTCGACTGGGAGCTGCTGAGAAGTCGGACAGGGTTCTTGGAGTCTTCTTCGTCGTGGCTTGTGTCGCTCTTGACGTCGTCTTCCGAGTGGGCGTCCGAGTCCGGATTCAAGTCGGGGACATCGTCTAGTTCATGGTCCACCTCATCGCCTTCATGAACGATTGTGGAAGTGGACGGAAGTAGAACGGGGCGCGGGGACGTTCTGGCGGCGGTCTGCATCGAGGAGCGTTGTCGTGTCTCGAGCTGCGACAAGCTGTGAGCAAGACGTGCTCAGCATTTGCGAGCCTCGCCGACCGACTTCGCCGAAATCGACTCACTCAAGGGTTGACAACCATGATAGGGAGTGTCGAAGACGCGCGGAGCATTCGAGGAGGGATTCGAGGTGAAGGACGTACATGGGGCTTCTCCGCAGTTTCGTGTGTGCGTGTTCATCTACCACATCACCGATGTCAGAGAAGATCTATGAAGACAAACAGGGAGGGAAGGGATGGCCACTTGAAGTTGCAGTAGCCTGGCACTGGGATGTGCGCGGAGGATGTAACGCTAATTGACATACCATCATAACACGCCGCAATCCTTTGCCATCGTGCTTTCTCCGCCATCTCCGTGGTTTCGCTTAGGATCGACAGTCCTTGGACGTGTAAGGGTGGGTACTCGGAGGAAAGATGCCGGAGTGACGCTTGGTGAACGCCGCGGTTTTCATGCCGCTCAATCGTGTACTTCTAGATCCAAATCCGTAGTGTCAAGAAGAAAAGTTGTCAAGGACTAAGGAGGCAAAAAAGTCCGGTCTGAGGACGAGTTGAGGCTCGCGGAGTGCTGAGGCCTTGAGGGCTCGAACACTTCGAGTCCAAGTATGCTGACTAAGCTCCTGAGGCCCGCAGTTCGACTCCCGCCAACTTCAAGGCATTCCCATATACGCTTCCAAATGGTCGCAGCTAGTCCGAAGACTCCCACAGCGGTCATCCGGTACGCTGGCCACGACGGTGTAACCTGGTACATACATCGGTTCTCTTCCTCCAGTAGTCATCGTTCATCTCCCCGTCTCGTGCGCACACAGCCCCAGAACGACCGTTCGACACCGGCGCCGCAACATTCGCGCTCTCCCTCTCAGACAAGATGGCGTGGCAACTCCGGATTCTCGTTCGGGTACAAAGCATCCGGCGCGACGCTCACCGACGCCCCCGGCGCGCGCGACACCTACCTAGTTCCTCAACGTCGCCGCGGACGACGCGCTCGCCTGGCCCAGGTCGCGCACCGCACCTACCCCGCGCCGGTGAACGCGCGCATCCCACTCATCCGGTGCGTGATTGAGGTAAACAAGACGATGATCGCAATTCTTAACGAGGAGAGGTCGGCTGCGTGGGACGCTTGCGAGCAAGCATCGGAAGGAGGAGTGGAGCGTGAGCGAGGTGCTGGTCTGAACAGCCCGGGCATCGACAGAGCCAAGGCGGCGCTCACCGCTCACCGCTCATACCGACTTTGGCAGCCCGTCGTTCTTGCATAACCGTCTTGGGGGGATGCTGGAACGCGGATGTGGTCGCGCTGGCATGGAGCCGACCGCCCTCCCGCAGCGATACAGCCTATTCCCGGCCACGCGATCTGCGACATCGCCGACAATCATCAGCGGTAGCCTTCTCAGACCCTCCGCCACGTCGTGTAAGTGTCCCGTCGCTCGCGCACCCTGTCTCCACTGACTCGACTCTGAACGGACCTCCTCCTGGAGAACGGCTGGCGCTGTACGAGCGATACTCCCTCGTCTACTTCACTTGATCGACCCGGAGTCAGCGTCCAGTTGGCCATGCTCGCCGTTGCGGTCGCCCACGCTGCACCTCACCTGCGCGAAATCTTCGACCCCGCACAGACATCTCATGCGTGGTTCAACGCGCCAGGCGAGACCATGCGTGTCAACAACCAGAAGGTATGCACACTGATGATGGCACACTTGCGTGCGGCTGACGAACATGCGGGTATTGTGCGCAGGCGGCGATGTTTGAAACGCTAGCCGCGAGCCTCACCTAGCTTAAGTATTGGTCTCTTGGGTATCCTGCATCATGGCGTAGCACTCAGTTGTCGTCGTCTCATGTCACCATCTTTCAGCCTTCAGCTTGGCCGTTTCGTTTGACGATCGGCACGACGAAAGCACGTTGACATATTGCGCCGCCGCCGCCCGATCACGCATCGAACTGAAGGCCTGTGCCTCGTGAGCGCGCGTACGCACTCCAGCGCGCCGTTCCCCGAGCTTCGAGATTGGATCCAGTCTGAACGTCGCGCGCACACCTCGAGGTGGTAGCGCCCGTCAGTTGCGGGCACTTGCCACTCCCCGCGGCCGAGGTATTTACGGACGCGTCCGTACCAACTGCAGTGGAGGGTGCACGCGTTCGAAGCGGCTTGTGCGCCCTTTGCGGCGGTAGCAGTAGCAGCGTGCGCAGAGGACTCGTGCGAAGCGTCACGTACCGCACATCCTCCTAGCCATTCTTCGACCGGTACCCGCTTTCGGTGTCCGCGCGGCGGTCGCACGTACGGGCGCCACCGGAGCTAGCTCAAACGAAGCGTATTTGTGAGCGGTAGTCATGCGGGAACATTTTGAAAGGGAGGTCGAAATACATTACATACCACGAAGAGATGGAGGTTCCCCGCGCTTTGCTCGGGGACTTCCTCAGAGTATCATGGCTTGAATGATGGCGTTATCTGATGATGTCGATGAGACGAGCTTGACAGTAGAGAAGACCGTGAGTTAGAGGAGAGGGCAGACAGTGGGGAGCAACTATCTGTCCTCATGCTTTTATAAGGCTGCACGGATGGTGGCGGTTTCATCTGATGCAATCACACCTTGCGGATTGGGCGATTCTGAGACATTTCCAGGGCCATCATTTCGCGCCACAACGGACGGACAAAACAAGTAGCGCCAAGGCGCGAGCGTCGAAGCAGCACGTACTACGCCGTGCAGGTAGCGTCAGGCCTGTAGGTTCTTTTCCAGATACGAGGAAAGTCGCCTCAATATTTGCGAACGCACTCTACGCATTGATAGATGACGAGTGTCTAGACACGCGAAGTCTCGCCTGCAACGTCCCCTAGGCCCCTGCGCAAACTGAACAGACTCCGGCATACGTCCCACCTGCACGGTCACGCCATCCACCCTGCTCGCTCCCCCTCGACACGAGTAACTCGGGCGGAGATTGCGCCCGAGCCCGATCACGATCGCATCCCGCCAGTATCCCTTCCCGCAGGCTTGACGGTCTTGAAGCTTGCTCGAAAGCGTCGCCCCCGTCGGGCTAGTCTTGCGCTCTGTGGCAGGCCTCACAGCTAGCGGCGCGCGATCGAGCAGCAGCGCGTCCCGCCCGCCGTCCGGAGCAGGTTCAAACCGATGGGCCGCAGGTTGTTTCGTCGAGCGCTGCGCTGCACTCTAGATCTGCGACCCGCATCTGGAAGAACGAGTCGCCATGGACCGGCGGAGCAGAAAGCCTTGCTCGTTCGTCTCAAACTCTAAGCTCCAGTAACGTCAATCAAACGACCGCCTCTGAACGCAAAAAGGCTGGCGCACCTTGGGACCGATTCTCGCCTCGGCACAGCACTGTGCATGCCGCCTCTCCTCCCGCATCCGTACCACCCGTGTTTTGCTCATCCGGACCTGCACGGACTTGCTGCGGTGGACGTACTCGAGCTCGGTGAGCACGAACGCCGTCCCTCGCACCGGCGCCCACAGCCGGTCCTTGAACACGTGCCGGACCAGGTCGGCTTCGACGAGCAAGCTGAGAGCGACGGTGTCCACGCGGCACAGGACGAGGAGCGTGCACGGCTGGAACGGCGCCTGTATACGCGACCACCACGCGAGTGGGTGCCCTGTCATGAACATGTGCATTGCGCTCGTTGGCTCGAGCGGCGCCTCCCGCACGGCGATGTCCGCGCGCGCGCGAAGCCGCGGTGAGGGCGGAGAAGCGGAGGGCGGTGAGGGCGGTGAGCGTGGTCGCGAGCACGACATCGAGGTTGACGAGCCACCGGGTCCATGAGCATGCGCCGCGGCTTGCGATCCGAGACCGCGAACGTGCCGTGGAGCCGCTGAGGATGCGCGCGTGAAATTCGGAGAGCCAGTAGGTGAGGTGGCCGACGCATTGGAGGCGCATGAAGGGGCCGAAGAACGCGACCAAGTTGGGGGGAAGGCGGACGTTCATCGGCGTTGAATGGCGTGTGCGTCCGAGGATGAAGGTGTTGCCGAGCACGCGCGCGGCCAGGTGTTGACACGCGTCGCGAGCTCGGCGAGGGGATGCGGGAGTGGCTGGCGACCTCCGAGAAGGGATGTTGTGAGCAGCGGTGGGCGAGGCTTTAGCAGCCGCACACACCTGGCAGCGCACTGGTTTGGCCCTGCGGGATTCATCGTTCCATCCGGATCTTCGTGTCTGCGCGCGAGCGCGTCCTGAGCCTGAACCTGCGCGCACCGCGGCACAGAGCGTGTGTCTTGCGTCTGTGGGACGTCGTCAGGACTGTCGCCGTGCCTCATTGAGGCGGGCCTTCTGGGACGTATTATAAGAGCTCCTGAAATGGCATAGGTCAGCATCACTTGTCCACAGAACAAGGGCGGTAGGCTCCTGTCCGCAACTAGAGTGCTCATTCCTCCATACCACGATCCCAGCGCCATCTACCCTCCACAAATATCCCGCGGCCGTCAACGCCTTCCATATTTCAAGCGACTCGCGGTGGGGACGGCGTCGATCCGGGCCGTCGTACGTGTCATCCGAGCGATGACGTCAACGACCGGCGTTGCGCGTCCCTTGCTCCGGTGCGTCCGTCGAGTGTCTCCGCCGCGCTGACTCTCATAGCATTTCATGGCACTACTACGTTGGACCTCCGTTGTCTGTAACCCTTCCGTCCAGGACTCGCGCCTGCGTCGCACGTGAGGCCGTCAGATTGCATCCCCGAGACGCTCCACTTCAACAGCCACGCACGCGGGGCTCCGCAAAATCCGCTGTAAGGGGCGCAAAGGGCGATGCGAGGCGATAGAGCGAGCGCTTCGGGTTGTACGTGCCCAGGTTGACATTGAGCGGCGAGGGCGGGGGGATGCGGATGTGAAGGGGCTGGAGGAGCTGAGCCCGCTGAGGGTGCACTTTGATGCGAATGCGCGCGGGCGGTACTTCGCCTGCCGCTTCTCCACGTCGACAACCATCAAATAGCCCCTCAGTGACCGCGTGGTGAGCAAAGGCAGGCTCTAGCAGAGGGTGCGCATGTCCTTGATCACACGCCGGGTCGGCTCAGAGCCGTGCGTTGACAGCAACGGCGGCGACGAGTCCGGGTGCAACTTGTGCGGGTCGCGATGTGTGTCGTGCCGTCGGGCGAGGGGCGGCCACCGGAGGCCTGGAGCTCCTTCCGCGTGTTCTTGGCGTTGGCGGAGGAAGAGGGGAGGAAGTGCCAGCGGCAGCGGCGAGCACTGCAGGGGGCGAGGGCGATTCGAAGACTGGAATTCCGACCGCCCTAAGTTCTAGACCAGTTACGGCTGGGCGGCGAGCGACAGGTTTGAGGACCAGAGACCTGTGCTCATCGACACCGATCCCAGGACATTGACGCACAACCTCCCCGTCCTTCCGATGACGGAGCTCGGGAGGCCGTCCAACAGGCGAGCTTGGCCACAGGACGGAGAGATTTGCGCATTCCCACTTGGAAGCCGCCGCTGTTGCCACCACTCGAACACGTGCAGCCGCTGGCTCCTGTCAGGCAGAATGCGGCAACTGGTGCGCGGGGGGCAGTCGGCGACACGCCCATCGCCGCGCGACGGACCTCCTTCACGAGTTCGGGCGAAGCCTGCGATATCGGGGGCGGGACCGCGTCGGACGGGTGCAGTAGCGTGTGGGGCTCAGAGGAGACAGGGGCCGGATGGGAGCGGGCGTCGACATCCATGGAATCCGGGGTGAAGCCGGCGCAGTCGCCGATAGAGTCCAGAACCGTGGCCTATGGGTTGTCCTTCGTCGTTGGGCCGTTGCGTGGAGGCGGGGAATCGACTGCGATACTCGTTGGACACACCGGAGGGTGCCTGGAACTCCGACGCGGCTTGCGATCTTGCCGCGGAGGGCGTCGATGGCAATGAACCCGCCAGTCCGCCGGGATCCGGCTGAGCAGTGGAGGTGCACGGGGGTACTGTCCTTTTACGATATCGATCATCCATGCTCGAGCTGCTAACAGAGTCCTCCGCGTGAGTCGTTAGTCCACGGCTGTCAAGGATGATGGACATCCGTTATTTGAAACATGTTAGAAAGTGGATCGAGCATCAAAAGATCGAAGCAACGTACCACGGCTCGGTTGGAAGCAGTATCGTCTCCATTATAGACCTGGGGAAGAGCGAAACTATAGGTGTGGACGGAATAGAAACGTTGTCAGCACAAGTGGTTCCATGTGATCGTAGCACAATACACACCTCTCAGTAGTCGCGCGAGGCCAAAACGCACCAAGCTCTTCTGCAACCGTTGACTGCCCTTCCATCCTAGGGTTGAGCCGTCGAGGAGGCTACGGGAGTGTCCGCCACTCCGGCTCGTAGGCAGCCTACGCAGCGACATAGTCTTGTCCGGGAGCGAGACCTCTTCGAAACTAAAAATTCCTCAAAACCGCGTCAGCAACCGCACGGCAACATGTATATTGGAGAGGAGCGCCGACCAGGGGACGCGGTAACCAAAAAGATGATCAGAACTCACCTTCAACACTGGACCGCTTCCTGAATGCGGCCGCCAAGGGTTCCCGAGCGACGTACACGCTACAATGTCGTGTATTTCGATGAGGCGTTGAACATGCGACTGTACGACTGGCATCGCCTGCCGATGGTGACCGAAATATGGAAGAGGGAGAGCGCACACGTCTGAGAAGACGCGGCGATTGCGACGGTAAGCAATCGACATCAACCACAGGGCAAGGTAGGCGTTGATCGCGGTGTGGGGAGAGGGCACAGCTGTGGACTCACCCTTGGTGCTGACCGTACGCTCTCGCTCGGACTTCCCAGCCCGTCGTATGATTGCGGAGAGTGGGTGTTCACCGACGAGGCGGCCGACAGTCCTGAGCGGAAGCAGAGTTCAGAGGGGCCCTGACAAAGAATGAAGACAATGGCAGATACGTACCGAGCTAGATTCGATGACAGGTGGCGAGTGGGCCTCCGCTTTCAAGCTTCAAGAGCCAGCGAGATGGCTAAACCGCATGTTCGGTATCTGTGGACGCAGCGATACGCAAACTGAAAAAACGCACCCTTTATGGACGACTCATGCTGGTCTCAGAGGGTTGGAACTTGACCACGCGAGGACCACCGAGAAGAAACGAGAGTGTGTCGCCCGCATCCAGAGAAGAGGCGCGAGGTAGCTGGAGAAGTGTGGACGAGGAGCAGGGGAGAGCATAGCACCCGCGCCTCCGGCCTGCGGGTGTTCCGGCGTCCGGCGGCGCTCGGTCCGCAGGGCGCGTCATCATCGGCGCTTGCAGATTGTCCTCTCACGCCGGGGCCACCATTTTTCTGGGAGCTTTTCTAGGAGCTGTTTATAAAGTTAAAAATCTACGTGCAGCCAGAAAAAGTATTTCTATGGGTTTCTATGGGCGAGAGAAAACCTTATTTGTCTTTCTCTCGGCTTTACAGCTGTTATCAGAACGATAGGCCGGTTTGAAAAAGTTTACACACAGAGTAAATCGAGCGGAGTCACACTTTTTGACAGTTGCGAGGCTTACCGGCGAGTAGCGAGTCGGAGCGACCTCTTCGCGCGAGAAGCGATGTCCGCGTAAAGTCGGTAATGGCGGAGTTCGGTTTGAGTTCGAAACTCTTGTGTGTGATTTTTTGATCAACAGGCCTATCGTTCTGATAACGGCTGTACAGTCAAACCCCTCATAGTGCATACCCCTCGGGAAGGCCCCCGAGGTATGCGTTATGTGGGGGTATGCAGTATGAGAGAAGCGCTTATCGTGGGAGATCTATTGGCGCCCTTCCGTAGCGCGCATTTCTCGCGCGCGCATTCAGGCTCGCGCATTTCTCGCGCGCGCATTGAGGCTCGCGCGCACATTCCTCCATTGTTATCTGCCCTCACCCCTCGCCCTCGCCCCCCTACATAGCCTAAGTACGAGTAAAGTAGTCAGTGATGTGGCTATCAACTTTATCCACCTCCACAGCCCTCCGGGTTTCACAGCTGAATGCACCAAGAGAAACCTCCAACTTGCGGGCCATTGGGCCCTCCATGAGTCCTGCATACCGCGCGAGAACTGCGGCGGCTTGAAGTGCCTCGCGACGAGTCGGTGGCGCTTCTTCTGGCTCCGGCTCCGGTTCTTCGGCTTCCTCAGGTGAGTCTCCGCTGGTGACTGCCTCCCAAATCTCCTCGTCCGTTGCGGCCTCTGCAAGAACAGCAGACTCCTCAGATGGGTTGAGTAGTGCGTTGATATCCATGCAATTGGATTTCTTGAGCATTCCAGTCTTCTCCAAGCCATTTAGGGCCTCAATAACCTCCTTTTCTGCCATATCAACTGGGTTAAGGAGGGAGGAGATACTGATGCGAGGGCCAAATGTTTCAGGAAGAATCCCCGCCTTCTTCCAACAGTGCTGAATAGTCTCAGGTGAAACCTCATCCCAGGCAGCATCTGCAAGTCGCATGCCTTCAAGCTGGTTGATCTTGTAGATTTCATCAAGAGTGATACCCTGATCGTAGCGGTTGATGGAGCGTTCAATAAACTTGGCACGGTAGTGAGCCTTGAAGCATCGGATGATCCCTTGGTCATCTGGCTGAACGTGAGAGGTGAGGTTGGGTGCAAAGTTCACCACAGTGATATGGGTGAGGGATTCGGGGACAATGTGGCCAGAGAAGTTGTCTTGGAGGAGAAGAATCCGGCGGTTTTGAGAGCGGAGCTTGGTGTCCCACTGAGTAATCCAGTCTTTATAAATGACCGCAGTCATCCATGCCTTGCCATTGTTGTGATAGTTGAAGCCGAGCTGTTGAGCTGACTTGCCTTGGAAGGCACGTATCTTCTTGTACTTCCCAATGATGAAGGGTGGGTGTTTGTCACTGCCATCAGCGTTGACAGTGAACGCATAGGTGAGTCGAGTCTTCACACCCTTGACCCCATGTAGGACCCGATCTGCGAGACCACGATCAGGTGGCATTCTACCAAAAATCAGAAAGATTTCTAATAGGAAAAACATGTGCTTACCCATAGAACAAACCAGTCTCATCCATATTGTAAATATCTTGAGGTTGGAATCCCTGAGCCTGGATGAGGGCTTGAATCCGCTTGCGCTCAGCTACAACCGTGTCTTCACTTATTGAAGCAGCTTCACCATGGCGTTTCAGTGAGTGAAGGCTGTGTCGCGTCTTGATACGATCAAGCCAGCTGTTACCAAGTTTGAGGTGTTCCTCTGGAGGGATGCCAGCAAGGCTAGCGAAAGATGTCCACTTGGCACGGAGAACTTCACCAGTAAGGACAAGACCTTGTTGACGGGCCTTGAGAAGCCAGAGATCAAGTGCATCACGGACTTCGGGATGTTTCGGGAGGAAAGTGCGCTTTAAATTAGCTGATCCAGGGATAGAGCCACTCTCATCCCAGTCGTGGCGCCACTTGGCTTCCTCCTTCACCCAGCGACTGACAAGGGGTTGTTTGAAACCAATGGCAGGATAAATCTTGTGGAAGTGAGCCGCAGTTTTGGTCTGATTTTTACCATTTGCATGGTACCAATCTAGCACCTCAATCCGCTGGGCAAGAGTCGCATTCGCCTTGGGAAGCTCAGGAGCAGGCTTTGGTTTTTTGACAGACTTCTTGGCACCCACTGCCAGCTTCGGCTCGTCTGAAGCTATCGGATTTGTGTTAAAGTCGGAAATTAAGTATAAACTAGCACATACGCTTTCGTTTCTCTCCTGCAACAGGCAAGACAGGCTCACCAGCCTTGCATAGTTTCTGGACAACTGCCTGCTGAACTTCAGATAGCTGCTTCAAGGTGGAGTTGAAGTCGGAGGCCTTCATCAAGCAGTCAATAACAAGCTGCTCATCAACCAGGTTGGCATCATTGTCCAGCCAGAGCTCGTCCTCATCCGAGATGGATTTTCCAGCGTGAAGAGAGGCTTGAAGGGCTGTTCGGCGCTCTTTCACCTGCTTCTCAATGACAGCAAGGCCAGATTGGAGGAGGGCAAGAGTTATGGAGGGCATTTTGGAGACAGGCAGGGATGGCTGAGGATGTGATCAAGTCGCGCATGAGCCCCGGGCAATCCCAACGGTTTGTGCGGCTATTCCAGGCTGCTGGCAGTCGGCAGTCGGGCATGGAGGGGCCCGAGGGTGCATGGGAAAGTTATCCCGCATTTGGGTGGCATGCAAGGCATAGTTGTAGGGCGCTAATACTGATTATGTACACAGGTATGCGTTATGGACCCCCCGGCCGAGGTATGCAGTATGCGGTATGCGGGGGGGTATGCGTTATGCCCCTGTACCAACTCGGGAAGAGGCCCAAGGTATGCACTATGTGGGGTTATGCACTATGATAGGTATGCACTATGAGGGGTTCGACTGTAATGTGGCACTAGAAAGATGGTCACCCCGGCGTGTCTGCTTCCATACGCACGGCGACGCTCAAGCGCTCATGTCCCTGGGCAGCGTCTCGAGACGGAGGACGAAGACGGGGTACGCGTTGTGCGCCCGATGCGCTCCGCGAGCTCGTATCGCTTGGTGCCGACTCCCGCGCATTTCCGTCCCCCTCCGGATCCTGGGCGGCGCGGACGTCCGACGTCCTCGCCATGTCTTCTCCCCCATCCTATTGGCTACGCCGCGCCCGGTCAGCCTCGCCCGCTCCACCAGCACGGTCCCGCCTTCCACGTATTTCGCTCCGCCGCCTCGACAAAAGATGAATCCGTCACTCCGCCGCAGCACCGTGTCCACGGGCATCGCGGGGGATAACGCCACGA